TGCGCTTCCAAAGTTCGAATACGTCCAGCTAAACCACCCTGGCGGCCAGTTTGTTGCATGTGCTGAGGACCCGAGCGATTCCCTTGATAAGGGTAAGTCGGGGGAATAAAGCTCTGACGGTTGTTACCTTGGTGACGCGGAGCTGCTGCCGGGGCTGCACTTGGGGGGTTTGCGGACGGACGGCTGGCTCTACTGTCAGAAGGCGCTTGAGAAGTTGCAGGGGGCTGGGTCTCCTTTGGAGTGGCCCCCTTCTTCTCTTTTGCAGCGGCCTCCTCAGCCTTTCTTTTAGCGACTTCAGCCGCATCTCGCTTAGCTTTTTCTTGGATCTCCCGTTGCTTCGCCGGATCCTTAGCAATGATAGATATTAAATCCATAGGGACAGGAGTTGGTAGCTTGAAATTGTCGGCAAATTTCTTTAGCTCGGTTAATTTCACCTCTTTGTCGGCTTTTGCCTTGTTGCTTCGGACCTTCTCAGCATTTATGCGCTGGAGGTTAGCAAATGTCTTGAACTCCTTGAGAACGTCTCGTTCGACAGTCAAAGTCGCACTAGGCGCGACGCCCTGGCTATCCTTCGCCTGAGGTGAGATAGTTCGGCTAGTGGCAGCGGATGGTCGTAGTTGAGTGGCGTTTTGGCTTGCTGGTTTATTTTCTGTAGGTTTCTGTAGCGTCTCAACCTTACTCTCTGGTTTAGGGTCTGCAGATTTAGCAGCAGGAGACACCGAAGGCACTTCAGCCTTAGGGTTAGGGCGAAGCTTGTTATCATCCTGTTTCGGGAGAGCCGGCTGGTTCTTTTGTGCCTTCAGCTGCGAAGATATGATGGCTGGGTCGACTGGTGCGCCCTTCACAGTCGACGAGGCAGTTGGTGCTCGTCTTGCCGGGGGAGTATACTTGTTCTCTCGGCTATTAGGCAAAGGAGGAAAATCCTGTCGCTTGACACCGCTATACCTATTTCCGAGTTAGCCGGAATCTGGTGATATGTAATAACATGATCTTGACTTACTTCTCTTCTTCGTTACCACCCACATCTTCGCCTCCAGCATAATCCACAACTCTCTCTTCAGCTACATGAGCTGTGACGGCAGCGCTTCGCTCGATCTCTCTCGCTTTCTTTTCCGCAGCAGCTACCCTCTCCTTGTACTGCGGGTGGCTTTTATCAATTGCGGTGGTGTAAATATTTTCATCATATGTAGTTTTGATACCAAACTGGCGCTCGTTAACAGCAAACTGATCCCACGGAGCGTCGCCACTGGACTTCTCCAGGCTCAAGTCGAGCCCGTCGGAGTTGCTTGGTCCAACCCATGGCTGCAAGGGTCGTTCACGACCCGGACGAGACGAGGAGATAGCACTGTCGGTTCGGAAGTTGCTCTGCGAGTTGATCGTCGAGCCTACACCATTGTTAGTGTCACATGTGATAATAGTTAATTGGTAGGGCATACCATTATGCTTAACATCGCCTTTACCCGAGTTCCCCCCCATAACTCTGGTATCCGACATATCCTTCTTCTGAAAGGACATGGAAGGATATTCTCTCTTACTAACTCCGTTCGTCGACTCGCCCGAACTTTTCTTCTGCTGCACCATTCTCAGGGAACAGATGAGAGCGTTCAAGTGCCAGAAGATACTTTCGAATTCGACACACTTGACGAAGGTAATCCGAACCCTTCCACCCTGCACCAGATGGTTAGTCAACGAAGGGAGAGCCGAGGTAAGCAAGCGTAAGAGTATTACGGTATTACTTTTGTGGTGCAATTGGCGGATTTAGAGGTGAATGGGAAGGTTGCGGTTCGGGAACAGCTAGCGCGGATCTGAGGGAAGGAGGTGGAGGTGACGCGAATCCAAGCCCGAAGTATGACAAGAAGCTCGACGTCGCAAGAAGGTTCAGCTAACTCACTTGCTCGAAGGAATCGAATGAAGCTTGCTTGCCTTGCTAAGACGAACTTTGCTTAGTTGGACTTCGGGGTGGTCGAGGTAGTTATGGTGACAGTGCTGCTTCTGGCCGATATCCAGACCTTCTGCCAAGTAGCAGTTTGACTGTAGATAAAAAACGGCTGGACGTCAGCGCATTAGAAACAAGAGGGTAATAGAAAGAGCGCAAAGGTGGGAAGTGTGTCGAAATGTGGAAAAACTATGAGCAGCTTGCTGCCACGAGGGAATGATTGCGAATAAGACAAAGAGGTGAATGCTCTAGAGTGTCGAAGCAGAAGAAAAAAAAGTGCTTTGTTGACAAGGCCAACTGCAGAAGGGATTGGGAGACTAGAAGTAACCGGTAAAAAAAAAAAAAAAAAGTGGTCAAGGTCGCTGGCTCGTTCGCTCTTCTCCCACATCAATCCAGTCCTGTTCTGTGTTCCTCACTGGCAGTCAGGGCAACACACGGCCTCGTCAAAAAAGGGCAGGGCAGTGCGGTGCGGACCAGCTGCTGGCCACGGATGCCCATGCAACCTGAACTAAAATAATAGATATGTATAGTGCTTTGGTGCTGGGTACTGGGTTGCTGGGCAATACTTTTTTTCTGGTAGTGCTGTGCTGGGCTCGGCTCGGCTGGGCCAGGTACTGCAGAGAAAAGGTCGTGTCTCACCTCGGGCTAATTGGTCAACTACTGTTCTCCCTTCGGCAACCCCCAGCTCAGTGCTGTAAGATGACCTCGTCGCAGAGGACGCTGCTTCTTGCTCTGGTCTAAAGAGCGACGGTTAGTCAAGTTGGAGAAGGAGTTGATGGGAAAGTGGAGGTTGTGGTGGTTAAGGTGTCGAGGCCAACGAGTTACATAGCGTTTTCTGTGGGTACTTGTGGGCTTGTGGGAGACTGCGAAGACTGGGACCTCTTTCCTTTTGATAGGTATGTGTAGATGGTCCAAGCGTCTTTTCTGGCAGCGGGAAGTGGAAGCGAGGCCTTATGTACTTGCAAGGCCTTAATTGGATAAGTTCAGAAAGGTGGTCTGACCTACTGGCGCAACTTGCAGGTACGGTCGTACAAGAGAGTTAGGTAAGGTAAAAAGATAATTTTAAGGTGTGCACTGTATAATCCCGGACAATTAGGGCAGAATTAGTACATTTCAGACTTTTGGTTAAGAGGGTGCTTGCGCTGTAAGTTAGCGGAGAAACAGTGCTATCAAACCGTATGAGATAAGCAGGTTAAAAGTTAATTAAGTTGAAGAAGTGAATGTTTTTTTATGTCTTGCAACCGAATAAGGTACCTAAGCTTTATTATGACTTGAATCACGTATGGTTATTTTTAACCAATAGGATATCTTTAGAAATGGGAATGCAAGAAAGATGTGGAATGTCGTCGTTTACGGTATCAAATAATTATATACATATATAGGTACATATCTACATATCTACATGCAGATATGTAGAGAGTTTCCCCTCCAGCCCCTCCTAGGTAATAAGCCGCTAAGGGGGTACATGAATATGGGGTCCAAAGAAGTGCGAGATACATACATGTAGGTACCTACACACAAATGTACAATTTACGTGATACCTAAGGTTATTTGTGACATAGGTACATCAGGTATATAGGTATTCGTACATCTCGTAGATTTAAAGCTATGTGACAAAGCTATGTGATTTGGCAGTACGATATTCAATGAGGACAAGACCTCGACACCTACCTACCTACGCACCTATCGTGGTGCGATTACGGTCCGCCTTAGGTGGAGTATTTTAGTGACTACCTAGGTATCTCTTAGGTACATGAGGTATCTCGTAGGTACTACGCCTACATAGCTCAGTTCCAGTTCGAGACCGTGAACATGGCACTGGCGTTGGTAGTGGCTGGCGCCCGAAAGACTATTCTAACATTCTAGGTTCATAATTATAACGGGGAAACCTGATCACTATCACCATGTTTAAAACTACATAGGGTATACCAATGTCACCCATGTTAGAGAGGCATTAAATGTTGGCCAAAGTTATTGACCGCGGCGGCAAAGTTTGTTCTGCCCAACATTTTAATTTGGCATTGCCCTTTTCGTGTCAGTTGGTAAAGGTTAGATACATATGAGGCAAGCTTTCAAGGCCAGGTTGAATCTAACGCTTTTCGAGGACAACCTTCCAACTAATATTCATCCCTAATGAACACCATCGTCATCAAACACCGATCCCTAGAATGCCAAGATCAACAGTCCAGCATGAAACATCCAAGGGAATTCATAGTTTACCGATAGTTCTAGCTTGATACCTACCTAGCAGATATGCTTATTTTAGCTAAGTACATCACTTACGAATGCATTGCGCAGCTAAGGTTCTGTCTTATACTGAACCTTTCGGTACACGTTAGGTTCATAATTAGGCCGTAATATAAGGCAACACATTGGGCGCGCGAGAGCCTCTACTTCGAGGCGAAGAGTGTATATTCAAATGTTTCACAGAGCCTCGTTTGTAAGGAGCCAAACGACCTTAAGGTAAGAGCCATTCCATACCTCTACACAGCCCCCTGATTGCATGGTAGTTGAAGCCGATTGGAGTTCTTAAGGTCCTTAGGGCTCTTAGGGCTGTAGAAGGCGTGGGTGAATAACGCCCATGGGGCGAGCCAAACCAAGTCCTTAAAGGGTTGACTTGCTTCAGGTTGAGAGAGGTATTCGTGATACATGTGTGACTACTAAACAATCCAAAAGTCCTATATCATTATTTGTTATATTATAGTTGTTGGTTATAAGGTTGCTACTCATTGCTTATTCGTCATTTACCTTACTAAACATCTAGGTTAATGGCTTTAAACTAGATGTAAAGATGAAGTTGACTTTGAAAAGATAGCCTCCCAAGGGAACCCCAGTCAGATCGGCAGCGCTAGATGACCCCAAATTCGCTATTGGTCTTTCGGAAAGCAACATATTTTACTACCTAAAAGACATCTCTTCGTTTGCCGCAGAAGTTGGTCAGCCTGCGCCCCGCGGGAACGAAACCGTAAGTGCCGAGGCTTTTCGAACAAAGATTAAATATGGAGGTTCGTAGCGAGGTGAGGGGCATAACCAGAGGATTCATGAGGCTCGGATGCCGTTACCACTCTGACAGTAGCCCATTGTAACCCTAGGGCTATACTATACCGGGGGCTGAACATGAAGACCTTTAAAAAGTTATAACTAAGTAAAATCTGCGCCTCGTTTGATGTGTTCCACGATGATATGTCAGTTATAGGTTATTGACCGAGCAGTCGTTTGATAGGGGTCCCCAAAGTCTATTATTGGGAGCGTGATCTAGTCGGTTTGCTACCACGTCGGGCATGTAGTCTCACCTCATCGCTCGAGATAATTCATAGGGATCCGGTTGTATTCACCTATGTACAAGAGACCAAGAATAGGAAAATAGATCGATCTGCAAAGCTAAGCCCCCCACCCCGGTATAATGTCTCCACGTTGTGGGAGTTCCCGTCCGATCATAGTCACATCGAACCTGATTCAATCGGATGAGGTCCGCAGTAGATGATGTCTCGCCCGCAACGATGAACCTCGCCAATCTCTACACCTGAAATTAAAGACACATGAGATAACATGCTAAGTAGTACACGATGCTCTTTTTTGGTCAATACGAGTGGCTGATAGTTACGGGTTTGTGTGATGGTTGCACGCGATAATTCCGAGTTATGACATTGAGATAACTAACGCAAGACAGAAACCTCTATACTATTATCACCCAAGAGGGGATCTAGGCCTAATAAATTACACACCCTTGAATGCGCCAAACTTCGATTTAGTATGAATGGGTATGGCGTCTAGCTTGAGAACCTATTCTTGAAGAACCAATATGAGTTGATGAGTCCCCAGGCTAAAGGATGAAAGGCTGTCGGCGTCTTTGCCTTGGCGTGCTCTACCATCACCTTAGGTACGACATCCCTCATATTTCCCTCGCTGAAAAACCACAGCTTCGTAACCTCGTCCGTCTGTCGTTGGTATATTTCCATACGTTTAAACATATTCTCCTCGGCCGTTTGTATTTCCTTATCGACCTCATCTAGCCCGCCGCCCGCTTGGACTGCCCCGACGATTGCGGCGGCGAGTTTTCGCGCATCATCAAACGCAGCGTTCACTCCTTCGCCAGCGAACGGGGCCATAAAATGTGCGGCGTCGCCAATGAATGTTGCGCCGCGGCGGTGCTCCCAGCGCCAGCCAACCGGAAGCATGTATAGATTCTTCGCTTCGCATATGCCTTCTTGGACCTTTTCGATCGCTTCCCGCAGCTGTGGGCTCCAGTCGTGCATTTCCTCGAGGATTGCTTTCTTAACTTGATCGACATTATGAGGGTTATATCCGCAAGTCTGCATCCAATTTTCGGGACGACGCGAACACCAGGAGACAGTCAGGCTGCCAGTGCCGAGCTGCTGTACCCCCAACCTCTGCCCATTTGAGCTAGCAAACAGGCTTCCGCGGTTGACAACTTTATAGAGATCTGGTGCGGTGTTTGCCGCATCTGGTACCCGGAGACTATGATATCCAACCCCGGTATAGTGTGGTTTCACTGTCGGCGAGACGTAACTTCGGACCTTACTCCAGCCACCCTCACACCCAATTATGAGATCGGAACCGGACACTGTTGTATGGTCAAAGACCAAAGTGTTCCCCTCTTCGACACGTCGTAGGCGATGGTCCCATTTGATACTTCCCTCCGGAAGCGATTCCACTAAGATCCGGCGTAGCTCAGCACGGTCAATTTCAGGCCGCTCGCTGAGCTTATTGCCAGGACCGAACTGTATGAAGGGCTTAAGCTCTTTGTCGGCCATCATCATATAGTCGCCGTCGAATCGGCCGTGTTTCAAGAATTCGTCCCACAATTGAGCGTCTTTCATCGCCGCAAGGCCTGTGCCGGGATGTAAATCCAACGAGCCTCCTTGAGAACGATAATCTGGACTCTCATCGCTTTCATAAACCGTGAAAGGAATTTTGGATAATGATAGAATCCGTCCAAGCATACACCCGGCTGGACCAGCCCCAATGATGGAGATGTTTAGAGGAGACATCGTTCCGCCTATGTGAAGGTTAAAGTTGAATATATGATGGTGATGTCTAAACTAAGGATGTTGACCTTCACTATGTCAATATATGGTAACATATAACTTGGGTGAAGTGGTTTTGGAATTGGAATTGGGATTGGGATCGAGAGTCTTCCCTAAAGTTGAGGATGCTTACTCAATATATAATAATTTATCAATCAATAGACCATAGCGCAAGTAAGCAAGCACATAGTGATGGGTTTAATCCTATAACTATTAAAAAAAGGCAACGCTGACGTGTTTTATATAAGTGTTAACTGTTTCCAGTTGTAAGTTGCGGCTTCAATCCGTAAAAAAGCGGGCCTCGCTGCTCGGAGGGTAGAAGTCGTCGTTTGAGTCCCGATGGCATTCTTTTAGAATAGATAGGTAAGTCGATATAAGGCAGAGAGATGTTCAGCTTTGCCACATTGTACTTAGCCGAACTCGTATTTAAAACTACTGCTTACTTTAGGCAATCATTAGAGCTTTTAGGTCTCGTAGCTGTAGACACTAAATGAGTTACTAATGTTAACTATCAAGACGTACCTAATGTATGGCCGTCAAATATATACAAGCCACTCTGTTTAGAATAAGGTACGCCAGCAACCCGGTTGCTTAGCTTCAATGTTCTAAACAAAACGACAATTAGTAAATCATACTGTCATCGTACGTGAGTATCGCTAGAAATAAAACATCGTAATTATTTGAAACATTGATTTACATAGAGTTAGTTAGTAGACTTTCTGGTTGCCTCTAATACCTAACAGGAAGACTATCAACCCCGGCCCCACTTAACCCACCTAGGAACTTTTAGCTTAATCACGCCCCGACCGTTGCCGGTGTTTGACCCTAGCCCCTGCGTGGACACCTTTCCAAAATAGGGTTAGCGTTGGTCGGGCTTCCTCGATCTTTTCGACGTCGCGCCTCACGCGGGCATCAGTCATCCACAACTTGACCTCGGATTATGACTTGCTCGACGACTTTCCATCGCAACTGTTCCACATACACCAATTTTGATCATCGTATTCCCTTAGCATAACTCACCATAGCTTCTCGTTTTGGCTCATAGCCTTCGATTACCATTTTCGACAAATGTCAATATTCCGTGCTTGCTTCTCGAGATATTAGCAGAGAGTGGACGACCCGGACGTAATCCTAAACCGATAAGGAATAAAGAGGGGGAAAGGTATATAGAGAATTGGGAAGTTGAGAAGGGCTAGGCTCTGGAATTGAAGTCAAGATGCAGGCTCCTGCTGCTTCTCAGAGATCGATACAACGACGGTCACCGGGGCCTGACAGTATTCCCAATGCTCCGATGCGCCCAATGTCGCCAGCCGGCATGCAGCCGCGCTCGTCGACTGCTTCGAATAGATCAGCTGCGAGTAGTTCCTCTAGGCGTAATGTAAGTAAATGCTGTTAGATATGCGTAACCGGTGTGATTATCGGTTGCTAGGCGGGGGGAAAGGTGGTGGTGGTTTAATCTTTCAATGTTCTGCCTTATTCTTGTTTGCCTTTCAGCCCATCCACCTTTCTTTTTTTTCCCTTCTTGTTATTCTTCTCTCCTTTTACGTCATGTCTATTCTTGCCGAGTTAATATGTTAACCTTATGGTCATATTGGCAGCAATCTAATGGAGCGTCTATGCCACTATCACAAATAGAAAAGAGCGTCACGCATCTACTCGTCGCAACAAAACAACTCCTCGAAACGTTGACGCAATGGTCGCGCGGTCAGGCTACCGATACTCAGGTTTCCGACGTCTATGTTAGATTAGGCTATGAGTTTAATATGGCCTGTCGCGCATTCACTGCAATCAACGTTGATACATCTGACCTAGGGAACGTCCCAGAAAACCTAAGACATATATTGGAGGCTACTTTAAGCCAGGAAGCCAACACGGAGAGCCTCGAAAAGTATCTGCCGCGAATACGAGACATTATCATCCATCTTTTACACGGTCTGAAGAGAAAACAACAGAAACTGCGACAGAAGCAGAGTCGAGATAAAGACGGGGCTACTTTGCCTGAATCAACTAGCATTGCTAGCCGTACGATGAGCAGCAGCACGGCCGGAAGCAACAACACTGGTCTCACAAGCCTTTTAAATGAAGGCCTCGAGAGCGGATACACTACCCCGCAACAGAACGAAAGAATGGCACCATCGCAGCAGAACCAAGGCCCGCCAGCAGTCAGCCAGTCTCCCAGTCGACGAATTCTGCAGCGAGACCAGTCGAACACTTCTTTCAACTCCGAACAGTCATCACTGTCGAGTAATACCATGCAGAACATACCGGTGCTCCCGCCGTATCCTGGGGATGAGACTACCATACCTACAGGACCTGCAGGAGGCATAGATATTGACGCATTCCCGCCACCCCCTCCGCCACCACCAAAGTCGCAACAGAGCGCTTTTGCTGCTCTGCAAAGAGGGGGGGATTTAGAAAGAAGGGCGTCACGACGATACTCCGCTTATCAGATATCCAAACATCTGGGAGCACCAACCAATGGCGTGCCTATGCTACCTTCTCAGAATACCCCGATACCAAATCGTGGACGTGGAGAGGTCAGAGAATCGATGCGAGCAGTTCAAGTCCGAGAGTCTCTACGACATAGTCGCAACACATCTAATCAATCCAAGAGTGGGTATGAAGCGTCTTCGCCGGTTCGAATACCCAGTAAGGTTAGCGAGGAAGGCTCGAAACCCGATCTACCACCCCCTCGATCGGAAAGTCCGCCGGCTCAGTCACCGGAAGAGAAGTATAGACCTAGTGCTACTATATCCGGTCCTCTAGATGATGCCTTTCCGATAGTGGGAGCCCCGGGTTCGCCCGAGAAGCCAAAGCCAAGAGTAGACACAACTATAGAATCCAAACCGCGACCTCAAACCCCTCCGGAAAAGCAGCGCAAGCAATCTATACAAGAGCAATCACCTCCGTTAGATAAAGAACTTACCTTGTTTTTGCAATACAAGTCCAAAGTGAAAAAGTTTGTGCTTCCGGAGGGTTATACAGGCTTGACAATTGGGCGTCTGCAACTTGCTTTCATCGAGAAGTTTTCCTGGAACACCGCCCTGAACGGAAGCGACCTCCCAGAGATCTATATCCAAGATCCCATCTCTGGGGTACGGCACGAGCTCGAAGACCTGTCTGACATCAAAGACCGTACAGTTCTTGCGCTCAACGTCGAACCTCTTGACGAGGTCAAGAAGCACTTCGACGAGGGTTTTGGGGCCCTAAAGAAAGTAGTAGATGAGATGAAGCAGAACGTTACTGATCAGGGATCCGCCTTACAAAGAGTATCGGATAGGCAATTGGAGACGGCCAAGGAGATGGCTCGTATGGCCTCAGCGCCACCGGCCGTCATGGATGGTGTTAAGGTTAGTGGAGTTGGCGCTGGCGCTAAACTCAATCCTAGTCAACTTAGGGAGTTGCAGACTCTGCGACGGGATCTAGCCGTCTTACGGCAGACGTACTCAAACTTCCAGACAGAGATACAGAGCTCTATGTCTTCTCTACGCAACAAAGCAGCCAATGTTAAGGTTGCGGCTGCCAAGGCTTCAACACCTGAGGAAGGTGGCTCCGGATATACCTATGTGACGAGAGGTCGTAAGCAGCTTAATTCAGACTCAGACCGCCTCGTTACCAAGGTGGACGATCTTCAAGACTTAGTTGAGGACTTGCGCAAGGACGTCGTTAATCGCGGCGTGAGGCCCTTGCCGCGTCAACTAGAGGGCGTATCGAAGGATATCCAAGTCTTGACCAAAGAACTCAAGAAGGTTCAAGAGTACATGAAGCGAGAGAAGCCCATCTGGACCAAGATCTGGGAGAAAGAATTGGAAGAAGTTTGTCAGGGTCGTGACGAGCTTAAGGTCATGGAGGACCTGATGATTGACTTACAAGACGACATCGAAAAGGCCTCTGAGACCTTTGCATTGGTTGAACAAGCCACTAAGGAGCAGATGAAAGACACTACGCCGACGGCACGACAGTTCTCGAAGGGCTTGCATCATCTTGGGAACAGCTCTGATCCGAACGCTGCAAAGGAGGGTGTACTAGGCGAGGTCAGAGCTCTGCAGCCAAACCACGAAAACAGGCTAGAGGCCATAGAACGTGCGGAGAAGCTACGACAAAAGGAACTAGAGACCCGGCAAGGAAATCCCCTAATGAAGGAGTTGACTAAGTTCGTCGAGGATGGGAAGCTAAAGAAGAGCGGAGGATTTGAAGAGGTTGAACGAGCGCGGAAGGCCAAGGATGATCGAATACGGCGAGAGGTTTGGGAACGAATGAATGGCATAATACCCGAGGACTCGGTCGGGGAGGATGGAGGAGAGGATGGAGAGGAGGGGGAGGAGGAAAATGACGCAGAGGCAGAAACGGAGACGGAGACGGAGCCGGAGCCGGAGCCGGAGAGTCCCGCTAAGACGCCAGACCATGATGATATATAAGGCTATACACGCCTGCTCATAAGATGTGCATCTTAACTCTTCGTCTTGTTTCTAGTCATGGCTAGTCATGGCCGGCGTTATTCGCACATAGGTCGGACGGCTTTCATTTGGTCGCCCGAACCTTACTTTTGCCCCGACAACTTATTTATAGTTTTGCCCTTTGCGTTTTAGTATGACCGAGGGTGCTGCTCTTGGCATTAAGAGACAAACGATGATTTTTTCAGTTATTGACTGTTGGTCAACGAAATATTTACTGTCAGTGATCAGTGGATAAGTCAAGTCCTCGAGCAAACGAACATGATGTTGTACATTAACCCCTTGATGTAAACTAAGTATAATATTAGACACTGTCGCACAATATGTATTGTAGACCTAAGCAGGTAATGATAGCTTAAGCCGCAAAGGCTTTTTGAAGTTCTACTCTGAGTTCAGAACGTAATCTGGGTACCTATACCCATGACCCTAATCTCGGAACTCGCATATCGGTTGACAGAATAGTTCTTTATGAGGAAAGTAGTTACGTGTAATGTAATCTGATCTCTCTAGTTGGCCATTGTATCGCTTGGGGATATGCTCTGACAAGAATACTAAATTAAAAGACTTGATAGTCAGCACAAACAACAGTCTAATATGTATTTATGCCGGAATATTTATACACCTTTATCGCACAATCAGATGAAAATAAGGATATGCATAATTATAACTCATCGAAATACATTTGCAAATACTCATCTCATCCCTTTCCAACGATAAGATGGCTTCTTCACCTATGTCGGCTCTATCATAGGCATAGCATCAAAACCGAGACAACCGCAAGGAAAGACATTATTCGAATGCCACTCCGGACAAGTACCCCCTCAGCAGCATTTCCATTTCCATCTTCGTCCTTCGTCCCACCCCTCCCATCTTCCGCACTACCGCCGCCACCCCCCGTCGCCGCACCAACCTTTGCAAAGGCCGGGTCGACAGGTCGAGGCCCGCCCAGCGCCACCCTACTCCCGCGCACGCAGTACTTCTCGGGGTCTGCCCACGACGCGTCGACGGCGTACTCCCACGCGGGCTCGGGATTCGATATCACGTCCAGCGTGTAGAAGAAGCAGCAGTTTGCCGGCTCGTAGAGGAACTGGAGCGGCGTCTTGGAGTCGGAGGGGGCGAAGTTGTTCTTGAAATTCACACCGCCGGGCGCGGCTGGGTCGGCGGCTCGCTGCACGGCATAGGCCGCGTCGAGGACGTCGAGATCGCTGCCCTGGGAGGGGCGGGGCGGTTGTGCTTGGCTCTGGCTGTCGACTAGACTGAGCACTACGAAGGCGGCTTGGGCGATGTCGCCCACCGCGAGGCCTTGGCCTCCCTGTTTAGTTGGGTTTGGTATAAATTTGTATTTGTACCAGGTTAGACCGCTATGGAATGGCGGGGGGAACTTACCTCGACACCGCCTAGAGATTGCATTTGTGCATTTTGTGGACGTCCTCCTACCGATGCCGTCTTTACGTGCTCTTGGAAGAGCATGAGATAGGAGAATGTTGTGTATATCGGGCTACATGCCCCGTTTGTAAGTGATACGATGTTCTCCGGTTTAAAGGGGCTCGGGGGGGAGGTCGCTTGACCTCCATTTCCGCTTCCGCTCGCAGCGAGCACATTGTAAGGCTCTCCGATGTATTCCGTAAACTTGTCGTTTTTTAGAGTAACCGGCAACACAATGTTTTCGACAGTCATAAATTTGTCCCCTTGAGGTTCCGCTACGCCCACGAGCGAGATGTTATTGAAAAATGCTCCGAAAGTTTGTAACGCCTCTTCCTTATCTTGTGGGGAGAGAGATGAGAATATTTGGGATATATCAACCAGACTGTCTGCGAGACGCATATTATTAGCGGTGAATTTATTGGCGCCCGGGAAAAGCTTAGAACCAGTTAGCATGGAACATATCAAATTAGCCGTAGCTTGGTTCTTCGATTTAGAAGTTGGCTTTGGGGTGCAGAATCTATTATAGTAATCGTCCCCTGTAGTGATACCAGAGAAAACTGCCCCTTGGTTGAGTGTCGCTATTGTATCACCGGATTCAGACTTTCCAGTTTCATAAGTAAGTGTCAGTCCAGGTCCCAAGTATATCTTATTTCTCCCCCAAGGACTCTTTGCAGTTGGATTGGCGTAATTTTGAAATTGGCTATTTCATTGTGCACCGCTATCTTGGAAACGTCCGAATTGCGAGCCTAGGTCCACCATAAAGCCTGTGGCATTTTGGCCATTGATCTGTGCAATTGCGACCTGAAAATCATACTCACTCTCGTAACGCCCTTGTTTAGCTGTCTCAAGTATCTTATCCAAACTTCCCTATATATCGACTGCAGGAAATCCATAAGGCTTTGGAGGGTTCTTCATCCAAGCAAGGGTAGACTGCCATTCCACGAAGGCCTTGAGACTTTGAATGAGCTGCTTTGCTGGTTGAATCCGGCTCGGCACTGAGCGAAGACACTCGTATGCAAAAGACGCTGGGAAGGTTGATGCGCCTAGACGAATGTCAATATACCATGAGCTACTCTGTAGTTATAAATATACACACCCAAAGAAGATATACATGCGCATGCCTTTGGGTCCACTCTTGTTGTCGTCGGTGGTGCTACTCGAGGAGATGAGAGTGCTGATACTCCTATGACTGCCGTGAACAAAAGCAACTTGTGCATTTTGGTAAGGGACTAGGTTAGATAGATCAACTACCTAAGGCCCTTTAGGACAGTATAGATTTGGTCTATTATTGAAGGAGAACGGACGACACGAGCAACGACTGTTACTAAATGTGACATGATCTAATGAATAATAGTCATTTGTTATATACAATTTGAATTTGCAGGACTGTCCGATCTCTAAGATATTCGCATAGTAAACACATCTCCCGGCAAATATGATAAATTCTTCGTGAAACACCTCAAGCTTCAATTTAAAGCTGGGTGATTCAACACATGCATCTTAACTTCATGACTTTGTGTCTAGATGCCATCGGCAGGATCTTCAGCCTCCCGTCCGCGCCACAGTCTGTAACGGCTGAGGACCCTGCATGTTTTGTGCCATTCGCAGAATATCGCCGTATACAAGATTAGGTAAGTTACTTCATCAATAACTCGTATTAGTTAGTATGAGACCGTTCAAGGAATACCCCTTGTAGCCCTATATCCCCTATAAGTCCAGACCATTGATTGAATTTAAATATAGTATTCAAAGACTGACCCCAATAAGTATATCTCGATAAGGCCGTTTCGAGCCATCGTTCTGTTTCTTAACAATAATAGAGAGATTGATGTGATTAGCCTTCATAAAGCCAACATTGCCAAGGCTTTGGAGATGGGCTGTAAGTAGCTCAAACCTGCCAAGAAGCATTTATGATCTGATAAAGGGGAAATCTTAAGGTTTGAGTACCTAAACAACTTGACTTCAATTTTTATGATTGCTGGGAAACTTTACTGGGTACTGTTCTTTTATTTATGCACTTAAGCCGTTCAGGTGACTAGATGTGTATGTGTACCCTCGTGTGGCGTGTAATAGAGGTAGTATGTGGCCTTCGAATGCAACTGTACGGTATCGGTATAGTTAGTAATGCGCTACAGTGGAATAACTTGGCAGGAAACATCACAAATGCAGACTTCATATTATTTCTGGGGTGGAGAATAAGAAAATTGAGAGTCTGGGTGTATAGATTACGAACAGCTCCTCACGATTAGAGAGGCTAATCGCCAATATAAAGGAATTATAGATAGGTAAGCTAAGACAACAAAGTCAACAGCCATTGACGGCGACAAACTGTAAGTTATATAATATATCACGACAGTCACGAAGGCATCAAGAGAGGATATGTTTTTACGTAGTTTTTTTTTATATTGTTTACTACTGCTTAGCGAACGAGTTATCCATATACATGGCCCGTCTGGAGCGCTAGACGCTCGTGCGTTTGCACCTTAGCGAGGTGAAGTGCAACTTGTTATGGGTATACCCAATCCCACCATTTCGTAATTCATGTCCCAAGCCTATAATATCAAACCAAGAAAAACATCGAAACGATGACTACCTATTTAGCGACGTGATTGCTCATCTTGTCCATCTTGTCGATGCCGTACTTGATCCGTCGGTCGACGTTCTTGGCTACCCTTTCTAGGGGTAGTCGGTTATCGATCCTCTTCACGGTCCGCTCGACGCGGGGTTCTACGCGCTGGGCGATTCTTTGGGCGGGAGATGCGAAGTATGAGATGTTACGTTCCCACCGGGGTGCCCATCGGGCAGTCTGCGATGCTAGGCGTTCTTCGGCGCCGGGGAGCATGAAATAGAATGGGGCAAAACTTGCGATGCCAGCTACGCCGAACGTGGCGAGCTCAGTAGTGTTGGCTCTGGGGATACGGACGGGCATTTTAGATTGCTCTTGGTGATGATTTTATGATGGGTGGTGGTGATGGTTGAAATGCTTCTAGGTCTGAGCGACGTAGCTGAAGATGGTCGTGGAGAATGATAGGATAGCGGTCTTTGTTTTAGGTTAAATATCCTAGGTAGGTCGTATAAGTAGGTATGAATTCTTGCGATACACCTGGATCGAAGCTGGTTCCTTGTTGAAAAGATGCAAGCAAGAAAGAACTGTCTGTAACTCCTAAAAGGTTCAGACGTCGAGGGACTCGCTTGCCTTTTAAAGGGGGGAGGAGGAGAGGGAGGGAGAATTGTAGGTAGGCTGATACTTGGCCCCCTTAGGCCTTAGAGATTGGCCCATCCTGGCCTGATAGTTGCTTCGTCTGGGGAAAGACGACAGTAAGAAAGAAGCGGGGTAACCCAATAATAACAGGCCATGATGTTTGCGTCAGTCTTTCAAGGACCAATCATCCAGGGTATGCTCTAGGATTATACTCTGGGATTAAGTTTAGACAGTACATAACCGTACGGCAGCGTCGTCATGCCATAGGTCGGACCCTACAGAGTGACGCTGCCCTTTGATTGCTTACCACATCGTTTATCCATGTAAAGTATCCATTACGTCCGTAGTTGTATGAGAGCTGAGATTGAAATTGATACATGATTCGCGAACCGGGGAGGTATGATGTGTGGGAATTGGGGTATTGTTCGGGTTCCCATTACCACGCCGCATTACACGAACAGGCAGCGCAGCACTTGAAGTGCCTTGTCGATCAGCTACCCGTTGATGTCACTTGGCTATAGTTATTTCTAATGTTTTATTCGCTGCCATTTTATGTTTTCACATCATCTGTTAGAGCCTCATATTTGAAACTCTTGGGGGACTAATATGAAAATAATAATAATAATACATAATAGGCGGCTTCTCACGTGCAACGTCTAGAGCAAAGTGGACTCAGGGGCCCTTCCCCAGACGCTAAAACGGCCGCTTGCCCCGCTTCCCCAGAGTGGATCTACGCTACTGCCACGACTGCCTTCAATGCTAAACGCTGCTAAAAGAGCTGGTGGATCACCACAAGACCCACACCGCTCTTACTAATATGTATAGTTAAGCCAATGCTGTTTGTCTTTGCTCCAGAGGGGATCCAACGTAAACCGTGTTTCGGTTAACACTGTATTTCATATCCTAAGCCACCCACTTCTTGTCTGGCTGCCCTGCTGCCCTACATAAGATAAATATGTAGGTTACCTAGGTCCTAGGAAATCGTGCTCTGAGAATCATGCTCTAGTCAGACGATATTTTAAAGTTTCAAATCAAACTGGTGTCGAGTCATTTGAAACTCGTACAGAGCATCAATCCCCATCGTATGATTAATGGACAATTATCTTGCCAACACGCCCGACTTGTTCGACCATCCACGGCCAATCTAGGTTCGGGGCACGATCTCGGAAGCAAGGACATTTGGTCCGTCGACTAGGTATCTACATATGGTTCACTCCGCTTTCCAAGGCCATATGTATGTAAGTCCACTTCACAGGCAGCCTGGCAGCATAGAATTCATCCGCCGATATCTTTTCCCTTTTTACTTCGGGAATCGATTACACAGTCCGATGACCTATGGGCACAACATAAAGCATAACTCGACCAAGCAGTGGGGAAAATAATTACGCTTTTGTGCAAAGAGCCAACAAAACTAACTCCTTTGTTCGGGTGTCTCAATAGTCTCAATAGTCCCAGGATACACCTTTTAAGAAGTAAACTTTAAAGCACGAGCAGTACGAGAGTCGAGCGAGTACTTGAGCATGCGAAGGCGCCACGCCAATATACAAACGAGCCGAGAAGATCTGCTACGAGTAATCGGAATAGGTACATAGGCGATTGTCCCAATCGACACAGCGGCATGGGATTTTACGTCACAGCGTGCCTAGAATCATACCTTAGGTACTTTATTAGTAAGGCTCCCTATCACTAAGTAAAAAAGAGTGTAAAGAAGAGTAATATTTTAGATACTAGGTAATGTGAGACTGCAATTGGATCTGAGACTATTCAAATATATTATGAATAAACACAAACTGGCTACCTGAGAAGGTGTCTCTAGGATGGTACCTTTTGATTACCAGGCCTAGTTAAGTACCCGACTTTTTTATACTACGCGCTACTCCAAGCTCTCCCTTGGAGATATTCGCTCAACCTTAACGCGCCCTCCTCCTTAGTTTGATCTCGGATCGCGTGGTAGACGCGAAACCATTCTAGCGCATCGTGGTTCCGGATTTGGGCTGGGAAGTGTTCGCTCAACAACGGGCTGCTATTTATATATTCCCACCACGACGGGTAGAAACCTGCCAACTCCCAGTCGATAAGCCCGACGAAGTTGCCGTCTTTAACCATGATATTTCCTTCGTGCACATCGGAATGACTAAAGGTAAATGGCAGGCCAGAGGGCATTTTAGCCATGAATGCGTCGAGGTTTGGTTTATCAAGTCGACGTGCGATCGAGAGCGCCAAATTAGAGGCAAGATCACTATCCGTTGCGCAGATCAAGTAGTCTCCAGACGACGAGTCAGGTAACGGCTTGAATAAACGCCAGTCGTTGACAACCCGTCCGTCAAGCCTTGCTGTACGTGACTGAGTGATGGTCTTGAAATTAAGAAGATACTGACCTACCTGATGGCCGATTCGAGCGAGGTCTTGCTGCGTTAACCTTGGTAAAGCATTGTCAAGAGATTCGCCCTCAATACGACGCTCTATGACGAAGTACCTGTCTCCGTCCCTCCAATGTAGTTCCGTTTTAGGGATCGATGGCATGTCCTGCCTTTCCCCGAGTCTCTTCCTGGCGAATTCAGCATTTTGAATCTCGATCTCACAGCCCGAGTGGTACGGCCGGTGCTTTAGGATGTAGCTGGCTCCGAGCGCCCAGATACTGCGGTCACCTGGTTTCTGGACGAGGAGTTGGCAGCCGGGTTGAGACTTGCTAGTCTCAGTCTCAGTCTTCAATAAAGGTATGAATGGGAATCGGGCTGGCATCTTGACTGGTAAAGAAATGGGTTTCTAGGAGGACAAATATGTAACAAAGGTTGGTATCGTAGGAACGTTTATTTTCTCGAGTAGACACGGTGAATACAGGATTGTTTCGATGTCTTGGAGCATCTCCGTATGACAAGCGGGCCAACTTCTATATATACCTACCTAAGGAAAAGCAAAGTGGACATATTAGTTGTTTAGGCACGACGGCTAGGTGTACGAACAAGTAATATTGAGGCAGTATAGACAATGCGTTAGTTAGAACATAATCAACGATCAGCAATCAGCAATCAGCAAGTCCTTTATTCAGAATTCACACGTTTGTTTAACAGAGCTAGAGAATAGCTTAGGGCATAGGATGGTGACATTGTTGAAAAGGAAGCGTTGACGTTTAACACATGTTCGGCTGGTAAGATAGAGACCTCATCATCAGTATTGATAGCTATAGTCGATTATTCTGTTGTGTTTGGTTTACTATTTTATGTAACTAACCTAGGTAGGGAGATGGATAGTCTGGGTTACCCCTGGACGATCTTGGCATATCACCTTCTGTTCTCGGCTGATTTGCCGTGCAGCAAAGTCGTTATCAGTGCGCGTTCTTGCAAATTGGTTACTACACTATTCCGGCATGCATACCTATATATCCATGGCTATATCCATGGCAAGGGTCGCATCGTAAGGAAAATGTCGTAGGGAAAATGTCGTGCGTAAGGTCAATTCGATATTCTACTCCTTTGGATTGTTTGTATGTATGTTGCCATCGTCCACATTCTGAATCGGAGCAATTGACGAACCAATGTCGAGCATCTGTGCCCTGGCCATGAGATGGGCGCTGCTCATTTCCCTTCTTGTAGGGTTATCTTCAGCGCACCCCGATACGAAATATCCACCGCGGAAGGCCGCCGAGAAGGCATTCAAAGCGGCGCGCAGTCCTCTTGCTAGGTTTAATCATCTCATAGCTGGAGGACCGAATGTGGTACCGGCCGCCGCAACGAGCTCTCCCTTGGAATGCTTTCAGGTTGCTGAGCCGGTATTAACGCCTCAAGGACCTACATTTCGTGATGGGGTTCATGCGCCGACGGCAGATCTAGCTTCAATTGGCGAAGTAGCTGGACACACGGTAGTTTTGTTTGAACACACCTTCGCAAACAGCTATGGCGCTCCCTACGTTGGTAGGCTTATATACCTGTCTTGTAATAAATAGTTCTTAATTCTGACTCGGTAAAGGCAATTACACCCCTCCGGATTTCGAATTCGATCACGTAGTCATCAACTTCACCGTCTTGGTGAGGGGGCGGCAGTATGATCGAACGGGAGTCTTCTATCTTGGAGATACGGAGGTGTGGAGAACATCAACTGCGGAACCGACTTCGTATGGCATCCGCTGGGTCTGGCTTAAGGACGTAACCCCGTTTACGTCCCTCTGGAAAGCGCCACAGACTGTGATCTTTGACCTGGAGAACATCGTGGACAACACTTACACAGGACTACTCAACACAACTCTCTCAGCTACGTTCTTCAAGAGCCCCGTGGCTGCGTCTAGCAGCCGGGGACCTGCCGATCTAATTATCCCCATTTCCGAACGAACGGGATCCGCGGGACAGCCGAGTCAATTCACCTACCCGCAGCAGAATGCGACCAACACCATAAGCTTTCCCCAGAACGCGAACCGTGCCGTATTCACAGTAGACGTCAAAGCCCAAGGCGACGAGGAGTTCTGGTGGAGCAACGTGCCACAGAGTGCTATTCATACATTCGACGCTGACTATGGCACGTACCCTGGCTACTCTCCTTGGAGGGAAGTCCAAGTCTCAATCGATGGCCAGCTTGCTGGGGTTTCCTGGCCGTTCCCGGTGATTTACACGGGCGGCGTGGTTCCTCAGCTACACCGTCCAATCGTCGGAATAGAAGCATTTGATATTCGGGAGCATGAAATTGATATCACCCCGTGGTTACCGCTACTTTCGGATGGAAAAGATCACACTTTCTCGATACAGATTATCGGTCTAGTCGACGACGGAGTGTCAAGCGCTTCCCCTGCCCCAGTCACAGCTAGTGAATGGTATGTTACTGGCAAGATCTTCGTCTGGCTTGACGACGAGGGTTCTGTCACGACCGGGGAATTGGGATCTGCGTACGCTAGCAGCCCTAGCATATCCTTCTCTCAAAAAGTCACACAAAATTCGACGGGTTTCAATGAGACCCTCGATTATACTCTAGCGGTGACACGTACGCTATCCATCAGTTCCTACATCAAGACGCAAAATGGCGAAGGGACCGTGACATGGACTCAGTCCCTATCGTACTCGAACAATGGCGGTGTTTCCGCATACGGTAACGATGCGATTAATACATTCGAAATCGCAGGTGCCGATGCCGCTACGGGCCCAGGTCTAGACATCTCGTACTCTACTAGCTACAGCTATCCGTTGTACTGCGGCAGTTCCACGACGTATCTACCAGAAGGAAACTTAACGCTTCGGGCAGATCTCAACCAGAGCTTAATCCACGAAGTCCGTGGGGACTCCGTCTTCCCCAACGGTCTTGAAGCATTTGTAGCCGCCAATGCGGCTGGTGCATCGCAGTTCCGGGGCTCGGTGCTGAGTACGTCGAAGAACGGGTCAGCGACGTACTACAGACCAGGAGATAATAGCTACAGCTCGGGCGTCGGCCAGTCTCACCAGATATTTTCGTTTGAGGCGCTAAATGACGAGGGCGACGAGGGTGTGTCCGAGAGTACAGTGCTCTACTATCGTGACGTTAGCGCGTATAATGATACAATCACTAATAACCATGTTGAGTTTCTGGGTAGGGCTGCAGGATAAGGTAAGATGATAAATCAGATATATATAGGGGTAATCCTGGATATTGCTGATACTTCGTATTGTACAGTCGTTTGCTGCGAATTTACCAAACCCAAAGTCTGAATGGGGTATTTATTTATTGAGTAGATGCAAAAATAGTATACAAATATTTACAAATATTCATTTATCGAAACTATTCTTTACTCTGACCAATCTGACTTTTCATTTGACTCTGAGATATCCCCAGTAAATATTCGACCAGTAACTTTACATACTCTATGACTCCAGATACCAAGATAATTTTATGTGTTCTATTTACGTTTAACATAACCATAAATTCTAGAACTTTTCAGACTTGGATTTTCCAATTGTGAAAACATGGAGGAAGATCGGGCACAGGCCGATCTAGGCATCGCCGCAGATATCGAAGAGGCCCATGCGCCGCCACCATCGCCCCCGTCACCCCCGGCTCGCAAACAACCAAAGAAGCGATTTGTAGGACGAAGAGCCGCTGCAAGTAATGCTAAAAATGGCTCTGGTGATCCATCCATCGAGGATAGCGGGGCTATTCAAGGTAGATTAAATTTGTTCTAAGTCTCGAGTGGAAATTGCTGAATATGAGCCTTAGTATCGCAACCCAGAAGAGCACCGAGACTGCTAAATCAAGTGCCCCCGGAGATCTTGAATGACCCGGAACTTAAGGAGGCCATGGCTTTATTGCCCGCCAATTACTCTTTTGAGATTCATAAGACCATCCATCGCATCCGGTCTTCAGGCGCAAAACGGGTTGCGCTGCAGATGCCCGAAGGGCTACTCATGTTCGCCACCACCATTTCAGATATTCTCACCCAGTTCTGTCCCGGGATAGAAACTCTGATCATGGGCGATGTAACCTACGGCGCCTGCTGCATCGACGATTACACGGCACGAGCTCTGGGTTGTGATCTTCTGGTTCATTATGCGCACAGCTGTCTGATCCCTGTAGACGTTACTAAGATCAAGGTGCTTTACGTCTTCGTCGATATCAGCATAGACACGTCGCATCTTCTAGCTACCCTAGAGCGAAACTTCGCGCCACCTAAGACTATTGCGATAGTCGGGACTATTCAGTTCAATGCTACCATCCACGGCGTTCGATCAACGCTAGAAAAAGCCGGTTTCAAGGTCCTAATCCCTCAAATCGCGCCGTTGTCCAAGGGCGAGATTCTAGGATGTACCTCTCCGCGGTTACCCGATTCCGAGAACGTTGACCTCATCCTCTATTTGGGAGACGGCCGCTTCCATCTTGAGAGTATTATGATCCACAATCCTGCGATTCCGGCATACCGCTACGACCCCTATTCGAGGAAGCTTACTCGTGAGACGTACGGCCACGAGGAAATGCAAAGTCTACGGAGAGACGCTATTACGACGGCAAAAGGGGCGAAGAAATGGGGCCTGATATTGGGCTCACTTGGCCGTCAGGGTAACCCGCACACAATGACATTGATCGAGAAGAAGCTTAAGGAGATGGGGATCTCCTGGGTCAACTTACTTCTCAGCGAGATCTTCCCTGGAAAGCTCGCCATGATGAACGATGTTGAATGTTGGGTTCAAGTAGCCTGCCCCCGGTTGAGTATCGACTGGGGCTACGCATTCCCGCGACCGCTGTTGACGCCGTATGAGGCACTTGTTGCGCTCAACGAAAGGCAGGACTGGAGCCAGAGTGGTGTTTATCCTATGGATTATTATGCGAAAGAAGGGCTGGGAAGGACGAAGGACATTGAGGTGTTAAGCTAGTAGTAACCACTAAGGCACCTACAAGGTAGGACATAGAGTCAATATGACCAAGCTTGCCGCAAGTTGTACCTTAGCGCTGGGTACGTAGATATTTTCCCAAGTGATGGCAACTCAACACGACAGCTGTACACAGGTAGGTACCTATTCACCACAGCAACAAACCACCCCCACACAGCATCCAGGCACCGAAGTAAAACATATATACCATAGCAACAGACCGTTCCTTCGGCCGATAGCCACCGGGCGCTGGATTCACATGAACCTCTGGTTTAGTGGTTAAAGCGCCCGACGTAGCTGGTCAGTAAAATCTGAACAAGGGTTTGGGTTTTCGTAGGTCCAGGTTCGAAACTCCCTTGGGGGAGGAGGTCGAACCTGGACTGAGCTTTTTGATTTTTTTCCTGTTGTCTTTTTTTATTCAGCATAACAAATCAGGGTGGTTTACGTTGACCTAGTTTTTTGCCAACCACCAGTCGAGTCGTCGCACTTACGAAGAAAAAGGGATTTGCAGGGCTATAATTTACCCTTGCGCATATAGCAGCAGGCAGTTAATTAACCAGGCCTAGAAAGGTTATTACCCTTGTTTTGAAGAGGACCTATCTATTATCTTTATTTTCATGCCGTTGGTTGATAAGTAGAATTCTCGCGCTCTCCTATGGTAATTTTAGACTCGCTCATCCACTTACTAGGCTCGATCCTTTAAACAAAGCTGAAAGAAAGACCAATCCTATTTAATGTCGCGACTAATATGTGTTTATTCACTTTGCTTAGACTGGCTGGCTAGTTACTGAGAAGTGAGAAGATATTTCGGCCAGTTATCGTAATAGCTTTCTCCCTTTCCCATACGATGGATGCTTCATCTTATCAAGTACACTTGGTAACTAACCAAATACGCACCTAATAGGCCTGCTTAGCCTTAATAGATGTACTTGCTATGCTATATATATATATATAGTATATAGGTAGGTGTGTAGCTTATACGAGTTACCCGTTAATAGCCTCCCTAGTCTTAGCAAAAGGGAGAGTTTTCACTGCTTAATCAAGTATCCCCTATATTAAGTTCTACAAAGTCTAGAGACACATTAATCACACAAGGAATCTACAGATAGTCAATCCTATCGTCATAAGCATTGGCCAATTAAGTATATTATATAAGTAGATACGGCGCCAACACCGGTAGTATCGACACGGCGCTAAATAATGTAAATACCCAATATGTATAACATCTATTTACCGCGCCACCCGAGGTACCACCTAAGGCATGGTGCCGTGGCCGCTTTAATTATTATCATTATTACACTCGTCTTCTCCATCACCCCCACAAGCGCCCGTCTAAGATGACGTGGTGGTGTTGACGCTGAAGACGTAGCTGGCCTGGAGGACGTAGGGATCGCCTCCGGGGCCGAAGATCTGCTTGGACTCGCGCTGCCACTCCGGGTGGTTGATGGCATCGATCCAGTCCTCGACCTCCATGACAAGGCAGCCGTACTGGGGGATTGTGCGGGGGAAATCCTCGTTGTCGAAGAGACCCTGCGACGTCTTGAGAGGCATCGTGCTGTTCTGACCGTTGCATGAGTACATCTGGAATGCTTCCTGGTCCGTGTACACGTCGAGCTGAATGCCAGACCATTCCGACTGAAGACGGGCGACGAAGCTGCCCTCGGCGCGCCAATCATAGGGGCCCTCTTGACTCCGGTTGATGATCCAGCAAGTGTCTAATTAAAGTAGGTTAGCTTTCTTATCCAGAATTTCCGTTGTGACGAGTTAGTGACGAGTTAGGAACGATTTACCGTAACCAGTGCAGTTGAAACCGCAGTTACCCTCCGCTTCAGGCTTCTGAAGGTCGGTCCCGAGTTGCTTTGGTGCGCTCCAGAAATCGTTCACAGATCCCTTCTTGTTGGCGATGATGTCACCTGTCGGAATTAAGATGTCGTCAACACCAACTCGCTGGCCGCTGTAGGGCAAATAGAACGTGTGGTTCAAGGCGGTGTTAGTCTCGTTATTGGCAAAGCCGTCCAAGTTCCAATACGTATGACTGCTGAGCATGATAGGCGTTTTCTTCGTAGTTGCGATAGCTACCAGCTTAAAATCCCATGTGAAATCGTGGAGAGTATAGGTGACGTAGGAGATGACCTCGCCGGGAAAACCTTGCTCGCCGTCGGGATCGACAATGGAAAAGGTTATACTGTCATTTGAATGAGAAACGACAGTGAAGTTGCGGAAATCCCAGCCATCGGGGCCGCCGTGCAGAGTATCAGCACCTTCAGGAGCTTCCGGTGTAGGGTTCTCATTGGGCTTAATGTGGAATGTTTCGCCATCAATTTCAAATGTGCTATTCTTGATCCGGTTTGCGTATCGGCCCGGTACACTGCCGAGATGAGGATGAGCTTTGTCAAGCGTATATGCTGTAGCGTTGTCGAAGCCGGCTACCACATCTCTCTCGATACCGTACTTGTCGTGGATCAAGAGCTTTGCGACGGAAGCACCATAAGGGATGAACGCGGCTGAGAGCCCCTCGCTGTAAATCCAATAAAAGCCATTTTCATTTGGGCCCAAACTGCTTGACACATGACTGGTCCCAGTACCGCCAGGCGATTGCGCTGAGGCCAATGGCAGCAATAATGCTCCCAGCGAAGCGAGGCTAGTGTTTAGACGCATGTTGACTTGAGGTTGAGACAAGCTTTGCTAGTTAGCATGCAGTTTTGGTGTCGCCGCAATTGACGGTGAGGGAGGAAGACAGAGCAAAGCAAAGCAAAACGACAGGAATCCTGGGGAAGGATTCGTGACTTATATGAATTCAGTCATCAAAGGATAAACCCCCGTCGAGAGAAACTTGATTTGGTTGGACAATGGAGAATACACTTCATCACGTTGACTTGTTACAGGGGGAGTAGGGGGAGTAGGGGGAGTAGAGCTGGGGAATTTTATTAATCTCACCTGCATCCGAACTCAGTAGCCCCAGCAGCCCCGGCGATCCCCAGCTATGGCTTATGCTAGTTTGTCAAAAGCTACTCCGCTTTCTTGGAAAAGTTGGGGTAAACGACGTAACTTAACAAGGCAGTGTTACATTGGCCTCATCTAAATCCATGTGGTAACACGGCACGAAATCAGTAAGTCGCTAATACATACGTTGGAATCCGAGTTGGATTCGTGATTTGGTCGTTTTCTCAGAATGCTCAGGGTCATTCGTACGTAGGGGCCCTTTGTTATTGCATGTTTGCGGGTCACAGTGCAGGGTGAGCCAACATTACCCCATAACTCCGAACCCAAGGTGTTGGATCGCTACAATAAAAGCTGGGTAGTTAGGTACCTAGGTAAATATTGTAATAACTGTCCGTAAAGAAGCGGTATGAGTTAGGCGTATGTATTACCTAGAGGCGTCAACTTAGGTACCTACCTACCTAGGTATGTATGTAGGCAAACTAGAGTCTTACGAGAAGAATCTCTCCACCAACACATTACAGGGTTACCCGATATGTATCCTAGATAATTAGAAGTATTCTCATCTTCCTACTTACCTATTCCGAAGCTGAGTTGGTAGCATACTCAGGCTCTTTGTAACGAACCTCACAGAGTTGAGTTGACCAGAGCCTCGTGGACTAAGAAAGGTCAAACCTCATTCGAGCTCATTCGAGGTTGTGCTTGCTGAAGACTTGTCTAAGCCGGCATTATGTTACCCCACTGGGGGAATTTGGAGATGCTTTTCCTTAGTGACGTTCAAGGCTACAACATTAAGCTTTGGAGGGATCTTCTGTGGAACTCCAGCCCTCCAGCCCTCCCTTCAAGCACCTCTTGTGCCTTGCATACATTCCTCTCGCTAGCATTCATAGCTTAGCTCGAGGCACATTTAAGGTAATGTATGATTCGTCAGAGTGCTTCCGGCAACATATAGCAAATAAAGAGAAGAACATTCGAGGCTTGCCCTCGTGATTCGAATAGGTCTTTGAGACAACATTCCCAATCTGTTCGTGGCAGCCGCTAACCTCTATAGAAGACTTGTTGGCGTTGAAGCAAACATGGAAAATATGGGAAATAGCGGAAAGGATATGAAAGTCACCAATTGGTGCGAGAATTCGAGTAACACAAGAAATGGAGCACGTGAATGGTGGATTTTTGCAATTCTGGAACTAGGAGGATTTGTATCTCCCGAGTCGTTATATACATGTAGGTACCTAACCTAACCTAGGTACTTGGGCATTATGTATACTTACAGTGCGGGGTTCCCCTTTTGGACAGGGCCAGCAAGGCTAAAGTGGTCAACCCGGGATACGTATGTACATACCGTAATCCTTCAGAGCTCCAGGGCTTTAATAGTATGTTGACATGTTCCCCGCGTCTTAGCATCCATCTCGCTTTTGATCGGCTAATATGACGTCGAGATGGCTCAGCACTCACTACCTTCACCTTAGGTATACTCGAATAGCCTCTTTCTAATTGTTCCGGTAGAACGATATAGCTCCCTACTCTAAATTCTATGCATATTTGCTGCTATACAGTTTTATATCAATACCTACCTACCTAACATACATCCTTAGCTCTGCTTTACAAAGCGGAGAGGAGATCTAGAAGTGGGTATAGAGTTAGCGGGCTTTCTTCACCGTGTATTTCGCCGAGGCCTTAAATAGGTAGCTGCTTAGGTTACCCGTAATGATGGGCGAATAGCCCAGTCCCCGTCTGTTATTCCCGAGTACCGAGTGAAACTACCTTAGAGTTATATCCGTAAATCGGCCAGAAATATCACCAGCCTACTTCAAGACTACGGGACTAGGTTGGCATCTTGATCCTATCGTTTATATCAAATCTTACCACGATGATATGTTGAGTGATCGGTGTTGAAGAAGAAAATGCTTGGGTTATGTTCCAATATTTCAGTTATTAGGGTCATGCGCTGAACAATATCTCATTATAAGACTTGGCTCATGTAAATATATTCTTCCATGATAATTCCAAACTCAATGGAACGACCATTGTATTGAATGCTGATCAGTAACCTGTACTCCGCCATATACGACTACCCTATACACATCTGTCGCGCTTACGCCCCCTGTTGTTTAACTGATTATACGTCGACAAGGTTCTCCTCCTCTGGTGCATCTGTGTCCTTAACACCCTTATCGTTTCTCTCCTTCCCCTTTCCCTTTCGATCCGTAGACGAACGTTGATAATATTCGTTAATGATCTTGGCGGGGATACGGTTCAGGAGCTCTTTAGGGAAGATACGCAAGAGACTCCACGCGATATCTAGAGAGTCATAAATACTCCGCTGTTCGTATGCGCCCTGTGCGACGAATTGTCGCTCGAATTTTTCAAGGAATTCTAAAGACAATTTGTCTTCGGCGGACAAGGCCTCCTCGCCGACGACAGCTTTCATAGCTGCAGCATCGCGACCAATGGCATATTTCGCGTAGAGTTGGTTGGACACGTCACCGTGGTCCTTTCGGGTCATTCCCTCACCAATAGCAGATTTCATGAGACGGGAGAGAGATGGTAGCACGTTGATGGGCGGGTAGATACCACGGTTGTCGAGCTGGCGGTCGACGAAGATCTGGCCTTCGGTGATATAACCCGTCAAATCGGGAATGGGATGCGTGATATCATCGTTAGGCATAGTCAAGATGGGAATCTGGGTGATGGAACCATTTCGGCCCTCGACACGACCGGCTCGTTCGTAGATCGTTGATAAATCAGTGTACATGTAACCAGGGAAACCACGTCTACCTGGCACTTCTTCTCGGGCAGCAGATACCTCACGAAGAGCATCGCAGTAGGCCGAAAGATCTGTAAGAATGACTAGAACGTGCTTCTCAAGTTGGTAGGCGTAGTATTCGGCGGTAGTAAGTGCAAGACGAGGGGTGATGATACGCTCGATTCTGTTTGTTATTAGCCAAATCTCCGAGATATTTGAAGAAGGAAAGGAATGCTGCCATACGTAGGATCGTTTGCAAGGTTGAGGAAGAGTGTAACACGCTCCAAGCTACCGTTCTGTTCGAAATCCTGGGTAAAGAATCGGGCAGTTTCCAAGTTGACACCCATAGCAGCGAATACAATGGAGAAGTTCTCCTCGTGGTCATCATGCACACCCTTGTTCGTGGCCCCCTTTTGCTTAACCAAGCCAGCTTGTCGGCAAATCTGGGCGGCAATTTCGTTGTGAGGTAAACCGGCGGCGGAGAAGATAGGAATCTTCTGACCTCGGGCAATCGAGTTCATCGTGTCGATAGTCGAAATACCGGTCGATATCATTTCTTCGGGGTATACCTAGTAACATTGTAAGCGATGATCTTTCTTCGCCTTGTGACATAGATTAATATGTAGCATAGGGACGTGTACGTACTCTTGAGTAGGGGTTGATAGGGCTGCCGTTGATGTCGAGGTAATCCTCAGCCAACACTTTAGGGCCCTTGTCGATAGCTCTGCCAGATCCATCAAAGATACGTCCCAGCATGTCTTCTGATACGCCCAGCTTTAAGCTCTCTCCCGTAAACTCGACTTTAGTCTTTTTGACGTCAATGCCTGACGTGCCCTCGAAAACCTGCACGACGGCGCGGTTGCCTGCAATATTGAGACATAGTTAGAGATAGAAAGGGTTCGGTAAATAAGTTTTCAGTCGCTCACCTCGGGCCTCGAGGACTTGGCCGGATCTCTCTGTTCCATCAGGGAGTGTTAGGGTGACGATTTCATTGTAGCGCGGGAATTTGACGTTATCCAATATGACTAAAGGTCCATTGACACCGCTGACGGTGTTGTACCGAATTCTGGGTACGATGGAATACGAAGAAGATTCTCTGGGATCCATGATGTTTCAACTGCAGGTGTACTTGGTCCAAAGGTATGGTGGAGGATAAAAGTATAGCTCTTCCAAATTGAGAAGCTTGGTTATGATTCGGCTATGAAGCAGTTGATGTCGAGCTCCAGCCACCGTTGACGTTAAAATTACAGCGTTAACCTGTTATCCTGTTATCCTGTTATCCTGTTAGATTGTTAGATTACAGAAGCGGGAAGCTCTAAAACCAGACCCGCAGACCCGTTAGGTATTGTACAAAAGCTCCCACTTAGCTGGCGCAGCACCCGGAGAGTGGGGAACAGCCACAGCAACTGAGTGTCACATTATTGGACAGATAAATACGGTCTGTGCACAAGGTTGTGGATCCATGTGATACTGCACCCATGCACCTAGAATAGGGGAATAGGTTTACCCCCCTTATTGATATAGGGTTTATAGTAGCATTATGCGCATGTCTCATCAAGACTAAGAATAGGAAGCTCCAGGTGCTTATGCGTATGTGGCTTCTTGAAACCTACATATAAGGTTACTTTATAGATATGGTAACTACCTCGGTAGGAAGACATTGACATCAACACTAGTCTATCCTACTTGCCTTATGTCTTCTCTACATGTAGATAGTAGCGGATAGTCTCACAGCCATTACTAGGTTCGTATATCCATGAAGATACCTATCCATCATCTTATAGATGCTAATATCAAAATGCTACATACCACGTAACAACATTTATATAAGGCAAAGATTACACACGGAAGCTGAAGGTTATCATAGATAGTCGTATTATGCGATTATTAAACTGCCTAATACAACACACCCGGCGCGCACAAGCTCAAGCCATACTTAGCGATCCGCAGAAACAGCACGACATGGAGGCACCAAAAATTTTAACCCGGGGGGTGTGCTACTGTGCCATCTGTGGCGGCCCATTCGAACCCCCTGATTTTATGAATAAGAAATCCAATATAACTTTTGGCTATAATCCGGAAACAGTCAGTAAAAAGCAAGCCTCCTGGATCACGAAAGTCCGTGTGTTATTAGAACAGATTCCCGGTGATAGAGGGTAAGGTCTCCCCTTCTGAATCGATGTTCGTGTAGCTAAGTCTTCTAGGGGATATATATCTGGAGTGGGAAAATTCCAGGATGGCTTTATTGAGCTCGATCCCGAAGACGATGATAACCGCCCCATACCTAGCCAGATCAATTACGATTGCTATAAAACGAATTTAACGGCGAGACCATTAGGTGCCATCCCCTTCCATTGGCCATGCTATGAAATATTAGCCAGTGCCCTATATCCTAACACGAACAACCCAATTCATCATGTGGACTTAGATCGGCTTTTCTTGACAATGTTTTTGCTCACAGAGAATGGCGTTTCGCTAGCCATCGAGTCTGGTGCTGAGGAACGACAAAAAGAACATTAGGAATGCCGTACAGGCGAAGAGTTTTTCATTGCAAACCCAGCTCCTTCAGCCGAATTGACATTTCGTGTCGGAAAGATCATGGCAGGCGTGCGATTCCCTAAGTCACCTCCAGATTTTGATCTTGGAAGCCGAGTGATAAATGACCCATTCAAAAAACTACCATCCGGTATCATCTACTTGATCTGTCAGCAGCTCCCCGCCACAGATATTCCTCTATTTGCCCAGGCGTCTTAGTGGGTTAATGCTGTCCTTCGCAAAGGTAACTTCTGGAGGTATCTTATCAAATACGGCATGCCTTGGTTCATCGAAATAGAGGAACTTATTAAACTAGGCACCTTGCGCCGCGAGAGTTTATTCAGAGGAATTTTTTTCTGGGCGTTGGATGCAATCCAAGACTACACAGGGCTAACAGGTCCTCTCGTACACGTTGCAAATCGGCGGCGAATATGGGAAGCCTGCGAGGACATAGCATTGACCTACTATAATAACGACGTCAAACGCGCTATAAGAACAGGCTGAATGATCGAATAGAAGAGAATATCAAATTTAAGTTAATATTAGAATGCTTCATTTTGCTCTGGTTCTATAAAAAGGTAACCTAAGGGGTTCATTAATGGAATAATACAGAGATACGTTAATCAATTATGTACATGTAATTAACCACGTTAGCACGTGATCTGAGAGAATGACTTCATAGGTAACCCCGGCTTTACATAAATAAACTAGGTTAGAGCCATTAGTAGCCGAGCTCTTACAAGGTTGATCCGTTCTAAATCCATCTACCCCATTTATAGCTTTGAATATGTACCTAATCTTTGAATTTGTAGCTTTGAGGAGCCGTTATCAACGTCGATAGAAGAAGAAAACAACAATCCGGGGTAGCATGAGAAGGGTAGTTACGGTTTAAATTATCGATATGAATAAAAGATGGCGTTACTACGCCCAATGATCCAGTTAGCTCGCTGGCGGGTACCAGCCTATGCGCCATCAACTCTACGACGGCGCCTTGCGACAGCTTCCGACGTAAGAGATCCAGCCTCGGCAGCCCAACAACAGCTGCATTCCGACAACCGAGTTAAGATAGTCGAAGTAGGCCCAAGGGATGGCCTACAAAATGAAAAGAAATCAATTCCTCTAGCTACTAAGATCGAATTAATCGAGAAGCTGGCTAAAACTGGAGTGTCTGTCATAGAAGCCGGGTCTTTCGTCTCCCCGAAATGGGTACCGCAAGTTAGTCTCTCTCGGATTGCGGACAATGTAGACAGAAGCTGACTTGGAGAACTCTTCTCCTAGATGGATAATTCTAGCGAAATCCTCGAGCATATCCTGACGAACAAGATCCCCTCACCAGTCCCAATTACATATTCTTTCCTCGCCCCCAACGCAAAGGGTGTTGAAAATGCAACAGCCCTACTCCAAAAGCACCCGGGTGCCTATCTGACGGAAGCCGAATCGTTCTCAGGCGTAGGTGGTAAGCCAGCAGTAGAACTTGCGGTTTTTGCTGCTGCAACTGAGAGTTTCTCAAAGAAGAATCTTAATTGCGACGTCGCGACCTCCCTCGAAAAGTTCAGAGATGTCATACAAGGGGCGAAACAGCTTGGTATTCGAGCACGGGCTTATATATCGGTTGTCTTAGGTTGCCCTTTCGAAGGATACGATGTCAACCCACACAAGGTGGCTGAAATTGCTACTTCGTTGTTGGAGATGGGAGCTGATGAGATCTCCCTTGGGGACACGACAGGGATGGGCACTGCCCCTCGCACACAAGAGCTCTTGAAGTGCATGGCAGCTGCAGGAATACGGAACGAGGACATCGCCATGCATTTCCACGACACGTACGGCCAGGCTCTTGTGAACACGGCTATTTCTCTGGAACGTGGCATCAGGACGTTTGACAGCTCTGTTGGTGGTCTCGGCGGTTGTCCGTACAGCCCTGGAGCTACTGGAAACGTGGCCACCGAAAACATGGTGTACTTTCTCGAGAGCTTGGGCATGGAGACGGGTATTGACCTTGACGCTATGACAGACGTTGGACAGTGGATCTCAGAAGAGTTGGGTAGGCCAAATGACTCGGCTGTTGGCAAGGCCGTGCTTGGGGCTCGTAAGGATGGGTAGTATTTCTACATGTCTACACGATGATGATATGTTTTAGTACAAACAACAAATGTATATATTTGATTGTACCTGTTGAAACGCATACCGCAAGGACTGTTGTCGGGGTTTCATTCACACTTACTATGCAAGACTCATGAACTTGAGCCCGGTATGCGTATGGCAAGCTGCGTAAAAGACTTAACTATTGTACAGGCAAAGCAACGCAATCACTCATTCCGATTTGTTATAGTCAGTAAAAACTGCTATGTCCCATCCTTCGCTATCCACTCATCAATTCTTGCCTCCTCAGCCTGGATATCCTGATTTCCAGGTAAATAGAGCCCTGCAATCTTGATGCAGTCGTGAGCAACTCCCGAGTTGCTTTCTAAGATACGGTATGCCGTTGCGAGGCGAAAGAATCTCTCGCCGATGTGGATGGGTAGAGGTTCCCAATCTGTCTCAAGTTTTTCAACCGCAAAGAACGATCCACTTAGTGTCTCGAGCAGAATGGGCCAATACTCCCGAGCTTGCTCCAAGCTGCCCTGGTTTTTCAATATTTCCATGATGATGATAAGACCGGCAACTTGGTTCATGTGAAGATAAAATACAATTTCGGCGATATGATAAGGGAATGCATCACTAGGATCGCCAATGGCTTTTATTCGTTGCCATAGAGGACTGCCAGCAAGACCGATCATCTGCATTGTAGACTTTTTCCATGTCTTCAAAGCCTTAATATACTCGCCTTGCAGGAAGAGATCGTCTCCATATAGTTTCACCCTGTTGAGAGCCTCCAATAGCGGCCACGGTTCGAGCTGGGGATCTTTTTTGACCTGTTTTGTGACATCCCTAGCTAATATCCGACAGATATTGCCTTCCAGCTTGAAGAAAGGGATTCCGGCAAGGTATTCTCGGTAGGGCTGGACAAGGAGCGTCTATTTAACAGTTAGAAATTAACAACCACTTGTATTATGTTATTATGTATTAAGACTCACTTGCTTTGTAATGCCTAAGTAATTGGAGGATGTGGTGTTTCTGAACGGGTTGTAAAGAACGGCACGATGATCAAAACTCTCAGGGGAAGGTTCGAGCCAGTTGAGCGCCTCGCAGAACAACGCGAAATCCTTCTGAAGAAGTATCATGTGGTTCTTTGGGGCTGGGCTGGCATCTCTGATCTTGATAGAGTAGCTCATGACGAAGCCTTTGAAGTTTCTGATAATCGCTTTGCCGATAGCTACGATAGGGATCTCCCAGGCAGATAAGAGATGGCACAAGTTAACGCCATGAGTGACGACGCGGATGAAGAGGTGGTACTTTAGCATGACATCAATAGCCTCATGTGATATTTGACGGTTAACAAGGAGGATTGCAGTGTCGAACTTGTAATGTTCCAAGAGTGGAACGAAAGAAGTGTAGGACTCGAGGTCCTGATGCACTCTGGTCAATCTCGGCTCGGGGGGCGACAAGGTACAGAGAACGAGATGATAAATAGAATTTCTAAGTTCAGGAGGGAGATCTAAGAAACGAAAAGGAGTAGACGCCATATTTGCTATTTGAAACTGTAAAGAATAATAAAGAGTGCAAAGGATGCAAATAACGTATGCAGCAGACAATTCCCACTTCACAAAAAGATGATATAGACCGGAAAGAATAAAAGTCAAGGGGCTGTAGGGAAAATAGAGAATGTTGTATGGGTGTGGGATTGCATATCGAAGATAAGCGGGCGCGACTACTAGTAGTTGTAAGTTGTTGACAAAATTAGAAGTCGTGAATACCTCAGGAGGGAAGCGGCGACGCGTATGGGGGCGGTGTATTTCATGAGCAGTACCTCTCGTGGATGTCGCGTTGCTATGTTGGTAACGCTATGCATGCTATTCACTGTTAGTCACCTATTTACCGATAACCACCACCTAAGTACCTACTTAGGTAAGTTACAAAAAAATCTACCTACCTATGCTAAAGTTCATGTACACTACGCTGCTTGTTACTTTTTATTTGCTCTTGTCCCCCCTTTTCTCCCCTTTGATACACCGGTTTACTTTATCGTCCCAAGACTAAGGGATGTCATCCAATCCCAGACGTAGTTCCCAGACGTAGTTGTGTAACTATTTAGTAAATAGATTTTCACCCTTATGTTATCGGTATCTAGATAGTATCTAGATAGACTCGTGCTTTCTTGATATAGCAAATAGCACAATCCACACTTCACCTTAGAATAGGACTTAGATAAGACCTTATTGATACATAGATACTTATGTACTGAGTTTATCGCAATACGTAAATTACTTCAACATTCTTATATATGCTAATAAATTAACTAGGTACCCAGGTAGAAAGTCTAATAAAAGATAATTGAGCTGCAGTCCAGTCTCTATAAAGATTGACAAGAGAGTTTGTTATAGACTTAATAGATATATACATATACCCGTTAAAGAAAGCTATAACGACTAACTAAATACTTAGGTATACTAGGTACCTAACCTAATTCAAATTGAGTTGCATCGTGGTTTCCTCAATTCCAAGTTGATACCTCCTATTCAACTACCCCTATTCTTAGATATCTTATGTAATCAGGTAGCATAATCTGATCTCTGGGGCTCTGCTAGGCTTGCTTCCCCACGTGGCTTTGGTCCCACAGTGGGGTTGCACTCCGAATCTGCAAACCAGGGTCAATCAACTTTAACCTCCAAATTTAGTATAAAAAAGTTTATTCGTGAGATCAACGCTACTTTAAGATCTTTCGAGTCTCTCGCAGCCAAGACCAAATTCGAGATGCACTCATCAGTCCAACCCCATGCATGGGTTGCTCTAAAGCTTCCATCTGGGAACCTTCGAGTGCTTGAAGTCACACCTAATACGTATGTCATCTATATCGTCGTGGATTATCTTAAGTAACTGCATCGACTGACATGTATTCGTCCTATAGGACCATCTCCTTAGGGAAGTATGGGTTATTCCCAAGCAACCTCATAATTCACCGGCCCTATCACCTGACCTATGAATTGCAAGACAAGCAATCAGGAGAAAGTTTTAATCGCTTGCGCATCGTGCCAGCTTCTGAGCTGTATAATGATATACTATCTTCTGATGCATCAGCTAGCTCCCTAGAAGGAGAAACTCCCACAACAAACGAAGGTGATGATGCCGAGAGCGCTATACCGACAGGAATCGAGTATTCGCTCGTCGATCCCGAATCTGGTGCTGTTGTTGCTCGAACCGATCGTGTAGAAATCGATGCCTCAGCTCGTCAGACCCTGACAGCAGAGGAGATAGAAGCCTTGAAGAAAGACGGCACAGATGCAGGAAGAGATATAATAGCCAAGTTATTACTATCACATACGGCGATCGACCAGAAGACGGAGTATTCTTTGGCCAAATACAAATTGCTCAAGACGAAAAAGTATATTCGAAGATTCTCCGTTCTCCCCATGGATGTGCCAATGCTCGCCCACTGGCAATTGGAAGTAAAGGACCCGAGTAAGATACTAGATATGAGAGATGAGATGATAGCACTATTAGGATGTTGGGCCAATGTGCATTTTGGTGGGGAGGATCAATGCGAGAATAGTGGTACCGAAGAAGTTGACAATCATGAGAAAAAGAGTTTCGAGTCCACACCCGGTCGATGGCTTGTCGTGGATGACACTGGTGGTCTTCTAGTGGCGGCTATGGCAGAGAGAATGGGTATTCTCTACCCGCCTGAAAATGGGGCCTCGGAAAACCAAAAGGAGTATTCACATAACCAAAAAGTTATGTCAAACATGGGAGATGCTCTCTCTAAAACAAGCACCGAACATGGCAACTCAACTATGGAAACAGTACCACAAGGTCACGATTCTGCAGAGCCAAAACCCCCCGAGAGTACAAAAGTTTCGCATGGAGACGGGAAATCGCGATGTAATGATGCAAAGGTACCATATGCGAATTCTAATACCCTCACTGTCATACATGCCAACCAACAGCCGAACCTAACCTTTCTACGGGATTATGGCTTTGATGTTACAAATCCTGCTCAACCAGCAGACCACCCATTAGCCTCTCACTTAATGACCATATCATGGTTACAACTCGTCAAGCCGGATTTGGACTTCACTTACGCTTCGGAAATGCCTAACGTTTCGTCTGAGGTGCTCCGCTCGTGGAAACCCAACCGTCGGGGTACATACCACCGCAAGCGCCGCCGTTGGGCTAAGATTCGGCATGTTGTCGACACTACGCGGAAAGGCGAATTCTCTGGGTTGGTAATTGCTAGCACGATGGACCCTATCTCTATCATGCGTTACGCAGTGCCGCTCCTTGCCGGTGGTGCGCCCATAGCTATCTACTCGCAGTCTATCGAACCTCTGACAGCGCTAGCAGATTGTTATAGCATAGCACGCCGCGCAGCTTGGGCATCAAATCCGCCAGAAGAGGCGGTGGGCAAAACCCTTCTGGAGCTGGAGCAGTGGCCCGGTAACGAGGAGTTCCCGTTAAATCCGGCCCTCATATTAGGAGCTGCGCTACAGACAAGCCGTGTCAGGAAATGGCAGGTTCTTCCTGGACGGACACATCCTCTAATGACAAGTAAGGGCGGGGCGGAAGGGTATATATTCACGGCTTGGAGAGTTAGGCCTGCGGAAGGCAAGATAGAAGCTAGAGGGAAAGCTCGCACTAAGAAGAGGAAGCTCGAAGTGTCGAGACAAGAATAGGCTCACAAGCAGGCTGAATAGAAACATGGCTGCATTTATCGGCGTTACAAAAGTCGGTATCATAGGACATAAGGTATAGCACTCTAGCATTAGCTAGTTTCAGTCTAGTTTTCAGGTCGCATATATTTGCGATTGATACCCATACCAAGAATTCTCCTTACTTGACGGCTCAATAGGCTTCTTTTATATCTGATACTTGTTCGTTTCTGTGTATTGTAGAGCCACTACCCCCTACAATGACTTGCCCATGAACTTCCTCTTTGTAAAACTTAACCACCACTTGCTGGGCTTGCCATCACTATCTTCTTCGTAGACTCGTGCTAATAATCGCGAAGCCAGCTCTTGTCGCACCTGGGAGAGATACTGTCGTAGTTGCTCAGCATCCTGCCTATCTCGTGGTGGTTCGTAGATCTGCATGCTGAGTTAGATTTACACTACGAACCCTGTTGTTCCTCTATCTGGAAGAAATTATGCTAGAACGTACCTGGTTTAAAGGGAATCCAGGGTCACCTGGAATGGCGAAGTTAAGATCCAGGGCAGTGTTGAGGACCTCCTTCGTGGCGTCCCTTAGGGAGTGCTGGGGGCGGATCTTGCCGAGGCACTCGCTCACGAATAGGATGCCGTAGATTAGCAGCCTATCAGCCGGTCCTTGGATCTCGAAGTTACGGAAGAACGTATTGGCACGGAAAAGCGAGATCACCTCGTCTAGGATATCATAGGACTCGGCATCTGGGTCGGGGCTTTCGTTGGCAGGCAGAGGTGGGTTGGGCTGCGGTAGCACGTACGCGGGACCACGGGTCTTGGTGCGGAGGGGGAGTAGAGGGAAGTTCCCAACTAGACGTGGAATGTTGGGGTCATTGTTAAACATAGAGTTGTAGGCCTAAGTGATAATGGATCTTGTTAGCTAAGATGAAGGTGACTTGTGGTATTAGGCTTTAGGAGATCTTAAGACAATTAGGGGGTTATCAAGGCGGTAATAAGAAAGCATATACCGGCATCTTGTCAAGAATTCACCGAGACAATAATTGGTGATAGCTTGACAGACCTGCAATTCTAGATATGTCGGTATGTATTGCAGAAGGGAGCTCCTATTTCCTATTTCTCTCTGTTGACGCCTAGACTCGCAGGGCTTGGTGCAGCTGAGGCTGACGTCCCTGTGTAAATTGTTAGTGAGAAACGTCACTAGGTACCTCATTCGGATAAATGCCGGTACATAATGCCCGACTTTGTTAGGAGTTGAGCAGGGGCATGCATAACGTTATGGAAGTACCCCGCTCTGTATAGGCATGTACCTACCCGCCAGGTTGTACAAACCTGCACTAAAGATAGATGACCTGTCACTAACCTTAATTAGGCTAATAAATGACTTACATCCACAATCCATGGAGCATCTGACGCCAATCTTGGCAGTTAGTTCTTGACGGGATCGGGGTATACAAGCTATAATTGGTTCATGCTAGGTGTGGCGTTGATTGATCTAAGGCTGGAGCCTAGCCCTAACTCTACTTGGGGCAATAGAAGATCAGGTGAATTCGCGCAATAGTGGTGACTACAACTACTTGACCGCATTCAAATTGCCAGCGCAATCCACGTTTGTTTGCGGGTGGAATGCCCCTCTAGGTCGCGTCTTTCTCTCATCCACTCCCATCGTTCATATTACCGCCCGGTATCAGAACTGTTGCATCCTTTGCATTCACCCCTTACTTTGCACAGTTCCAGGTTACGTGATCGGTCGAATAGGGTTTTCTTCTTTTATTTTATTTAGTTTGTTGGAAGTACTCGCTACCTTTAAAAACTTCATTACGATAACGGAAACAAATACCTAGGCGCATATCGTATCGTATTGCACCACACTCCTATTTATCCAAGATACAAATACAACTGCAGCCTCTTAAATCTTGCCTTACTTTAAAATTCGGTTCACCTTTCAGTGAGTTTCTTCCAAATAACAGGTAAGTGTTTTCTTTTCCTTTACTTTTACCTTAGTTATACTAACATCTTTTTCTAGGGGATTAACATCCTGGCATCCCTGTCGTTATGTTATCTAAAGGATCCCGCGTGACGGCTTCAACAAAAGTAAAGACTAAGCGCAGGCAACTCTATCGCAGAACAAAGTATTGCAAAGTCTTATCTCCAGGAATCGGGTCACTTTACGATATTCTCCACGACCATGCTTCCACCGCACTTTATGTCCCACCTCTGTGTTGGACTGAATTCCACACACAAGTGTTAGGTTGTCGATTTGTGCAACAACCTCCCCAGACTACACCAGTACCCTCGTCTCCATCATCTCCATCTCGAAAATCACAACATCCTAAGGTACCACAAACCGTGGTGCATATCAGCCGTGCTCTCGACATCATAATGAAGAAGAACGTCTCTACCTACGAGCAGAACGAAGCAATGAAGAGCGTCTTAAACGACCTATTCCCTAACCAATTATCTCCAACTGACCTCTCAAGTCTTACCCTTCGATGCGGAAAAGACCGATATATGAGTGGAGTTCGGTGCCAGGCCCTGTATAAGGACTCGATTTGCTCAAGCTCATTTGAGTCGACTACTACCTGCTCATCTGATGTTTCGATAATAAACAAAGAGAGAGATACCAGTGCCCCCTATAGCGCACCGATACTAGCCTACCTAGACCGTGACTATCTAAACCATATTAGGAGAAACTGTTTCCGGGTATCTTCTGGTCCTAATGGATCATTCAATGGTCCTATACACCGCTTGCAAAAGATCCGATCGGAAAAGTTAATGCCGAAGAATCCAGACGAGGATCAGTACATCCTCGCCACCATGCTAGCAATGGCTCAACAGCATGTATATGGAAATATGTTCACAGGGGAGGGCTTTTTGCCGAAAGATGTCGATATTCGTGTCCTGACAGTTTCGAAAGATGACAGTTCGTTCGTCGTCTATTCAAGCGTGGTGCCCACAGCATTTCTAACCATGTTCCACGAGCCCGGAAAATCACCACGAGGAAATGCCAAAGTTACAATCAACTATCAACATGTCCCAATATGGCCTGTTCTAGGTCTCAAAGAACGCCTAGGACAGGCCCTTGGCAGAGATCTCATTGGTGAATTCGATATAGATCGAATTGAAACTTTTGAGGATGAGTTAGCATCCGATTTAGAAGGAGGTAGCAGCGACAGCTTTGATGAAAAATTACAAGCTGTGCTTCAGAAACTTAACAAGGAAGATGAGTCGATGTCCAATACAGCCCAAACAACACCCTCGCCTAAGCGCAAAAGAAAAATATTCTCGGAAGTCTTTAATGGAAGCTTCTCTGAGGATTACGAGTCCTCCGGCTATCCAAGTGAGTTACTGGCGAAGCGCAGGCGTTTAGAGGAAGGTAGGGTTGGCGTCGTCCGATAACGCAACACCGTCCCAGGTTTTTTAATGAAACCATGAGGATATATGAATGGGTTACTAAGATATGGACAGGAATGAACAATGGGCCGGCTGTGGTACCGCCGCCGGATATTTCATGGTTTTTAGAAGGTTCCCTGGTGTCCAATGATCAAACACCAGAGCAGTAGGAACCTTCTTGCAGTATTTTGGGGTGTTTTGTAGTTTAGGGGATGGAACAGAGGGATATATCTGACAGCTCCGTACAGTGGGCAGACCAGTTGGCAGGGTTTTATTAGCCACAGCCAGCCTCGTGGCTTATACCAGCCGATTGTTATTATGCGACGATGATTACGACGATACGAGACACTCAGACGTGTACCGGCTTTGCCTCCGATCTAAAAGGGACGATACGCAACTTTTGCTTAGCATTTTGGCGCGCTGCATTTTGTCGAAGCAGACAAATTGCCTATGCATATTGTGTTATTAGGGTTGCCTGCATAGAATCATAGCTTCGAAGAAATCTTACGATTTTACCAGCCTCGCGGTTGGGACTTCCACAAACCTATAATTTGACAACCAGTGATGTATTATTCACAATATGATGGAAACCTTATAATTTCATCACGAATGTAGTGTGCTGTGCTACTCTATTCATTCTCACTTCACTATTTAGATAATCGTCTGATATTATTACTTAGAAATCTCAAACATACAGCCCATAGTCACCATATCTGTACCACAACCATCCAGTCAGACCTTAGATGTCCAGGTAGAATGGCGATTCTTGGCTCAGTTCACCCATTTAACTGACTTTGAAGACCAGCAACTTGTGTAGGGGATGTATCATAGTCCACTGTCATGACGATTCAAGTCACGATCTGTATGCCTTGCAGCTGGATAATAGCAGCAGTACGCCAGGTATTTAATCCACAGACATCCTTTGCCTATCCCTCCTTTTTTTAAAATACAACATCAATCCACCATTGATAGAAACCTAACTAAATATTCAACTACACCTTCTTACGTATCTTTTTGATCCGGCAACCAATTTCATCAGATTCCAGCATCATCTCAAGAAGTATAATCGATTATCGGCCACTTGACATTATACCACCACCACGACGGCCTCGCCCGAAATATATACCCCTCGGGTTAAACTAGGCCAATAATGTCCGCTTTCATTTTGGAGATCCGGAGCCAGAAGCTCCTACTGATTCTCATATACTTGGAGATGTTGCTGCTACGTTATGGGGCATCATCGGGCAAGGGAAGCAGGCTGCACAATCATCCACTGGAACCGAGTGCAAAACCCAAGGCTTAACATTCGACAGGCTACCATTCGATGTGAAGGTTTCTATATTCGAAATGGTCGGCTTATTACCAAGCTGGGTCTACTTCAGATACAAATATGCAAAGCTTGTTGAGCTTTGGGGTGGTAATCAGGAAGTCTATGTCAATAAAGAATGGCACGAATCTCACCAGTTGCGAAGGGGCCTAAGCACCCTCGGCTTCTTAATCGACAAACCAACCGGTGCAGAGACACTCGCCGACCGTGTTCTCCGCCTCTCTGTTGGAAACAACGGCCAAGTCAACCCTATGGCCTACGAGAAGAGAGATAGACTGGTTCTTCTTCGACGACTGTGTGATTATAGCGCTCGATGGTGAGAATTGGTCTATGCCTCATTACATCCACAGCATTCGAACCTGTGTCTTCAGGCTCGACAATATTTTTGATGGCACAGTTTTTCGTGAATCCCAGAATCCACCTCCTGATTTTATATGGTCCCAATGTTCACACATTGAAGAACTTATAATTCTAGTCGGTGGATTTCGGAAAGAAGTTCCACCGTCAAGAATGAAGGTAATTAAAGCTTTCCAAGCTAACCTGGTTTCCTTCAAGGATACGCTATCCGAATTTGAGGATGAGATGTCCGAGCATGAAGATACACGATACGTCAAATATCTTCTCGAATCTGAGAGGTATATGATTGAAGATATTAGCAGGCATTGGTCATTGGCTTTCTTAACCAAGTATCAGCGCGGGTAGAAGTGGTTGGACGATGAAGATGGTTTGCGATGGCTTGCCTACCCAGTACATGATGACAATAATGAAATTTCTATTTGGTTGGCAACCCCTGAAGGACACGACTGGCTTGGGCATGATTGGAATGAAAGTTCTCAGCCAGGTTCCCGGTTCCCGGTTCCTGGCATCGGCATCCGGTTGGTGGTGGTTGGCGTCTGATTTTGGTTTCCCATGGCTAGAAACCGAACAAGGGCTAGGCTGGCTTGATACTCATATGGGCCGGAAATTTCTCAAAATTAGACAAGCCCTACTGTGGTTAAACACCGGTACCTATACCTCATCGAGCCTTACACCTCTTGGAACACAAGTTTGGAAAGCCTGGTTCAATACGGTTGCGGGAATAGAATGGAAATTCCAGAATTGCCCTGACGGAAACCCGCCGGCGCCCCCACGACCACCTCAAAGAGACTCAACCCCGCCTCCGAATGTTGAGTTTCCCATATACTTCAAAAATCCACACTTTCGAGGATGGCGTTTTGTTATTTGTCCGGAGGAAATTGCTAAGAGGGCAGCAAGCCGTCGAAAATAAGGCCAAGGAGAATGAGAATAGTTAGAGGCCATAATGCTTAGGTACCTTAGGCATCTAAGGTTGAGTTATTTTTGACTTAATTAGATAGTTACATCTTTAGATATCATATCGTCAACTGCGCGTATGTCTCTGGTCATGTTTCGTCTATAAGTAGAAAAGTGAAGAGATAGATCTCGCTAAATAACTTCTTCTTTTCTAGAAAATTTACCAATAACCTTATTATTTATCCTGTGATTGGGACCTTAGACATCATCATGAAGAGCGTTATACTGTACAATATATGCGTATGTGTAAATTCAACCCCCAGTTTGAGAACCTGGTGTTACAGACTAATGCTCCAACGTGGCTGCCTTACTAAAGTAGCTGGGACAACTAGAGCCAATAACGGCTAAATATTGGAGAGGAGACGGATCAGGGGGGTCTAATAGATCTGTTTACTTTGGGTAACTAGATTTAACAAAGTAGACAAATCTGTGAACTAAACTACCAAATTGTAATTGTTAGAGATACCCCTTGATGAATGTCATACGTAGAGTGAATGTTAGAAGTAGCAGCGAAGCTGCTGTATAGTAGCTGTGTAGTAGTATGAATCTATTGACGCTTGACCTTCTATCCTCTTTCGAGGGCGCTTCGCGCCCCTTATATTCTATGTAGATCTATGTCTAATTCATACTAGTCTCACTTGTCCCCTGACAGTAATACCATCAAAGGAGCAAATATACGGAAGGTAAAAAGAAATAAAAAAGAAGGATCTCCTTATGTATCTAGTCATTAATTTTACAGTTATCACTTTAAGTTTAATATTTAACCTATACTTAAAGGAAGGACTCCAAGCCTTCCTGACGAATATCTTGGTATTAGTTATTTTACCACTTTGACTCGTATTGTTACTGTTTACCTAAAATTAAGACTTAACTAGTACTATACTTTAACGTACTTAAGTATAGGTTCGTTACAACTGGGGGTTGTTTAATAATACTAGTTCTCTCTAAGATAATATTTTTAACTAATTTTCTAATAAATGATAACTAATGCGTGCTTTTAAGGATATGAGATTATAATGAAAAAAAAAACGTACCGGCCTATCTTACTTACCCAGTAGACTTCGGCATGACATTCTCGTATATAGTATCAGCCATCAAAATAAAAGCGCACTTAACTGGTAAGCAACTGAATGTAGAGTGATATGTGGCGATATATCTCGTATAAAATACCAGACGCCATCCCGTAAAACACATAGGAACATAAGAATATTTACAACCCAATATATGGCGGGTTGTATGCAGCTAAAGGCGCAACATGAAGCCCGAAAGAGGAATATCGAAAGCGCCATGTGACCAATCAGGCTGACGCCCGCACTGTAGCTTAACGTAGTATGACGCCTTAGAACCTCGTATTCCATTAACTCCCTTAGAAGTGAGGATGGTGAAAGTTGCATTGGTGATAGGAAATGTAGCTGTATTGAGCCGAAAAGGAGAGGTTTTTGTATAAAGGCTAGATTATCTACCATTATGTCTCTCATCTTTAAAATAATAAATAATATCATCAAGGCAAAGATACCATAGGAAACTCTTAATACGCTGATAAAATGTCTTGTTCGCTTATTCTCTTTGCATCGGCATTTGCATTAGCCTTGGCGCAAAGCAACTATCCAAACCAATCCGCACCTTTCAATCTCGTCCTGTCAAGCGATAACAGCACCCTGAATGGCCTTAAGCTCACCGCTTGTCACTCTGGAGCTGCCGTCGAGTCATTCTGTCTCGACGATACCGTAGAAGAGCCCGAGTTCCAGACATTCTTCTTCAATGGCTCAGCCGAAGCACCCCAGGACCCCAACTACCTGCCTTCCGGTCTGATAACATGGACTTTCACCGGTGGCCAGCCGCCTTTCACTGAGAGCACGGCAATGTCACTCATGTATAACCCAGCTTCCAACCTCGCGTTTCCGCTCATTTGGCCCAGCAGCGACACCGCTCAGCCTGTTTCCTTCACCGAGGATGAGCTCTTGGCCGTGGCGGCCAACATCGATGATGCGGTCTCGCCGCCGCAACCGTTTGAGAACTATGTCACCTATTTGACCGATCGCTGGGCTGTGTGCACGACGTATTGGCAGGGGTACGGATATGTTGCGCTTCAGTATGTCCTAGGAAAGGAAGAGCCGCAGAACCCTAGCTGTCAACGGGTGACGGTTAAGAGAGTCTTTGTGGAGTCGTGAGAGACATTAGGACGCCAGCGAGCTGGATCATGCTCTAAGCAACCAGGATTGGGATCTATGATACACACATCATATTATCTTCATGTATCCTTCTTAGATATATAATTTTACTCTTTGATTATAATGTTACCATGGAATTAGACTATCGAAATGGAGGATGAACCTGTCAGAGATACCCGTTGATTGATGTCATACACAGAGTGAGTGTCTAGGATAGGTAGACCAAGTAATATATTGTATTGATCTAGTAACGCCTGGCCTTCTATCCTCTTACGAGGGCGCTGTGCGCCCCTTATATAGTAGATAGACCCCTGTAGATACCCCTACCCACTAATACCCTGACAGAACCATGGAATGTTGATATATCTATAACATAGGTCCCTTAAATGATAGCAACATTAGAATAAACTCTAATCAAATACCATACCATACGCCTAACCCTTATCCATCACGCCATTGAAGTTATGAATCAAATTAATTTCCCGACCAGTCCCCCATAGCAATACCAATGCCACCCTAACTCCTGCTGCCCAATGTTTCGACGTGAAGATTCATTCAGTGCTTCAAGGGTTTTAACAACTCTTGTTCTGTCTAAAGCAGCCCCTGCTCATACCGAGCGAGTCCGGAGCATCACTCAAGCCCTGGAATACGTCGTCCAAGTTGAAGCTGAAGTCAGAAACACCGCACGCCTTTCCAATATAATCGCTGAAGAACGAGATAGCATCAAGCCCGTTCTCCACGAACGTCTTAGCACCTTCGACGGCTTTCTGAACCGCGGTCACAGATGCGCCTCCAGGCACAGCATCAAGACCTTCCTCGACGAGGGTCGTCACGGCCGATAGCACCACGGCGCATATCACGTTGTCTAGCTTCGAAAGTCCCTGGATGACCACATCAAGGAATGCAACGGCTCCCGAGAGGTCGCAGATACACTCGCCCGGAGTAAATTCGTTCCCGTCGTCGTCTTTGTCTATTGTGCTAGGATCTAATTTGTCTGTAGGCACATCTGGACCTTTGCACTGCAGTTAAATCCTATATGTCAGTATCATTTCGATTTTGCTAATATTAGAGCAAGGGAGGCCACATACACCAACGGCGTTCGGGTCTGACCCCGGATTTTGCGCCGGGCAAAATATCTTACACGGGGCGAGCTCCTTCTCTGTGTTTCCAGCTCCGAGGTATGAGAGACAGATGCCTATCCTCCCAAAGTTGGCAATGGTGTCGGCATCTGAGCGGGGAATGACTGCAGCATAGGTCGAGCCTAACAGCCTAACTAAAGTTGTAGTATATAGGCACGTAGATAGTAGAGTGATCTTCATCGTGAGGAAATAATAGACGTTAAGAACCAGAAATATAAGGAATAGCTAATCAAGGTTGGTAAAAGTTGAAGGTCGAAGTGTATCTTTCTGAGATGGATATGTCTTTGGTATGTAGTTCTGCTTTTCTTGACAGTGGTTTCGAGTTCGTGGGTATGATGGCTTTAATAGACTACCTACACAGTTAGATAAAGGTAACTGCTTGACAGGCTCCCTGACTTTAGCAAAAGGGAAACATTAAATAAATCTACTTATACGATAGTCATTAAGAGAATTTAAAAACAAACCAGTTATACGTCAACACCTCCTAAGTCGAGAGCCTTAATCATGGCTCGTGCGAATACCTAGCACGCATGCATTCATCTATTTTCAATCATTACACCACATGCCTGCGCCTCATCAGCTGGGCCATCTGGTTACGACCAACAGCAAAAGGGCGAGCCAGAGAGGTGTGTACCCAAGGGGAATTCTGCCGGGATGGATTCTATCCGGAGTTATCTATATAAAAACTGGAAGACGACTCGTAATAAGAACGCCAAGAATTACCTACGGACATAGGGATTGGTGGTTGCACATGATAAGGATATTCCTATTCTTTGGGTTGGGTATGTTGACGAGATAGGGGACCAGTAGTGATAGAACTAACACGTCGGCCATTGTTTCGAAACAAATCCAGCTGATAGCTGTTAAGCCTTACTTGATGTCGGGCGCTTATAGATCGGATGTCGCATCTCCCGCGAACGGGATATCCTGAAATAGAAACTGGGGGAATCCCGCACCACTTGATTCGCCAGTCAGCCGCATAGCCCCCGAGAACGGCAGTCCATATATTTGTCCCTCACTGTGGCTCTTTATTGATATTCACTGCCCTCCGGAATTTGAGTATTCCGCTTGTTAGTCCCGTAAAACTATTAAATAAACCTTCATCTATTTGTTTATAACGAAGCGAGCCACGCATGCTTCGCATGTGACAAATCATATATCTTCGTACCCGTGCAGCCTCCAATCGTTATTGAATGAGAAAGTTTGTGGCCTTTGATCAGGAGGACACCGTATAGGAATGGATATTTCCCACGACAAGACGAATGAGAAAAGCCACAGCATATCTTGGCAGAACGCTACTTACTGGAGACCTCATCTGCTTCCATGATTGCAGTGTTTAGACGGTAATGGAGCTTGCCTATCTGATATCACTAATACACTACAGACTCAATATTCTTTTTGAATATAGATTGGGGTAACTGAATGATTAGGATTGGACAAAGGAAAGGGGGGTTCAGAGGGACTATTACCAAACTTCGACTCTACCCCTTATTGTCTACTCCGCAGTGAATGGTTATATTTCATGGAACTCCTATAAGCTCTCAAGCCCCATTCGCGAAACTTGCACCCCCAACCTCCTTGTCAAACTCAACGCAAGCCGACAGTCCGCACAGTTCGAACACGTCCCTCACACCTCCATCGATCTTCCCATCTGCCTTATACCTATTCTTTATCTCGCCCGTGCTCTTCAGTTCCCGGCAGAACTCGCGCATGGCGATGTATACACTTGTCATACCATACCGGCTATAGGCCAAAGGACAATCTTGTATCCCAACTCCTTCGCCTCCCGCGTGTTGACCAAAGGTGTGACGCCACCGCTGACCATGTTTAGAAGACACGGGGTAGGCGCCATATCCTTAACTACTTGTGCCATCTGCTCTTTCGTCTGCATCCCCTCTAGGAACGCCACTTCGGCACCGGCTTCCACGGCGGCTTTTAATCTGCTAACTGCCTCCTCGTAGCCCCGTGACTGCAGCGCGTCAGTGCGCGCAATAATTACGATATCCGAGCCCATGCGCGAGCGCGCAGCCGCAGCGGCCCGGATGCGTGCCACGAATGGAGGGGTATCAACGAGCTCCTTTCCGCCGAGATGTCCGCAGCGCTTAGTCGTGACTTGGTCCTCGATATGAAATGCTGCTACCCCCTGGAGAACGTACTTCTCGGTAGTACGGGCGACCATCAGGGGTCCGCCAAACCCGGTATCGGCATTCGTCGCCATATCATCGACGGTTGTAAGACCGAGGTCCGGCTGCCCGAGACGGGATGCAGCTGTTCCCGCGCCCGTCTGACCCGAAGTCAGTCCAAAGATATCCGGGAAAGAAACCCACTGGCTTGCGGCTCGAGGAGGCGAGGTCCTACCATGTACAACGCGTCAAAGCCTACGTTCAGCGCCACGCGGGCCGTAAGTCCGTCATGTACGCCCGGACATATAACGGTCTTTTCCGGATCAGCAAGCATCTGCCGAAGCCTCGTTCCAGACTTATGTAGTCTGGGCCATTGAAGATAACCGACACGTAACGACAGTTTCGTAATCTACAGCGCGCGATTGTCTAAATTGTCGTAAAACGAAATCTTCCGTAAATACTACCTAGCTTTGATTCACCGAGTCCAAGACGCTCATTTGTATCTACTTCATATTGAAACTTTTCATCTTCGCCTCTCCGTCCTCGGGACGCCCGGTTCATCTGGAACTTACGGCCTTTGCTCTTTAAAAGTACCCGCTTTATACTTGCGCGGACTGGATCTAAGGGGCTATGACTGCTACTTAGAGAGCGGATTTCCCCGGAAATGACATACCCAGGTGAGTAGGTAAGTACGTAACTCGGAAGATTTATAATTTTTGACAGATTACATTGTGACTTACGTAGGTAGGTTAGACTATCTCAACCGCCGCTTTCCGGCGACGGCGAGCTGTCATAACAGGGCATACTGCCGGATGTGACCTAAGCTCTTCGCTGGGATATAACCTATTTATAATTCATGAGAAAGATGAACCTAGTATGCGTGTGTTTGTGTGTACTGTGACTACTTTACTCATAAGTTGTTGGTTATGAGATCGTTTCGTGTAAAGATTAGGGGTGGATTCGTGTCGCACTGACGACTTGCTGTCGCAGAAATGGGCAGGCTTTCTTGTAAATGATCGCTTCAATCAAACGAGTCCTTTCATCGAATATTTATTAATATTTCTCCACGATGCTTTGAAATATCATGAGTAATAAAAAGTACTGTGATGTTCAGGATAGATGAGCTGTCTCAGCAAAGATTCCAAGCCTTAGAACTAGTCGAGAATAGGTGTAATCGCTCATATGAAGCTAGAACCCCTTAGGACTAAGTCGACATAGAAATTGAATGGGTAGAATTACTTCAAAAAAAGCAAACTCAGCTCAAGGCTTTAATCGCGCCTGCAATGAAGAAAAATCAATGCATGAACGGGGAGTCGAACCCCGAGCTCAACCTTACAACTGGAAGATGGAAGGGTTGAATGTTACCGCTACACCATTCATGCTTGGATTGCTGAAAGATTTGCCGATCATTCTAGTATATATCTCCAGCTATGTGTGCGACACTGGCTACCTAACCTAATCGTTTCAACTAGGGCGGGCTATTATGGCGCCCCATATTTAGACCAATCAGAAATGGCACATGGGGTGATAGTTTCTTCAAGTACATGTCTCTTACGATTCGCACGAATACTGTGATCCCCTGAGAGAATATGGCGTCAGCAGCTCCCAATTAAGAAATGGAGGGAGTATCCTGGACTACCTAAGCTGAATGATTCCTCAACTAACTCGTAAGCCCATTTAGAGAACCTAGGTATGTTAATTGGCTTTTGCTTTTATTCCGCTGCTAAGTGCTCGCCATCAACCCTAGACAGGTGCTCGTACAGGTGCTAGGCCCGGGTATGTAAATATACCTAGTTCTCCGAGGAACCGTATGAACTCGCGCTGCTCTATACACATTCCTAGAGTTAAAGCCTTGGATAAAAAAGAAGTATTGGGTTGTTATGTGGGCTTCGCCGAGGCCTCTTGCGCACTAAGTAACATTACATGAGTCTACTGTTCTTAGATATAGTATGAGATGAAGGCAATATTGAAATGAATGCTTCGTTATGTATAGCTTTATTTCACTGCACTAGAATTTAACTAGAGTCCCGGATGTTATAATAATGAATTAGATGTTTAATCCATCAGATATCCGTTTCAATTTGTGAGTTATCATTAAAGCTTAGATACTTGCATGCGCAATCCGTTTCGGATTATAGCCCCATGATTGCAGAGGTACAATACCTAGATAGCTCGGCTTTATATGTGCATACCTAAGGCATTGAATTATAGATTGCTACCTAGGAGTAAGGGCAAAAAGTATGCATAACAGGGCAACGTCTGAATATTAGATAAGTTTCGTTTAGGAACTACCTGATTGTCGGAAGAGAACAATACGATTTCCTAGGCGCGATGTATGTAGATCGACTCACACTTCTCAACTAAAATGATGCGATTTACTTAACCACTCCTTAGAAATTGATAAATGTGAATAAATTGACCCGGGCTCGGAACGCATAATAGTCACACGGATATACATATAATCAAGAGAAAGATGTAGGCGAAAGGCCTCACGGTAGTTAGTGGTAAACTACCTATACCTAAGAAACATTGTCGTCATCACTACGGAGAATAAACAATAACTATGCTTAGCGGCGTGGTTTCAGAAACATGTATTTTGGCCCCGAGCACGTGGCACTTGTTTAGCCTGGTTATTATTCTGTTACAGCTGGTAAATACATATATATATATGCCCGCAATTATAATTGTACCTATGTATTACACTAGAAGGCAGATAATTTCCCATATTCCCGGCGGCTCTCGTGGAGGCACAGAACCGGACGGGGTTCTTAGATCTCTAGCCGCCGGAGTACAAGTACATTTGGCTACATAGGTAAAGGATCTGCATGTTGCTAACTGAAGCGCAACGGATGTGGCTGATCGTTCTTGGCTACATATAAAAACACTAACAAGCCTCTAGCGGGGGGTTGGCAAAGAAGCTGGAGATGAGATTAAATATCACTTCATGAGGGGGTAATTGCCTACCAGTTTGGGGTTCGGCTTGCGTGATGATCAACGGCGGGATATGAGTGTACTTGATCAGTTTTGTGATGGCCTTCTCAATAAGGTTGCTTGGCGTTGGATCACAGATCACCTCAACCTCAATCGAGACGGCCCTTGTTCGATGTCCTTTCTCACGTTTCACATTTAGACTCTTGGCTTTTGAGCACACCGGTGGCTAGTGAGACGACGCCTTGCAACGCCTCAACGCCGCCGCCCGTCTAGCTTTTGAGCTTGGCAAAAAGCACATAAATAGCCCATTGCCAAGTGTCGGTTAGTATGGTTTACGGTTTTCATCTCTAAAATAGTCATTCTGTTCCTTCTGGACTATTCGTTCCTCTTGGGCTATTGTAGGATGACTTGGCAGTCTTGGAAAATGTTTTCAGAAGAAGTTGCGAAACGGTGACAGAGGTTCCGACTTAGGGAGAACCGGCTGCAGGGAGCCTTCGGATCACTTAACTAATAGTATGTAGGTCGAATTTGTTACGCCTAGTCCGAATCTGAATGCGATCATCGTTGAGATCTTCAATATCCCCGTCGACCATCTTTAGATTTTTGGCCTGTTAGCGGTAGTGTTGATCCGGAGCATAGTCTCTTGGTCCGGCTCTTCTCGGTTCTTTCAAGGGGTTTACCGTTCTACTAACACAACCGGAAGGTCAAGTAGTACAATCCCTCACATATGTAGAACGGCAAGCCAAGCCTTAGGTCGGGTCCAAGCCGTGCAGTCGTACATTTGGAGCCGAGTATCCGTGGAAGCTTACATCAGTTACATCCGTCTAGGTTAACCTAGTATACTTTGGCAGTATTACATGAATAATAAAAACGACATCGCTGCCAAAGTCTGAATGTTTATGCCTACTACAATCGATTAGTATATTATCACTCTACCTCACTTTACTTCTTTTGCTTCTTTCGCTTCCTCCATTCAGCTTTGCAAGAACCCATGATCATATTTGAGTATAGACTAGACATATCACGGCGTGAAAAATTGTAAGGTCTATCAACAACAGCCAACCATGTTGGCATATCGGCAATTAAGCCATTGATTAGGCATATTATAACGGGTTTAGGCGTGTAAATTCCCACCACAGAGAATCTATCAGCTGCAGATGCCAAGACCTTTTAATTACAAACAGGATGTGCCATGCAAGAGCACCAAGTTCCAAATTGCCGTTACTTCCTGATAGCGAGAATGTTCATACTGCCGGGTTGAAGCGATATGTAATAGAAATATAAGCTTCTTTTTTGATAAAACCGCGATATTGAGCAAAGCCGCGGCGCTTCTAGAAGCTCTAGACAGTAAATGACAATTTCGTGATAACGCGACCTATGTGGAAAATATCCCATATGTTGTGCAGCGCCCGGCACACCCTTCATTGTCATTGTAGTATTTACGGGCGTCGAGGTTCAAGTTCTCCCCCAATGTGGCATCGTAGACAGGTAGACTAACGGAATCGACTCCTGATCTGCAGCCACATTATGAATGCCGAGAAGATAACAGCTTGGGCTCTCATGATGTCTGTTTTCTTATAATTTTCCATTTCGCATCGGGATATGCGAACAGGTATCTATCCATCGCGTTGTAGAATTCTTGTTAGGTGAACAGTGACGGAAACGCCAGTCCTGTTTGAGACATAAATACTAGGTACTGACAGATGAAAAAAATGAAAAAAATGCTTAAGCGGGTTCAGGATTGACGTAATTGCTGCAATCTCACTGAACTGGACGATGACTGGCGAGACATCCGAAACGATAGACCCACAGCTTACGAATGCTGGCCTGTGCTACCCCTGGTGATGGGTGGTTAGGGCGGGCTGGGAGCTGGGAACATCGAGACAAACGACGTAGTGATCTTCATTAGTACATGGCCGAGCGGAAAGCCTTTCAAGGAGCGGAAAGCCCTTTCAAGGATTTCCAGACTTGGCTAGCCGGGATCTGAATTTGAATACAAGCACGAAACAGATAAGATGAGTTTTGTTGAAGTCTGGACTAGAAACTAGAAGATAAAGTTTATGAAGTAAGGAAGAAGCTTTTCTATTCTCGTGTCTAGACCTCCTAACTAAAGCAATTCATCTCATATCTAAATGAAAAGTTACTAAAATAAGGTACGCGTAACCTTTTTACTTAAAAGGTATAGTTCTAGACTGTCAAAGTTAACCTTGCCGTATTTGACAGGGCCAAAAGTACGATGGTGATGGGACGGGACGCAAAGGTACATTTTAGTTACTTACATACATGACAGGTTACCGAGTTTATGCCACTATAATATGGAAAAATGAAGGCCTGCAGCGTACCTACACATGGTGGTCACAGTAACTGGCCACATTGACGTATTGATTTTAACTTGTAACATACTTTTCTTACATCGGTTCTTCATATAATGCAGTTTAGTGATTCGTCAGCTCATGCTGCTGATTCTTCTAAATACAGCAATTTACAAATGTACATGTAAGTAGTTCACGAGGTTTGCTTTTCGTATTAGAATTTACGAGGCTTGACGGGCTTGACGGGTAAGCGCATGGCGAAAAGATCGTCACAAGCACTGCCAGCCACGTCCACATTTCGCATATACTATCGTAGGCAATCCCACCAAGGAAAGGAGACGATGACGATAATTCAGGCTGAGTAAACCCACCATTACTACTTTTGACTGAGAAATTCTTCGGTTTTAAATGCAACACTGTTATTAATGATTAGCAGTAAAGTTAAGGTGTTATCCGCTGATATGTATGTATGTATGATACCCATGTAGCAACAACCATGTAAACAACCGTGTACATGTTTACGTATGATCGGTGGTCAACTGGAATTTTAACCACTTCCTACATAGTAGTAGGTATAAGTGTGTAGATTATCACAAGCCACTATTCAACCGGCATCGCTTAAACATGTCGCGGTACATATATGGTAAGCAATAAACGCTCCACAATGACCAATACAGCATCTTAGTAGTCTGTAGTGTAAATAAGTAAGAGGTAGGTAAACCAGAAGTTTAACTTGGGGGGGATCTACAAGCCGACCGAGGCATGCTGTAAGTCAGTGGCCTATCAAACGAAGATACTGTCGACTACCTAATGCTGCTGCTATGTAGGTAGGTATGCCAATGTGCGGTGTTGCCGCGCTAGGTAATATACACCCTATCAAGGGTCTGGGCAGTTTACCTATCTCATTGCTCATTGATGCATGGCGTACACGGGCTAGATAGAGGAAATGCTCTCTAGCCAAACAAACATGAGATATACATCTTCGATCTGCTTTGTTCTACAACACCATGCGATGTGTATAATATAATATGTACAAGACAATATTAGACAAGACTACCTATGCCCGAATATCTCTTAAGCCGCTAAATCAGCCAAGTAAATCAACCAAGTAGCTCATTGGAACGCAGGAACGCATAGGTAATCCAATTGGCTTTTCTATTTTCTATTCTTCTTGGAAAAGAGCGGGTCATATAATGAGCCAATCGAATAGTTGGACTTCCAAGGTTTCCTTATTTCTCATATGTACCTAGGCCCTAGGTTAGTTACCTGTTACCCTAACTTTTTCAAGTTGTAGTTTCCGGTTTGCCCATTTGCCCACAGGGCTACCTCCTAGGATAATATCCACAACCAGGGGATGTACCGCCTACTTAGGTACCATACCGAATGGTACCCCTCGATCAGCGGATCTAATACAAATCCTGGCAACCCCAATTTATCATGCCCCCCCTAATCGTCCGCGTCTGTTCTGTTCCATATGGGCATTTAGCAATTACGTACCTGGTACATACGTCGCTGCATACGCTACATGCGCTACGCTGCTGCGTCCTCTAGCTTCCGCTTGTAGTACGGAGGTGATTACCCCTGTCGAGCTTGTTTCTCTTCTTACCTCTCTACCTTACATACTTTGCCTTGATTGATCCCTCCTTTTTCCTTTTCTACTGACGAATTCCTCCCTCTTGTCTTTCGTTTTGTCCTTTCTTCTTCATATTGGAAAATAACCATTCCCTCCTTACTCGCCCAGTTTTGAGAAGCGCCTTACACGTAAGACGGGTGTGAGCGTTTGCTTTCTTCCACACGTCTCACTTTTCCTCGCTTTGTTGCGTGAGGTGTCATTCGTTACCACCTATCTAGGTACTTTTTGGATCGCGAAAACCTGAGAAATTTCCAGTAACGAGGGCTCCCGTGACATACTGTCAACTACCGCGCCGCATGCTGAATCCGCAAACACGGAACTCTCTAATAACTGTTATAAAGTAATTCCGCGGTTGATTTACTTGTTTGGATTAGAAACGAAATTAGCGACACCGTTGAGACCAGCCCGATTATAGTCGAGACGATCCTCCCCTGGCAAGTTGTCGTTGGGGGGAAATTTACGATGGGAGCGAGAATGCCCTCTCCGCATCAGAAGTTTTTCAGCATGCGGAACCCTTTCTCGCGATGCGTTCTCTTCGCTGTCGCATTACTACTGTTACTCGGCGTTACATGGAAATCCGACCGCATTGAAGATGTCGGCTCACGAATTGTGAAAGCCGCCTCTACCCATAAAAGCGATATTTCGCAGCAACCGCTTAGTGATGGACAACAAGTAACCGACAAGGATGCTGCGCCCGTGTCGAACCATATAATGGACTGCGGTATCAACTCAACTCATATGGGCGAGCTCAAGGCAAAATATGAACTTGGGGATACTTTCCAGTACTTCAAGCGATATGTCAGGATCAACCGCAAGCCCATTACACGGAAGTCAATCACCAATATTCCTCAGCAGTTCCTTCCTGATACTTTCACCACGATTGATCTACAACACCCCAGCAACTACGGTAATGAGCAGTGTGTCGAGCCTCTTGAAGTTCCGGTCCCTGAATCACCATATCCTGCCTCTGGGAACCTGTCTGATTTCATGTTCGGTGTGTCTACTACATTTAAGAGATTCAGCTCCGAAAAGACTAGCCCGGTGAATGAATGGACATACTGGTTAACCGATGGTAAGGGCCGTTCTAATGGTGGCAAATTGGTCCTTTTGCTCCTAGACGCGACCGAAGATCAGATACTTCACGCTAAGACTATATTACACCACGCTGGAATTGATGTTGATGTTTACCACTCGGACTCATCAATGGAGATGGCCGTTCGCTATCTCACGCTCATTCCAACTTTATATAACCACCCCGAGCGACCGTCCAAGAAATGGCTCGTGTCATGTGACGATGACACGTTCTTCCCCAGTGTCCACGCGCTCACGAAGAAGTTTGAAGATTACGACCCTAGCGAAATGCTTTACATTGGGACTTTATCTGAGGATGTTAACAATGTTGATCGCCATGGTTCGCAAGCTTTCGGTGGCGCTGGTGTATTCCTCTCGGTGCCACTGGCAGAGCAAATTGCCAAGGACTATGACAGTTGCAAAACTGATGAGAAGATCCATGAGTCCAACTCGGGTTGGGGTCCTCAGGGTGATATTTTGCTTCGTAAGTGCATCTACGAAAATACAGATGTACGCCTGTCAATCCTTCGTGGTCTATACCAGCTTGATCTATACGGTGATCCTTCTGGTTTCTACGAGTCTGGCATCAAGCCTATCTCTCTTCACCACTTTAAGGGTGGCGGGTGGCATTCAGCTCTGCCTTGGGAGTACACCAAAATTGCTCATATCTGTGGCGAGGACTGTACCCTCCAGCGATTCCGAACCAGCGACAACTTCATCATCTCAACGGGTTTCAGTGTTGCTCACTACCCTCAGGGCATCAATTTTAACCTTGCTCAGATGGAGCGAACGTTTGCGGCCGCGCCTCAGGATAAGGGGTGGAATCTGGACTACGTTTTTGACCCGCAGCGACCTAGTCTTTTGAAGACTGGTCGTAAGGTTAGTTGGGATCTCCAGGAAGCACACGTAAATGAGGATAACACCGTTACCCATGTCTACGTACGAAAAGCCAATGACTGGAGATGGGTTGACCGAAATGGTGAACCAATGTCTCACGTCGATGGTCTAATCGAACTTGTCTGGGTCCCATAGAGACATCACGCAGCGCGTGGCAAACGATCTAATGATTCTTGTATGATGGAATAGGAATAGATGCTCATGTTCATCTGCTTGGCTTGGAGAAGGCCGGATTGGAAACCCATGAGAGACTTCGCTATGGATGTGGGACAAACACTCTACAGGCATAGCTAGTTCGCTGTTTTGCGTACCCAGTCTTTTTGACTTGTTGAACACCCACCGATATTGGCCTAGCAGGATAGGATACCTTATTCTTGAATGCCAGTTCGACCAAGGAGAGCGGCTTACTGTTTTGCATTGGTGCAGTCTGCTTGATCGCATATTATCAACATTATTATGCGTTGCTTTTAGGATTGTGTCGGCGTCAGGCAGACTTCTGCCAGGCTTTACCCACGTCCAAAGTATACATTAACCCGCGCTGGTTATCGCACTCCTTTTCTAAAAAAAAAAGAAAATCCGATAATGCATAATTGACAACGCTGTCAATCGCTTTACTATTATCATCATCATCACCCTATACTTTCTTGGTTGATTCCGGAAGAGGGATTAACTTGGTACACTTATATCGTACTACCCTTATTGCTATTTGGAACCCAGCATTAGTGGCGACTGAAGGTCGTTTTCAGCATTTACACTAGGCATTTTTATTTCTTCATCTCAGTAGTGCTGTCTGAGAATATCTGGGTTGTTTTGGGACTTACATCTTATTCCCCCGTCCATTTGTATGATACAGTTGCTCTTTGGGAGGCGGAGTTACGAGTATTAGATGTCCATTGAAGAGCATGGGTGTCGTGTTTGCTGCTGACATAGTCAAGGCTGGCAATTTTGGGTTGATCTTTTTCTTGGGGCCAGATGGTAGTGGTTATTCAATGTCGCACTGGAGGGCGTCGCCAACTCGGAATCGAAGTGCTCGAGACGAAGCTGGTAGATGCATCGCTTGCGACTGTACATATTTAGATAGGCCAAGAGAACATGACCTTGAACATCGGTGTTTTACTGTAAACGTGACATATTTCAATGTAACATCCTGAACGGGATCTCGTGAATGTTAGTGTTAGGAGCACGATGAATGATATATGCCTTGTTAGGGGTATTATGTAGAATTATGTTTAGAACTAAAAGTCGTTTTTATACATATTTTTATACGGAATGCCTTAGGTACCTCCTTCTAACCTTGTGTCACTTATGTAAGATCTGCCCCGCACCCCACTAAAGGAACGGCTGCCCAAGGCGACCGCCGAATGTTTCTTTGCTTTGACGCGGTCGGGATGAAGTCATTTAACCTACTTAACTTGCTCTATTGACTTTGCTCTTTACTAACATATTTCGACGCAAAATAATCTCCATTAAATTGCTTTAAGTCAAACAAATATGGCAACAGCTGCATACATACCCTGACACTACGCCGTCTTCATATTACGTACCTAACCTTGTCTTGTTTACGACCTAAGTACTCGTTCGTGTGATACACCGGTTCGCTATGCAAAACAACATTCTCGCGGTCCCCTTCCGTAAAGGGGCCCATCTTTCGCTCTCGTCCGCTATTCGACAGTATATCTCTACCAAATATGACCAACATCCGGACATGTTCCGCCAAGATCTAGAGGTAGTCGATGCCTTGAGACGCCAAGCCGTGAATGTACGCGAGCCGCACCCTACTGGTGTCGCGAGATTACAGGCCTACGCTGGACAGCTTGTATGGATCGGGGGAAAATTCCCTATAGATGTAAGTCTCCAAGCCATCTCTGCTAGAGATTCTACAGTCGCTTTATACTTACAGATCCTCTCCGTGCATAGATCGGCGCAGACTTCACATGGTATCCCGCTTTAGGTTACAACACCGAACGGCCCATAGTACATAATAATCTAAAGTTCGAACTCGCCAACATCTTATACAACCTCGCCGCCCTATACTCCCAGCTAGCCATAGCAAGTAACCGCGCCAGTACGGATGGCCTCAAGACCGCAGCGAGCTACTTCAGCCAGTCGGCAGGCGTACTGACACACTTGAAAAATGAGGTTATACCTGAGCTGCGAACCACGCCACCGGAGGACATGGATGAGCACACGTTAGACTCGTTAATACAACTGCAGCTAGCGCAGGCTCAAGAATGCTTCTGGCAAAAGGCCGTTATGGACGGCTACAAGGATGCATCAATAGCTAAGCTAGCTGCTAAGGTTTCTGATTTCTATAATGAAGCGAGCGAGGCAGCTATGCGATCACAGGCTATCAGCAGTAGTTGGATTCATCACATGAGCGCTAAACACCATCATTTTGCCGCCGCCGCTCAATATCGTGCGGCTTGCGAATGTCTAGAAAAGAGAAAATATGGTGAAGAGGTAGCGAGATTGCGCGATGCTGTTTCTTGCGTGAACGAAGGGCTCAGGGAGAGTCGCGGCGGTTACTTACACAAAACGGTGGCAGATGACTTAAACAGTCTCAAGCGGAGAGTAGAGGAAGATCTTAAACGAGCTGAAAAAGACAACGACGTCATCTATCTAAGTAAGTATCGCGGCCATTACTCCAATAAATCAATACAGACAGACCTCAGTGCTAACTACCTACCTATCTATAGACCCAGTGCCACCAAAGTCAGAACTCAAGATATTGGATCGAGCTACCATGGCAGCTGCACGAATACCACCACAAGTGTCGGCACCTCTAAACTATCTCGGAGAGAAGGGCGAGTTTGGTCCTCCGCTCTTCACAAAACTCGTCCCATATTCCGTTCATATTGCCGTCTCCATCTATGAAGAGCGAAGAGACCGCCTGGTAAATCAGAACATCGTAGCTGAACTCGAAACACTGAACGAGAGAATTCATGAGATTCTTTCGTCTCTAAATCTTCCAGGTTCGCTCCAGGCCTTCGAAAAACCGCTCGGCCTGCCTGGGACTTTGGTTCAGCATGCCGAAGAAATACGGCAGGCAGATGCCTTGCACCGCTTGCAAAGAAGCTTCGCTGATATTGACAAGCTGCGCGCTGCTGACTTGGCAGTGTTTGAAGAAGGCAAAAGCCTGCTGCAAGCAGAAGAGGAAGAAGATGCTCAGCTGCGTAGAAAATATGGCACTGAACGTTGGTCGCGACCTGAGAGTCATTCTGAACCGAATCAAGGTGTAAAGCTTTGGAAACAAGTAGGAGATGCGGAGGGCTGGTTTGCGAACAGTGAAAGCAGCGATAAGGTTGTACGCGACAAATTTTATAGCATAGAACCTATGTTGGCCGTTCTTACAGGACCAGATCGTGGCCTACTAGACTTCGTGCCCTCATCACGGCGTACTGAAGTCCCAGAATCACTCAAGCCCGCCATTGGTCGTCTACGTACAGCTTACAATAATATAGCACGTCTCGAGGGCCGTCGTCGTCGAAAAGCTGAAGCTCTTCGCGAAAAGGCCCGTGGTGATGACATTAAGTCTGACATATTAACCGAAACGGCAAGAATAGAACGCGCCCAAACGGTGGCGACTGCTATAGTTCCCGCACACTTTGAAGAGTTCTTCGAAAAACGGCTAGACTCGCTTTATGAACCAGACCTTGAACTTGTGCAAGCTGAGGCGACTGAGCAGGAGAGGCTTATTTCAGAGCTAATCCGAGTAAATCGTGACTTTGAGAGCCAAAAGAAGACGGTGGGTGACAAAGGAAACAAGGAAAGGGAGCAAGCTCTTCAGAAACTCGAAAATGCATATTACAAATACAAGGAATTGATCAGCAACGCGGAGGCGGGACGCAAGTTCTACAACGATCTCAGTCGCATTGTAGGTGGCTTCCGAGATGGAGCGCGGAACTTTGTAGCCGAAAGAAGACACGAGGCACGCATGCTTGAGGATGAGCTAAGTATGCCGCCGCTGAACAACTTGAGTCTCGGGGGACAACACGATCGTGTGCAACAACCTGTGCAACCGACCAGCTCTTCAAGTGGTTGGAACGGTGGCACAGGCTATCAAGATCAGCTGCAGCAATCGCAGCAGACCTCATTCTTGCCACCACCTGCTCCATCCAGACAACAGATTCAAAGTCCTGCCGAAGCGCACATTCAGTCATGGATGCCGGCTGGTGAGACGGTGGCGCCGCAGCCTCAACCGCCGAGGGCAAATCCCATGCAGAGTGTATGGAGCCCAGGGACAGGCATTAAATTTGCCAACAGCCCACCTCCTACAGGCGCCGCCGTAGGTAGCGGGGGGAGCATAGGAAGTAACTCTCAGCAGGAGAAACGGCCGCCTATTGCGGGAACCTGGGATCGCAATAGCGCGATAAGATTCGGTTAGGAAGCGAATACATCGCGTCCTCGTAGGACGTAACCAGGCGACCACAGGTTGACGCCGGTCAGCTATCGTAACACTTCAAGTTCGTTACTCGATCATATCCCTGTACGCATCGTTATAACAAATGCTACTCGCCTTTCAAATAGAAACTTATATAAAAATAATCAAAAGAGCGAAATTATACCCTTCATCTACAATTGCAGGATTTCGATAGACTATGGGCTGCAGAGTTCAGACAACGGTCGACTCCTAGAAATATGCGATCGGACTATGCATAGAGCTACTAATTATTAGTAAACCCTCCCCCTAATAATTGTCCAATATCTATCTTACTGGAATGATTAACTAACTAATAACAAAGTCAAGAAGCTCACAGAAGTCATGTCATAGAAAAGAATGGAATTTAATTCAGATGGATATCAACTAGCACGCAAGCTATAAGCCTACTGCAAACGCCCTTATTGAAACAAGAAAGAACCGTTGAGTATATCTACAACATGGCAAACGAGCTAGAAAAACGAAAGACGTAGTGCAAAGACGTTCCGTGGTATAATCAATAGGTAATCATGAATGACGCTCCCGCCCTTATTTGCCGTTGACATTTTCCTGGTTTTGGAATTGGTCACGTCTTGCGACCTCGTTGTTTGGCAACTTCCCGAACTGCCACTCAGGTAGGGTGATGCCTGTCTGGTCGTGGATCGTCGACATCAGCGGAGGGAGGAGTTGGTATACCTGATTAGCTCTATGTTAGCACGCGTATATCAACACCTTGTATGGGTTACATGATAACTTACGTTTCTCAGCGTCGCAGCGCTATCTTGACCAGATCCCTGGCCGCCGGCGCCGGACGACCCGGCTTCGGCTCCCGTGTTCCAGACGCTGATCTTGGGTTGCATGCCGTTGATGGCGCCGGCGTTGGCCTTGGCGAGTTCGACGTATGTGCCCTTTTCGATCATCACTGTAAAAATAGCAGTTAGTAACAATTTTGTTGAGCTAATGAAATAGGGGGAGATCGTCCTAGGGGTAGCTTACTGTACTGGAGAAGTCCGGCTGGGCCACCAAAAGCATTGCTCATCTTGGAGTAAGCATCAGCCATAGCAGCCATACCCTCCGCCTCTTTCAGCCTCTGTTGAAGATTGGCCTCCGCCTTCTTGATGGCCGCAAAAGCCTGCGTCTCGGCGTCGATCTTGGTCCTATATGCCGCAGCATCCGTCGCCTTGTTTGACTTCTCGAAGTTGGCACGGGCCTCGGCTTCTACCTCGTATGCCTTCGCGTCGGCAGCTTGCTGTTTGCTTTCTCGGGCAATGGCGGCTTTAACGACGTCGACGGCACGCAGGCGTTCGAGTTCGGCAGCTGCGCGCTTGACTTGGACTTCTTTCTTCAGGTCCTCATCACGCGATTCGGTTGCACGCGTCGCTGTTTTTTGTAGAAATTATTATAAGTCCACTTATTAAAACGTCAGATTTTGAACTAAAAATACCTACCTTGGATACGCGCGATCTCGACATCTCGGCTAAGGACGGTCTTTTGCGTAGCGAGATTGGCTTCTGCTGCCGCGCGCTCAACGTCCCGATCAGTCTTTTGGACGGCCGTTTCCGCATTGCTTTACGGGGGACGGGTCAGTTTTGTAAAGGTTGAAGTTTTGAGGTGCCGCAGCTACATGAAGGAGACACTTACATCTTCGCAATTGATCGCTCTTGCTGGCCATGCCTCTCTGCCTCGCCGACATTCCCACGAAGCTGCGCCTCTGCGACATCGATACGGGCTTGGTTGGTGGCGCCTTCGTGGGCCTTCTGAGAGAGCGATTGGAAGTACGTAGAGCCGGCAGCATCTTTAAGTTCCTTAACGTTGGCATTATAAATCTTAAGACCGAACTGGTCGAGCTCGCCCTGAATGTTTCGGAAGATACGGCGCTTGAATTCTTCGCGTTCTGTGAATATTTCTTCCATCGTCATACTAGATACCAGTACGCGAGTCTCGCCCTCGATAATACCCTTTACGATATTCTCGAGATATAGCGATCCCTTTTTCTGGGAAGTAGACTCGGCCAATAGCATGGCATACTTCATTAAAGAATCTCCACGGTCTTCATCGTGAGTATGATCATGTGCGGAATGCCCCCCTTGAAGATTTGCTGCGGGCCTGTGGGCCTTCGAGTTGGCTCCTCGATTGTTCACATCCCTATCATTAGGTCAATATTTTCCGAATTACTATAGCAGCTAGGCAAGGATGACACGTACGGTCCAATGGTAAACACAACAGGGAGAAGGAACTGAAGTTTCTCCTTTGTCATGGCTACATAGAGGTTAGTAGGCGGGTTAAACAGTAGTTGGTATTAAGAGGTACCTTGGAGGTTCATAGCATAATCGTGAGGCTGAACGGAGAAGCGTGTGCATCTTTGGAAGGGCCAAACCCATGCGGCTTTCGTGATGAGTACACTCTTCACGTTCATGCCAGTAATGGCAAGGTACTCATCGGGGGCGGCGATCTTGAACGACATGGTTGTCAGAGATACCCGTTGATCGATGTCATACACAGAGTGAGCGTCTAGGGTAGGTAGGCCAAGTAATATATTGTATTGATCTAGTAACGGCGATATTAAATAAAGGGACGAGCGGAATATTGAGATGCAGCTCTTGTAGTATTGGGGGTATTGTTTGTTTATATATTTATGCGATAGGAGAGCGGTATGAAACGAGTGTGTTAAAAAGTAGAAGGTTGACTAGTTAAACAAGGCGCAAGTAAATATTGCGAGAGGCTGAAGTAGGTGGGTAGTCTACACTTCAGTTGACAGGACGTGTTATTGACGAGGTTTTGGCTAAACTTAGGCTACAGCTACCGAGAGAGACAGACGGGCTCGGTGAAGGGGCGAGGTGAATGACTGCCAAGTATGTAACTCTAAAGGAAAGAAAACTACGTTAGGTAGTTAGTCAGAGTAGTTATGTTTAGGCATCGGATATTGATAAAACTTTATTTTCTACGATGGATGTTTATAAAGACGATAATCATCAGGAGTCAGATGGTCGTTTAAAGCCACCACAAGTAGATGACAGGCAGAACGAGTGAATTTGCTAAATCACATATCACCAACCAGCGTTCGCTACGTATGTAACCTTGATAGCTCGAGGATCTGATGCTTAAACGAACGATACGCCACTGTGCTGTTGACAGGGATAATTTGATAAATACATATTGAAAGCTAGAGGATGCGGAGAGCCTTACGAGGCATATAGTAGTACGGACGTCGCGTAGTGTTACTCATAAAGGATTCTACTCACTCCACCGTGTGCTTTAGGTTCTTGGATAGGGTAGGAATTTACAAGCATAGGTGCCTCTTATACACAGTAGTCGGGCGTAGCAGTAGGCTTGGTTTCGCGTCACAAGACCGAGTAATCTGCCGCTTCTGATTTGTTACCATCAAGGCCAAGCTTAAGTAGTGGAGTTCCTAATTGCACGTAGTGTAAGTGACAGAACAATTCTGGAAGCGTTCCAAAACCCCTCTTAGGGCTGCATTAAGTATTACTTAGGTACATATATTATCACACATAGAGCCCGAGCTGAAGCTCAGCTCCGTGACACGCTCGGTTTCGGTTACTTGGCTATGACTGACTTTGACTGACTTATACATAGCTCCTCGGCTAAGCTTCACTCGTTTATTCTTACTAGACTATTTTCTCATTGTCCCAACTCTTTGACTAATAATTAGACTAATAATTATCTACGCAGTATCCGTTTAAGCATAGCCCTCTCTATCTTGTAAATCGGCAATTGTTCAACTTTAATCCTTCTCCCTTTCTTCGTTAATATGACACGGTTGCTAGGTACACAGTAATCTGTCCGCTACGGCGTATTCCGAACTCTGGTAATGAAACCCTGATTTCGAACCTTGCACGCGTTTGCATGCATTTGCATGGCATCTAGTCATGCAACCCAGTTGTTCTATCCATTAGGTGTTTCGATCACCCCAGAGTCCTACCGTCCCCCCGCACTTATACATATGTTGTGTTAGGTATCGAGAGATCGGGACTCATGCGTCCATCTGAAACCTCGTCGTCATCCAATGTTCGAAATCTCGATTCGCCAATTGGCAATTCATTCATTCGTTGCAATCGAATGCATAGAGACCTTCTTTACGTGACCAAAGTCCCGTATCATTATCTTCAGCGCTCCCAACGCCGCTAAGTGAGGCTTAGACCCCCCGTCTTACTTACTACGTATCCCCGTGAACGACGGATGCAAGGCTGATCTTGCATCTTAGTCCCAAATCTGGGTATTCGGTATTCACGGCTGACTGGTGCTGTCTTCTGACCCCGAATGATCCCGAACGTGAGCGGCAGACAACCGGCAGTCGCAGACTTGTCTTCCATCAAGGTTAGGCTCCTCATCTTTACTCAGGGGTATGATCAACTTCCGTGTCAACCCAAGCTGTGGATTATTTTGTCCCCGGACCGATGACGAGAATTAATGGTTAAGTCTAGATTGTAACTGACTATAATATAGTTCCTAACCCGTTTGAGTTCTTTGGTAAGCATCTACGCTTGGATAGTGACTCTGTTTGCTTAACGCTAACCCGTGCCCCTCTGCTAGAAGGATTGGCATAACTAGGTGGCAGGCACATTTAGGGTGGCTGTTTTCTCACTACTACCTACATAGTATTCAAGCAAGAACAGGCCAACCATTTTCCTGGTTCTAACTCTCCCTAAATAGCTACTAGCTTCATCCACTGTCCCGTCAAATCTTTGGACAGGTTGCAGCAAACATGGATAGCAAAGAACCTCTGGAGGCGCCTCCTCCTTATACCGCTGTTCCAACTAATTCTGGCCCCCTAGATGAGTTGCAGTTAAATTCCCTATCTTCTCATCTTCAACGTCATATTACGTCCCTTCCAGATCGCATCCGGGCAACGCAACAAGCGCGGAGAGTCGAACAGTCATTTAGTGATGCATCCCTGCTAGACCAAATTGTCCCCGTCCTCGAAGAGTTCCTGGTCGACTTAGAGGCTCGACATACTCCCATTCCGCTAGCGACCCTTACTTTAGTCCCGGGTGCCGCAGTTCCTAAGAATGCCATTCTTAGCGGGTTAGAAGACATGCAGCGACGCGGGGAGATTTGTCGCGTATCCAGAATTTCTATAGAAAGCCCTAGTAAGGACTCTAAGTCTGGCTCTGGTACGCTTAGTTCCCCGGAGATCAGCGAAAACCCGAGCTGGGCCTCTGGACAAGGATTTAGTGATTGGGGACGATTTGATGAGCCTAGTTCTTCGTTAGATGGTGCCGCCGAAAAGATTAAATCACTCTGGTGGCGTGATGAGGAGATGGCACGCCGCCTCGCCAATTACCTACAGCCTAAAAAAGAGAAAAATCCAGAAGTGAAGCTTAACTCGGTAGTTCAGACTGTGGTTGAGCAAAGGCTACCACCGAAGAAGGAGAAGAAAAGCTGGTTCTGGGGGAAACGCGCAAGTGAACAAAAGTCGCCAGAACCAACAGTACTAAACCCCTCACGAATTGATGCTGCGAAGGACGATATACAGGAAGAGCAAGAGAAACGGGAGGCTAGCATGACAGTTACAGCTCAGGAGATTACGTTCCGCCAGGAGAATGATCTCGGAATATGGGAGAGTGTCCGTGGATGGGGTATCGTCGTTGCAGTTAAGGTCAGAACTTGATAGCTCTACATTGATGTGCTAATTAATTGGTGTACAAAAAGACCACATTGGTGGAAATATATAGGTACCTACCTACCTATATGCAATTATTTTACACCCTCTACGACATGTTTGTAGCAAGCTATAGATGCGGTCATCTTAACCCGAGTTTCGGGGGGGGTTATAACATCTTCATTAGTGTATATTTCATATACATACCGATTGTATGCCTTCCAGTTGTTTCTACATTATTTTAGTAGTTAAGAAACTGGCCCGAGTAATGCCTAGTATCTAATATAGGTTATCAGAGACCTCCTACTAGGGGACAATATTACTAATAACATCTATACCTCGCCAGGACTAACTCTCAAACCGTATTTGAAGTATTGCTCAGACTTATTATCAGCTTCAGGGATGATGTTCATACCTCAACTCGGAGTTGGAACCATGTGGAATACCTAACATTAAAATATTAACGTCGTACATAGTATAGCCTTGTAGATCCAAGTATGATAGTACGTACTGAGAAGAAAACTTCAAGGGCAGTACTGATTGAATCATATCTCTAATCTAGGTACCTAGCATATGGGCTGTTACATATCCGCGGAAAATCCTGAACACTTTTAATAGATTAACTTGAAAAAGTGGTTCAAAATAATTAATTGTGACGATGAAATACGCGTCAGCTCATGACTAGGACTTGAGTGAAGCTTCGTTATTTGTACTACCCTTGAAGAGCATTACAACCATTGTGTTGCCGAGAACTACTGACTTTGAATCGATTCATTTATGACTTGTCCAGTACGAATTTCTGAAAGAGGCCGCTTATGACTGATGTTGGACATCAGACGAGTTTACCAACAAGGCTTCTCTATTCTTGGTTTAGATCTCAGCGTCTTAGCTGTCGAGGTAGTTAGGAGGAATTTGTCATCGTGCCTCAAAATGTGATATTGCACTCACAACAACTCACATCGCACGCAACATATGATCGAGACCTTACGCACCAAGGGCCATTATGACTCAAAATTAGCTTGAAGCTTTGGCTTGGAAGTGTGGATTTCGTCTATATAAACAGAAGGCTACCCTCCTCTTTTCGTTTTTCATCCAAAACTCTGTCTTCATCTACTAAACATCACCATACTACTTCCGACCTCAATATCAGACTTACCTATCTAGGTACACGACTGGACAACTAGACAACTGGTTACGGCAGTACACCGACGTGACAGCGCAATGTGTCCGTGCGGCGCCGCTTGTCGATGCAACCCTTGCCGTTGCGGCAATGGCCGTACCGCCCATGAGTCCACACACGATTCCGGACATGCAAGCGGCAGCGGTCGCTCCCGTAATGGCGGACATAAACATGGCCATGGGAAGTCTCACAGGCATGGGAGCTCTCATCACCATGGGCACTCGCATGGCCACGGATACTCGAACGACTACGAGCAATCGTATGATTTCGATGGCGGGGACACAACTTTCCGTGGTCAGGGCTACATCCTCGGACATGTGAACGATGGCCACCATACCGGACGTGACCTAGACCCCAGGAGGGCTCACCCAGTCATCTGGACCCCTATTCCTCAGTCTTATCTCGACTCCCAAGCCCAGTCCGGAACTCAGGCCCATTCCGGAACCCGAAACCCGATTCTCATCAACAACGATGACGACCGGGTAGGACAGATACCTGGTCATAATATAGGTCAATATCTGCTGGATCAGCTGGAGCTCTGGCAAAGATCGGCCTTGACTTCGGACAATGGGCTTCCGCAAACCCAGAATCATTATATCCTTCCCGACCCGCACATGCGCGAGTTATTCGGCGACGACTATACGGACAGAACGCCTGATGAGTGTACGTAACCCCCTACTGTCCCTCTAGAAACCATGGATCCCAATATATACCCCTAAGCAACTGAATTTCATACCCATAAGAGCGACTGCTAACTCCTGTTATAGACATGGTTTTATTGGAACAGTCCGTGAATAACTTTTTCCCGGACCCTCAAGCTCCCATCGGCGCCGACGGCCGTACCAACTAAATCCGCAACGACAGCATCCGTACATACCGTATGGCAGTAAAAAAGGCCGAAGATTGACTACCAATGACCTTTAAAGATACTGGAAATGACGGGGTTAACTTCGTTTATGGACACCATTAGTCGAATTGATGATACCCAGGGAGGATTCTTGACGGTTTGTTATAGTTACCTAACTACCTACCTAGGTAGGGATTTAACCTAGTGAAGTTTGGATTAGGATGTAGCCAGGTATTATTGATTTATATAGCGACTAAACACCCAAAAAAAAATATTATCATTATTCACCAAATAGAAAAGCAGCAATGTAAAAAGGCTGATTCGATAATAACAATCTACTGTCCGTAGTTGCTATCCATTAGAGAATGATTATGATCAGCCGCTTCATAAACAACCATGCCCCAAAGAACTATTCGGGAGACTGGCCCTCGACCCACCACTGCCTCAGCCCCTCGACATCGCACCAGTCGAACTGCGCCGGATTCTCATACCACCAGCTATGTCCGGCCACCGGGCGGTCGCTAGCATACTTTTTGAGGCTTCCACCGTCAAAACGATGGTTCTTGACACCGAGAAGTAATACGACGCTTCCAACTGCCGGTAAGAACTGTTCCGGATCTAGAAATACCGTCAAGAGCACGTGCTTATCGGTAGAGGGGTCGGCAAGCCTGGCTTGTCGCTGGCTATACGGTGGTAGGCCGGAAGGTTCAAGACCTGAGATTGCCGAAACTACTGCTAGCACATTGACACTCCAATTTTGTTTGTATGGTAAGTTAGGGATTTTGCGTAGCTCGGTGAGTTTCAGGGGTTTCCCGGGGTTGTTGCTCGACCATGGAAGATGGTTTGTGTCCTTAGATTTTGCTGCGATATCAAGCCTGTTCTGGGTCGCCTTCGACACAGCATTTGGCATGACCTCGAAATCGTCATCCGCATCAGCTAATTCTTTCAGATGACCAACACCACTGTCGAAAGACTGCGTAGTACTGTTGCCTGGAACCGGTTTGGTCGTGATAGAAGTCTGAGCGTTATTTTCAGCTCGATCTTGTGGGACTTCAGCGTCTGCTTGGGCACTTTCGACGGGCGTGGTATCGACAAGTGCGTTATTCCATCCGACGAGCGCAAGATCCTCGACAACCAGATAGACCATCCCATTTCCTGCACCATGATCATCGAGCTCTTTTTCCTTTCCTTTGGTGGTTGGCGAGCCCTCATCAGTCCCATCAGGGAGGTTCCTGCGTTCGATTCGGAATTGTTCCAGCTTAACGTAGGACCCAAAGGAGACTTCCCCCTCGTCTACGTATCTATGCATCTCGGCCGATAACAGGGCCTGGATACACAGCTCCCCATCTCCGAGTAATAGACGTACGGCACGCCATCTCTTAGATCTAGACGTATGGATGGAATCGACGCCCTCAACCAGAAATACTGAGCCTGGAATGCAATATCCGGTACGCACAATGTCGGCGATAAGAGGTATAGGTTCGAAAGGCTCTGGCGCGATACATGTTATATCGGACGCATCATGCGACTGGCGGGGCGAGGAGGCGGACATGAATCTCGAGTTGGTTCAGTCATGATTTGTTAAGTTTCCCGCGGGACGCGCGAGAATATGTAACAGCCGGGTTAATTAGAAATTAATTAGAATAATTTAATTTAATTAGAATCTGAATCAGCTCAAAGAAAGTTAAAGTTGTTTTGTTAGGTCCCGTAGTCCGTAGTGACGTTCCACATGAGTGGGGCAAGGGAGAGTTTGTCCTTCCTTTTCGAGGAAACCATGTTTAATGCAATATCAAGCACATTTAGAGCAGTTATGAACATAGTGTACCTATACTATCTACTGTTTAGCAGTAGGACCCTCCTTCTACGGAGCTGCCGAGACTGCTCCGGACAGTGTCCCCGAACAATGCCGGCTCGCATGCCACGACATTCACAACCACGGAGAGGCTACATTAATCCCATGCTCTATATATAAATGGTAAAAGATCAAATATTCGATATTTGATATTCGATATTCGAGTAATGTATATGATATTTACTCGAGGAATTTAACTAAAGCAGCAAGTCTAAAATCCCCCGTCTTAATTATATACAATTTAAAGTGATATTCTGAGCCGTGTCCGCATCGCCGCCGTGATTTAAGAGCGCAAAAGTGTACGGCCCTTTCTCCAGTTCCCACTCATTTCTCCTATTTAGGATGGTAAGGTACCTATCAACATCCAACTGCAGCGAAATCGTAGCTTCGTCGCCAGCCGGTATGTCAATACGCTGGAAGGCGACAAGTTGCCTTACCGGCTGAGTGATAGATGAGACGCGACTAAGCACGTATACCTGCGCAACATAGCTCCCAGCTACGGTGCCGCTGTTCTTAACAAAACCCGAGAACGTAATTATATCCCCAGCCTTGAAGCCTGTCGCACCCGTACCATTTATTGAGGCTCCAAACTTGGACACTGAAAATGTCGTGTATGATAGTCCGTACCCAAACCAATATGCCGGAGATGATTCGGCATCCAAATAATTCTTTAAGTGGGCAGTTGGCTTGTAGTTGTAATATACGGGGATCTGACCAACGTGCTTCGGCACGGTTATTGGCATCCGGCCGCCGGGGTTGACAGTGCCGAATAACACGTCCGCGATGGCTTGGCCACCAGATTGGCCAGGAAAAAAAGTATTTAACACTGCAGCGCTCTGATTATAATAGTCGATTGCGAAGGGCCGGCCACCCTGAAGGACAAGCACGACGGGCTTTCCCAACTTGTAGATCTCTTTAGCCAATAAGTCTTGGCTTGGGGCAAGGCCAAGCGTGCCTCTATCTCCGCCTTCTCCGTCGCTATTCCAAGCAGCGCCGACTGCTAGGACCACGACGTCTGAGGAACTTGCTAACTGGACTGCCTGGTCGATGGCATCGCCGTTCCGGCTGACGAGGTTCCAAAAAAGGATGAGTTGCGAATTGATAGAATTCACGTTCTCTACTTTCTTATATAGATTGAATGCCTGATATTCGATGCGAATGTGATAAGCCTCCCCCTTTTTGAAAGTGAACGGCGCAGATCCTTTAGGAGGTAACGTGGCATTAGTTGTAATATAATCGTATTCCATGATATTGCCCATAATATTGCCGGAATCAAGTAGCCCATCAACTCCGCTTGATGTGATCAAATTCCCGTCTATAAAGAGCTTAACAGTCGTGTTGGGGCCAACTGCCGCTCCAATCCAACCATCAACATCTGTATCAACCGGGGATTGTAGCTCGCCTTCCCAGATGGCACTGAAATTATTAGATGTCAGACCATCTGGGGGATAAAGCCCCCAATCTAGCGCTGGCAACTCTATTCGATGCGCGGCCGGTTGAGTAAAGTTAGTATCAGCGAAGTAAGTTGCTGAAAGACCGCCTATGGTGCCGTTCGACGATAAAAGATAGGATGGGATCACATATTGTGCGTTATATTCCCAGGTATTCGTCCCCCAGCTGGTAACTAGTTCAAACTCGTTGTTGCTTGCATAACCTAGGATTCCTTGTCGAATTGTCCGCGCTGCTTCTGCGGGATACTGGCCCCATTGGCCAGAATAATCGCCATAGTTAAACACGTCAGTGAAAGGGCCGATAAGAGCGATCTTAGAGATATTCTGAGCGTTGGGTCTTAATGGTAGCGTCGAGTTCTTGTTCTCAAGGAGGACAATGCTCCTTTGAGCAGCTTCGCGTGTTAGGTCGCGATGGGTCTCGACAGTTTGTAGGGGATCTATCTTGGTATCGATGAAGGGGTTGTCAAATAAACCCAAATCCCACTTGATACCTAGTATCCTACGTACATGAGATTGTACGGTTGCTAATTCCACGGTGCCATTTTTAACTAGGTCTATTGTCGTCTAAGTCTGTGTTAGTATTGTTGGTGTTATTAGGTCCGAAGGGGGGCTTCACATTAAGATAGACTTCTAAAGGGAAGTCATAAAATTGAACCATCCCTCCAGCATTAAACCATTGCTGTATCGCATCTGCAGGAGAATCTGCCACTCGATGTACTGTTTGGAGCTCAACCATACCTGTTATATGTTTAGCATAACGCATATCAAGGCTTTCTTGGCATGTATTAATACCGGTATCATCAGCAATGATAAATCCATCGAACCCCCAGTCGTCAAGCGCTTGGTATAACATAGGATGCACATGAGCCGGTATATCATCAAGTTCGTTATATGCCCTGTAGCATGTTTAACGCACGCTACATAGGTACCTACCTACATAGGTAGTTAGGTCATAGTCAACTTACATCATGACTCCTCTCGCTCCACCAAGCTGGATCACAGCTTTGAATGGCATGAGAAGATCCTGCATGACTTGCCGATTTCCATGGCCCATGAAAGGGGCAGTGTTGTGCCCGGACTGCGGAGCCCCGTGGGCGGCGAAATGCTACCAGGTGAAATAAGTTATTAACACTGCTTATAGGATAGGATGGTATTTCATATACATACCTTCACCACTGGCACCACGGCATCCGGCTCAGACCAAGAACCATTTTTAGATAACCCGCGTGAAAAGGCGACCCCCATATGCGATGTCAGCACCTTATCTTCACCCCAAGCCTCTGCATACTATCAGTACAGAAGCGGGCCTCTCACAACACAGAGAAGCCGTACCTTGCATACGTCCCCATCGCGGATCCTGGCCGATATCTAGAACGGGGGATAAGCAAGCATGAATCCCTATCGACCTAGCTTCGGTTCCAATCGCTCGACCGACCCGATATGCAAGGTCAGCATCGAAACTAGCCGACAAGCCCAAGCTTTGAGGGAAAATGGATTGTTTAAAAGACCCAACACCATGAAGACATTCTCCCAAGTGTATGAACGGGACCTTCAGTCGTGATTTCTGCAGATTCAACTCCTGGACGGCGTTGTAATGAGAAGTGTTGAGCGGGTACCTATGCAACGGTAAACTAGGAACCTCTTTCCACGAAAAACTCCGGGACTTACCAATCATGCATCACACCTATTGGCGAGTCCGGACTGAAGCGCATCGTGTAGTCTAGTCTTCATGGTAGCGTAGGAATACTCGAGAGTAGCTTGCGAGTGCACCTACCATAAAGCTCATTTTTCGACTCGACCCCTACGATATCGCCTCCGAACATAAGATGTAATTGTAAGACTTGAATACTTGTCAGTTAGTTTAAATATAGGGGGGGATCTTTCAGCTTCTAGATAAACTAACCGAGGTCCTCGATCGTCATGCTTGAAATCAAGCCGTCTACATCAGACTCTTTATCTAGAGAGATTGCACGGCTGTCGCTTCTCCCCGGTGACTCTTCTTTCTCTGCGAATCTAACAGCTTGCGCATTGAACTGCGCGAAGACATCTAAAAAGACTAACAGAAATAAAGATAACATGGCTAAAGTTAACCCTTAGGTACACGACACCGTGATTTGAGGACTAAGATATGAACATACCTAAGGTATAGATATTCAATGTGAGGAGTCTTAATACGAATGGTATATCCACTAGCAATGTTACATTATCCTATTCTCGGGTTATATTGATCAGAGTACATGGAATTATTCCAGGAAACCTTACCGATACCGAGCTCGTAACCCCGCGCCATCGTAATACTATTAATCTAGATCTACCATGCACTCGCAGCTCCATGAACGTCTAAGAAACGTTACAGTAGCCAAGCATGAGTCGGATTATCTACAGTATCTGGTATTGTATGCCTCGCTTAGTTACTTTTCGTCCCCTCTCTCCTCTCAACTAAGATTGGTGACATGACGTTTAGTGCAACCGTGACATTATGCCAACGTTTGCTTGGGCAACCCAAAACCAACTTCCTCGTTTAACCTCCAGAGTTCAAGCGCCAGGTACCTCCCTACCTATGCACACCCTTATCCAAATTCCAAACGCCCATATGCTAACCCAGCTCTAAATGCAAGGCTAGATTAATAAGATACCGGCACGAGATGATATATACTCCTCGCTTGTGCTTCTGAAATTATCCGCTAGTAAGTTGCTCTTATTATTCCAAAATTGCATGAGTTCCCTCTTCTCTTTCCATTGAGGCCACTTCGCGATGCTAGAACTCGTGCCCTCGTTAGGATCCATCGTGTACAGGAAGGAGATGTAGTAGCTTTGAATAGCCTTGCTAGCGTAATTAGGCAGGACGCCGTAAAAGACCTGCAGTATATCCGAGGCGTGGAATGTACCCAATATCGGGGTGCCATAGTCGTAAGACGCTAGGTATGACCATGAAGGCACATCGGGATTTGCGGCAAGAGCTGACTGCAGGAAGATTCTCCGCGTGAGAGTGAACACCATGTCACCCATGATTGCCGCAAGGCGTTTGAACTGTGGATACGCGCTATTCAAAATACCAGTGTTGAAAGGGCTTCCGGCGGTGATTGATGGATCGTATGTGTTGACGAGGCCTACGATCTCATTTCTCGCGACTTCGGGGAAAAACACCTTCCAGATATAGTCGACGAGCTTGTCGGTAGTGGTGATGTTGGGTTGAAACAAGCTGAAAAGTGTTCCCTCATCTTCTTGGTCTCCAATAATCATAGGTACAGCTGCATATTTGCCACTGAGCGCAAGGGCGTCGGGACTCTCGGTCAAAACGACGCCGTCCGGTCGTGGGAGGTATGATAAAGAGATAGAAGTGTAACTTAGGATACCCGGGACGCTATTAGCAGCGTTGAGGAAGGTATTGTAGTCCGCATCGCGAAGACACTCAAGCGTATCAGCAGACCCGGCGCAACCCGCCGCTTTTACCACCGTATCATATATACCCTGGCAGCGGGCACAGTCTACTGGCTGAGCTGGAACTATACTCCCGCTATTCATAATAGCTGCGCGGAAAAGCTTCTTCCCATTGTAGGTGTTGTTGCCATTGTAAAGAGCCATCTGATCAAACACGGAGATAGCTCCGGCCGATTCTCCCCAGATGGTCACCTTTTCGGGGTCTCCACCGAACAATGCTATGTTGTCTTGAACCCATTCTAGACCCATACGTTGATCTAGAAGTCCTAGATTCGACGCCCCGTCGGCAAGGATCTCCTTTCCTGCTAAAAACCCGAACCCTCCAACTCGGTAGTTCACGGATACAAATATGAACGGTTTTCCTTGATCAATACCGTTAGAGACCAGCAATGAGGCATCGTACATCTGCGGGCTGCCAAGTTCGAATCCGCCGCCAAATATCCAGAAGAGAACAGGAAGTTTGGCACCTGCGGCAGTACCCTTGGGCCGTTGAACCCTCATGGTCAAGCAGTCCTCAGTCTGCCCTGTGACAGTCTGGAAAAGCGGTGTGTTGATCAAGTTTCCTAGCACAGATGTGAGGAGATCTCCTTTCGTGGAAAAGTACATCTGCGGGCAAGCAGGACCAGCCCCAGTGGCATCGAAAGTACCGAGAGAAGAGGTGAGTCTCTGCGGTGGCTTTAGGCGCAACTTTCCCACTGGAGCTTGGGCAAAGGGTATGCCTCCAAAGTTCTCAACTCTGCTAGAGACGGAGCCCACGATAGTCCCTTGCGGTATGACTACCGAGGTCTTGACAACTCGCTCTTCTAGGGTTGGGCTTGGTGCCGGGAGAGCGGCGGCCAAGCTGGCGAGCACAGCGGCTGATAACAGATGAGTGAGTACCCTATACATGGTGTCTAAGTCGCAGCACGCCAAACTGGAGGAGGAGAGAAGATAGGGAGGAATCCGAGGGATAATTATCTCCTTCGTTAATTAGTACTAAGAACTGGGAAGATAATTTTTTTGGGAAGAATCTCATCGCGACTCTTGGAATGCATATCAATTTTATACTGACTCGCGTAGTGTGCAGGTTTGGCTTTTAAATCGGAGCTATCGTAATTTCAGGCCTTTTTTTTCTTTTTACCGTCCCTGACTCATGTGACCTTCGCAGACAAAGAGATTTTGATGTGCATCGGACAAAGTGACTGACTTGCATTTGCGAAATGCTTACCCAATTCCGCGGGTGCTCCAGGGTATTCTCTCGAAAACCCAGCTTCTGGAAAGGAAATCTAGACAAGAATCTCTTAGCTCGTCCTTTCCCCACGGGGTAAGAACACCGCCTTGGGTCCTCGTCCGTTGGTAAAATCTTGGCCCTGCATAGCTCAGAACTGGAATGCTATGTCCAGATACTATTTGGGTGAGCATCCCCGATGCCATGTGAAATCCACACGATATTTTTTGTTCCTGCTGCTGAAATAACCGAGGTCTAGCTTGTATGCAAGATATCGGCGCGATTCCTTCTAGATCGAAGCGTGTGATTAGTTGTGAAAGGGTTGGTAAGGGATGGGCAGTGCCAAAGGAACCAATAATAGCTTGTCCTGCTGACAGTGTTATTGCACACGAGTAGTCTATAAGACCGGGGTACGTATGCTATAGCTGGTTAGATTCTTCAGCGGTTCGAACTGGTAGGTAGACACCTTACTTGTACTGCCCGTAGCGCTTGAGATATTTATGTGGTTGGACTGTTAGGGTAAATAAAGAGTAGATCAAACGGCCACGAACCGAAGCTGACCCAATGACGACATCACATTACCCCAGAGTAACCCCACCAAAGGAGTTGTGGGGGTGGGACTAGACGATGCCCGAAGTCAGTTCCAGCAAAGCGTTGGAGTTGGATTGGATTTGCGGGGTAACAAGGGAGAGAGACGTTGACGATAACTGTCTTACTCCCACGTTGTTCCTGCAACCTATTGCATTGCAGGCTCGTCCCTATTCGAAATAAGGGGTCTGGTATTGGCAGGTCTTCAAATGAACCTGCTCTACCACAATATTGATTTAGTGGTTATAATCGTTCCTAGCCCCGGTTCGTTCGGCATCGATCTTAAACAGGCGGCGATTTACGACTTTCCTAAATTACATGTTAGCCTCCCTGTGTCTACGTTGATCTACGTGTCCGTCTCTATATCATCAGCAAGACTACTATGCATTTCCTTGCATATAAGAAAAGGGGCCTAGCTATCCACCCAACTATTAGCTTAGCTAGGTACCTAGGGAGTATTTATTGGGTGAGTGAGAGGAACCTGATGGATGGGTTTGCAAGGATATCAACCGTCACTTACATACTATCTTTTCTAAAACACTCCTCCCAGGGTAAACCCTAAACGATGCATCTTATAATATCCCCGTTAGGCCGAAGCCTTGCCTAATTTTATGTAGGTGTCCGACTTGCTGTACACCTTCCACGGGGAGCGAAGTGTTCATGCTGTACCTAATAGGAATAGTATTGGCCGTCCCATATTGCTAACCAGGGCCCAGGTAACGACCCATAGAGATACGATGACACCAAATATTCGTATACCGCCAAACCCATACCAGTAACCAGAGTTTTTACTCAAATAAGTTTCGTCTTATTACGCTTGGTCAACCAGCTTGCCTCAGAGATGAGTTGCTTGCTTAGGCAAATACCTAAAGCGTCTCGTGGCATGGGAAATAGGCAAGACGGATGTTTTCATAGCTGTCGTGCTTCGCATATTCCCTGTCCAAGAATCATGGGCCATTTTCAAACTTGAACCCCGGTTGATGGCTAATAGCTGTAAACCCGTTGCTATAGAACTTGATTTCAAAGTCTAAGTCAGCATCTTCCAGAGGAGCGCGCCAGCCGAATTCTTCGAGATCAAACGTCTCCTTGGCTCTTGCTGTAAACTGTCGCTCGTAGATGTCGAATTCAATAAACGTTTCATACTGGTAGGGCACTAGAAAACTCGATAGAGGGCGGTAGTGCCGCTCACAGAACCCGATGATATCGCGGCGGTAAGGTAAGACCTTTTGTATGTCGACTTTAGGATCAATAGGATTTGTGTGATCGTGATTTTTGGTGGGGAGTTCAAACTCAAAAGTTTCTGTGTGATTTATATCCTTAAATTCGTAGACTACTCGCCTAAGAATTGCTTCAGAGTGTTTAGACCCAGTGTGGGTGTAGCCCGAAGCTAGGAAAAGCGTTCTGCTACACGTAGGGTGGAAAAAAACACGAAGGTTCGACACCCATGATCTCAATGGCTGTCCATGGAGTCCTTGATGTTGTTTCAGAGGAGCTGTTGCAATCGTCGACACCTTACCGCCGAATTCCCATAAGAAGGCATCCCCATTGAAGAGGACCACGGCGACCCTTGGTCCTTCTGTTGCAGCATATTTGATGGGGCCAGGTAGTCTCTTTTCCAGAAACTCGTTCGTTGTGTGGTCCCAAGCGACTCTATTCGATTAAGTTAGACAAAGGAAGGATAGCTATATCTATATATTCTTACAAAATACGATTCATAGTGCCAACCACGAGTCTATTCCCAAGGGCCAGAATCTGGAGTGTTAAGCCAACGAGAGCACCTGTTGGCATAGCAAAAATCTTTCGCGTCCGTACCCATAAGTTGTCGACTACCACGATGCGGGGTTTAGCAAGCCATGCTATTTTGCCATGAGAATATAGAGCACTCGAGTACGCCTGGTCACCTGGCTCGGGGTCATTGCTATAGTGACCAAATTGCGCATAGACGGTGGACGTGTTATCGTGATCGCCGTGATACACAGGGTCCAGCTTAAAATATGATTCATGTTCCCAAGAAAATTCCTTCGTCAGACGGGCCTGCCAAGACTTCCAGCGCAATCGTCCTATTTTGTGAAGGGTGTTGAGACAATTATCTAGATTCACTGGATTACCGGAGTGTGTCAATGAAGGACAATATTTGTTTGTAATAGCGCCTATTGTAGACGGAGATAAAAACTTGTCACGCCATCGTCTGGATATGGCAAGGCAGCAAATAAACTCATGGAGGTCTAGTAGCTGTGCAATTTGGCTTACTATTTCCACTGGAAGCTCGCCAATAAGATCTACGTTGACCTTAGAAAGAAGAATTTTTATATAGCGGTACTCTTGGTTACTGAGTGAGCCGCTAGAGAATAACAGACGTAGCTTCGTAAGACGTTCCAGGAGATCAACATCCCCCCCGGCAGTACTGAATGATAAGTTTCTGGGATCCATCGATAACGAATTCTAGTTGAATGAAGTTCGCATTAAGGATAGAAATATATAGGGAACTAAGGTTGTCTTGTCCTAATTTTTTTTTGCTCTCGTTCACCATTTCGCAGTTTATTGTTATGATATATGGTGGTCTTGATTTTTATGAGCCTTGATGCCTTCTAAATAACGAAAAAAGTACATGAAATTATGGAAGTCTGTCGTCGTTGCTTCATTAGTTCGAGAGGCAGTTTAAGCCCATCCATTGCATTCATTCTAGCTTCTATGTATTCCGTTAGCACTATACATGAAATATGTACTTAAGAAGGTATGACTCCGCTATGGATGGTCCGATTACATATGTATATGTCAGGAGGGAACCAACAAGGGGAGGACGTTTCGTTGTGGCTAAGGCGGTTTTGGCTGACGACGGGACTATTCCTTTATTTGAGGTAGCCACTTGCGGTAGCTGTGGCTGAATGGCATTATGGCGTAAGCGTCATTCCACCAGATCTCATGTTCAGACGCTAGGGTGGAAGGCATACCTAAAGGTTAGGAGGTTAGGTAGGTAGGTACCTACCTACATGAATCGCTCGCCCCTCTAAAATGCACCATAGCTTATGGGTACATTCCTCACTTCGGGCGCACATAGATAGGGTACCCAAAAACAGGAAGTAGAAACCTGCAACGGGCCACGGCATTCTTCACACTAATTTCGAGCTGACTGTCGACTACGTATATGCGTATTAGGGTGCATGTGGGCTTTGCAGGGTCCTAATTACATATGTAGCGGTTTATTAGTCCCCTTTTTATTCATTCGTTCATTCATTCATCTTCGACCTTCGATAGTAGCCCTCTCTTTCACATTTTCCAATAAATTCCATTACGACAAGGCAAGTCATACCACCATCTGTTGAATGATAATTCTTTTTAATTGTCGACTAACCCTCTCTCTTTCATTAGGCATATCTCGGTTGTTTAAGCTCACTTCTCTACCGTTCACCTGTCCCTTCGTAATCGAAGTCGGTTGTTTTTCCCATCTTGTCTACCTACGTAACTCATAGGTAGCCATAGAAAGGGACAAACATAAGACCCCTCCTTCCTCAGTCGCTATGGCTGGCCCCGCCTCTCCCAACGAAGGCCCTACGTTCGAACCACCACAGCTTCCACCTGGATGGATAGCACAGTGGGATGGTGCAAGCAAAAAATATTACTACGTTCAACTCTCGACCGGTGTCTCTCAATGGGAGACTCCAACACAAGCCGCGCCGGGAAACACGCCCGCTCAAGTCAACGAGCACCCGTACGGGATACCTGGCCGACAAGAAGTCATCACGCACCCGGACGGTACACAAACTGTCAAACATCCAGACGGCCGGATGGAACCCGTATTGGCGCCTGATGGTAGTCGAGGACTCGGTGGACCATCTGGAGAAAGAGGATTCGGTGTAAGTGGACAAGTCCTGGCAGATTTTGCATTCCAGCATGAAAATCGCTAACGCGGCTTCTAATCGCAGAGTTTTGCTGCCAACACGTTGCTGAGTCAGTTCTCTGGAGGCCACGGAAAGCCACAGAGTGGCGGCAGTCATGGTTCGAGCGGCATTGGAGGTATTGCTGGCCAATTAATTGGTGGTCTCGGTGGAAGCCATGGTAGTAGCCACGGAGGTTCGTCTGGTGGACATGGCGGAGGAGGTCCTAGTCAACTTGTTGGCCAACTTGCCTCGAATTTATTTTCCTCTGGCAGCAAGCCTCAGCAATCACAGAATTACCATGCAGGGCAGCCCCACCAACCACAACACTCATCAGGTCTCGCTGGCTCTGTGATGGGAGGCGTCGCAAGCATGTTTGGAGGAACGCATCAACCAGTATGTCGCGTTCTACCTACGACATTTAGATGACCCTAGACCTAACTAACGCGTTACATAGGGTCAGAGCTATGGCTATTCGAACTCGGGCCATGCGGGCGGATACAGTGGTCAAGCTCCTCCGTCATCTTATCAGTCACCGAGTGCATCAACGCCATCATATAGTGCCCCGCCTCATCAACAGAGCTCTCCCTCCTACAACCCTCCTTCTGGTCAACATGGAACGCCGCAATATCCACCTCCACCCGGCCAGCATGTTGCAACATCATATCCTCCGCCTCCTGGCCAGACAGGAGGACACCAAAATCCCTCTTATCATAGCCCCCCGCCCGGTTCACAGCATCAAAACCCGCCTTATGGTGGTGCCCCATCATCGGGTCACTCTAGTTATGGGCATAGTCCAACTCCCCAAGCAAATGCTTATTGTGAGTAACCCTTTTCATGATGATTTGCCGGCTTATTTAACGTAATGACTAGCACAACAACCGCAATACACGTCACCACCACCGAACCAACCCCAATATAATGGCCACCAACAGTACCCTCCGCCTCCGTCTACGTACGGTAACCGACCGTACAATGTGTCACCTCCATCGTCAGGTACTCACGGGTACCCGGGACAACCCCCGTACGCGAACGCCGGGCCACCAGTTCCTTCGGCGACGCACCCCCATGCCCAGTCTGGGTATCCCGGTAATTGGTAATAGGAAAGTTCCAAGCTGTTATTTGTATTGGCAAAGTTTCAGGCATATGATAGACCGCAGAGTTTATTTTAACTGTTCTTGGAGCATTTCCACCATCTTCATTATGCTAAGAGCAATTCCGCTTTGGCATTGATCCGCGGTGATTTATAGCATAAATTAAGTTATGGACAAGATGAAGATGTTGTGATCATATGCTCGTTTGGGGCTATATTGGACTGCGTTCGCGAACGCGTATTACGAGTTATGATGATTAGGACTAGGTGATGCTCTCGTTTGGATCTAGAAGGCAAATATAAGAGGCCGTGGCTGAAGTCTTTTTACCACGTCACTGAATTTTCTTCTCGGGAGTTGTTTCTGCTGCTAGGTTGCGAATGCGTACTGAGATATATCGTGCGATAAACCACGATGCGATGGCTACCACGACAATATAGCCCACAGTTGGTAGTAGTGAACGAGGAAGTAAGCCGAAGATAAAGGGATCGAGAATGATATCCACATGAACAGGTGGAACATCCCTCATTAGCGTCTTGTTCATTGTGTAGTAATCTGCCGCTGCTAGAATTTGGAGGAAAAGGACTGATGTCTTTCTCTCTGATCTTAACGCTTGGGCGCCTCCGGTGGACCTAGATTGAGATCTAGAATCATCATGTAGAGACCGACGGAACTGTGAGTATTCTGAGAGCCCAGATAACAGTTCTGGGGTCTCGAGGAGGGTTTGTAGCTCATAGGTGGCGATTCTAAACTCAGTGGGTTGCTAGGAACTAGTGAGCTTCATCTAGCCCAAGTATATTAAATGATAATATTGTAGCATGTCTACTCACGGTTGCAGCCCAGCATACTCTTACTTCGTAACGCTGACCCTCAGTCAGCTCATCTAGAACGAGCCAAGTAGCTTTGCCATGCGGCAACGAGATATTGGGAAATTGGGCCTCGACATGGGTCCGTATCGCCCCATTAGTAGGTGTGAGGGTATCGACGTGTAAGTCGCCCAGGGTCGGATGGGAAAAGGGGATACTAGTTGTAGGTGGTCCTAAGAAGATTGCCTTTTCGGTATTGGCACATACAGCTGCAATCAGCGAATATACGAAAGCAAGGTGAATTATTAACATTATGGCCAACTATTATTATAAGTAGTATTATTATGAGGTATGCATGTGTGAACTCGGCGGGCAGCAGTTTGTAAGTCGATTTTAGTTGTATTCCCTATGAAATTTAATTATTAATGAAGATCAGATTTCGGATGGATTGTATTGGGCAATTGCCAGCTGCGTTACTACCGCTAAGCTTAATTTGTCAAGTTTGTCATCTGCGAACCGGTCTGTGGGACTGGTGTAATAGGTGTAATAGCCGACCCCCCCTGACTCCTCTTGGGCAACGACGTGGTCTGTGTGCCTTCCCGAACCCCCCGAGTCCAATCCGGTCAATCTAGGCAACCTCATAAACAAGCTAGACCGTGGCTGGCCACTGGACATGTCAACATTGGAACATTGGAACACTAATTGCTCCAACCAGGGGTGAATTTTTAATCCGCCCCCCACTTGAACTTTTAGTTAACTTAGGTAAAAAACGACCCGTCCAAAGCATCAACAGAACTCCTTTTGACTCGATCTCAACTCCTACATTTCATCCACTCACATATCCTGCAAAGGGGCTATTTTTTCAACCTGCCCACTCCCGATTCCTGCTCTCTCGTTTCCCTTTAGTACAGATTTTCCATTGTATCTGCCTTCAAGATGCGTGAGATCATTAGCATCAACGGTATGTTTTTCTTATTTTCCCCTCGATAGCACGCGTTTTCCTTCACCGCATAATCTATGTCTCCCTATCGCCAGCACATTTTGACCTTCAAACCATGGAAACGCGGTTGTACTGACTACTTGTTTTGTATACAGTCGGCCAGGCAGGTTGCCAAATCGCCAACGCTTGCTGGGAGGTAAGTCTATTTCTCTGCGCGGGATCTCGATGTCGCATATATACTACGCAACTCGGACATCGACAGCGCCTTGCGCGAAATCGACTCGAGATGGAGACGAAAACTGACCTACTTTTAGCTTTACTGCCTCGAGCACGGTATTCAGGTATGTTGATTTGAAATCTAATAGACCAAGGTCCTGACTGACGCTTATCGTGTAGCCTGATGGATACCTGACCGAAGAGCGCAAGAAGGCGGACCCCGACCAGGGATTCAGCACTTTCTTCTCTGAAACTGGTATGCTTTATATGCTTTGTATATAATAAAAAGTATTCTAACTTATTGATTCCTTTAGGTCAGGGCAAATATGTTCCTCGCACCATTTACTGCGATCTCGAGCCCAACGTCGTCGATGAGGTTCGAACTGGTACCTACCGCAGCCTTTTTCACCCCGAGCAGATGATCACAGGCAAGGAGGATGCGTCCAACAACTACGCTCGTGGTCACTACACTGTGGGCAAGGAGCTCATCGACCAGGTTTTGGACAGAGTGAGACGTGTTGCCGATAGCTGCGCTGGTCTCCAAGGTTTCTTGGTCTTCCACTCCTTTGGCGGTGGTACTGGCTCTGGTTTCGGCGCCTTGTTGATGGAGCGTCTATCGGTCGACTATGGTAAGAAGAGCAAGCTGGAGTTCTGCATCTACCCTGCTCCTCAAACCGCTACTTCTGTCGTCGAGCCATACAACTCTATCCTTACTACGCACACCACCCTCGAGCACTCCGACTGCTCCTTCATGGTCGATAACGAAGCTATCTACGATATCTGCCGCCGAAATCTTGGCTTGGAACGTCCTAACTTCGAGAACCTGAACCGCTTAATCGCCCAAGGTAGGAGATTATCTAATAGTGTTGTATTGTTAGTAGCTAACGTTGTCTAGTTGTGTCTTCTATCACGGCCTCTCTTCGATTCGATGGCTCTCTCAACGTCGATCTTAACGAGTTCCAGACTAATCTGGTGCCGTACCCTCGTATTCACTTCCCTCTGGTTGCTTACGCTCCAGTCATTTCGGCTGCCAAGGCCGCCCACGAGGCCAACTCTGTTCAAGAGATGACCATGTCATGCTTTGAGCCGTACAACCAGATGGTGAAGTGTGATCCCCGCAATGGAAAATATATGGCTACCTGTCTGCTGTACCGAGGAGATGTCGTTCCTAAGGACGCTCACGCAGCTGTGGCTACGCTCAAGACCAAGCGCACTATTCAATTCGTCGACTGGTGCCCAACCGGATTCAAGCTTGGTATCTGCTTCCAGCCTCCCCAGTTCGTTCCCGACGGTGACTTGGCCAAGGTCAACCGTGCTGTCTGCATGCTTTCCAATACGACGGCTATTGCTGAGGCTTGGTCAGCTCTGTCTACCAAGTTCGACCTCATGTATTCCAAGCGCGCTTTCGTCCACTGGTATGTTGGTGAGGGTATGGAAGAAGGAGAATTTTCCGAGGCGCGTGAGGATTTGGCAGCGCTAGAGCGCGACTACGAGGAAGTTGCCACCGATTCCGTAGACGCCGAGGGAGATGCTGAGGCTGAGTACTAAATTTGAGGTTGCTCATGCTACGTGTCACGACTAAAGGGCATCTAATATTCTACTCCCTCCGTTGTGTCTGACCGAGGCCTGCCGCAATAGTACCCTATTATACTGAAAGCCTATAAAGTGCCGGTTTTGTGTGGCGGAGAAACGTGGTCCTGTCCGTAGGAATAGTAGTGGAGAGACAGCAGGGAGGCTTTTAATTCGATTGTGAGCCTGGTAGCAAGATTAGTATACACTTTGTACATCCGTCCTACAACTTTTAATAGCAAAAAGTTCACTCGGGCATCCCCCCCCAAGTGCCTTCGATACCAAAATGAGAAAAATACGTGATTAATTTTCATCATTTCTGCAGCTCCGTTTTCGTGTCGCTTGGTATACTCTATGCAGTGTGACAGACTCCAGACCAATAAGTTGAAAGATGGACTACTGACAATGCCACTCTACTCGTTGGTGACCTTTCACGCTATCCGCGGTTGAACCACCTGTTGACCAATTATGGCTTCTTTCGATTGCAGCTCGCAGCAGCATGCATGTCTAACTGTCCCCTAAAACGACAGGATCCATATTTGGATGTTGCAGCGCTCGTGACAGGAAGAAAATGTATTAAGCTGGCAGGCTGGACTGACTCATTACAAAACGTTCGCTTGTACGTCTTCAAGTCTGGTTACAGAACGAATGGCTACCTCATTTGAATGTACCGGCAGTTGAGATGAGGAGGAAACTAGAAAAGGGGAAAGCCCTTAATTTTCCCCCCCTTTATTTCTTTTAGCATATAAGATTGATATATATTCTCATCCTTGCTTTTGGAATATCGATGCATCTAGAAATATTATCTAATTAGCGTTGAGCCGTAGAAAATATTGGCCTAATGCTCTGCAATGTAATGCGAGAGATATACATATGTACATGTATTATGTATGGAGATACAGTATATGTACCCGGGACCCCGGAGCTTTGAGGAGCTAAGCTAAAAGTGGCCCCGCATACGTAGTCCTGAACCTGAAGTAGGGGAGGTTAGGTAGGGGCAGTAGGGGCAGTCAGTCAAGGTTACCCTGTACAGAAAAGTAGACTCCAGACGCCAGCCTCCTACGAAAAAGCGTAGGTTAGTTGGAGACAGAAACCTCAAAAACATTTCCCACTCACCACTTACCTTACCCTTCCTTTCGCCAAACACGGCCAAGTCTCCGACCACTTTTTGCCGCAGAAGCTGTACATTACATGCTTCTCTTGTTATTACATAGCAATTCTATGCTAACCTTAACACATCGTTAATTGACTTTTCGTGTGCGCCCGAAACGTTGTTCGATATCCTCAAACGCCGAGCTCTGTCTTAAATCGAAGCCTGGGTGAGCTCGGCTGCGCAATAATGTCCGCCGAATCTAGCGTTGATGCCGGTAAGCTACGGGAATTCCCATCTATATGCCATAAAGCATTCATCTATCATCAAGATCTATCATCGAGATCCTTCTTTCCGTGTATATGTATTATAACCAATAGTGTTGACTAACGCACATCGTCCTAACAGCCGCGCCGGCGCTTAACCTCACTCCCGAAGAGAAGCGAGTATATGGTCAACTCTTCAAACTAGCAGACACCGAGAGTGTCGGCGTTGTGACGGGCGAAGTAGCCGTGAAATTCTTCGAGAAAACAAGGCTAGACTCGCGCGTTCTCGGCGAGGTAAGTTTCGTTACACTTCTAAATATCGGATGAATACACTTGATATAAGAATATGCTAATTTGTTATCAACGCCGGTAGATCTGGCAAATAGCAGACAAAGAGAATCGCGGCTTTTTAACGCCTGCCGGCTTCGGGATCGTCTTGCGACTTATCGGCCATGCTCAAGCTGCACGCGAACCAACCCCTGAACTGGCTCTTCAGCAAGGCCCCTTACCGCGGTTCGACGGGATTACCATCAGTGCCCACGTCCCCCCTGTTCCACCACCTATACAAGCCCAGGGGAGTGGCAGCGGCCCTATACGGATACCACCTCTGGTACCCGAGAAGGTCGCCCAGTATGCTATATTATTTGAAAGGCAGAATTTGCAGAATGGAGGCATACTACCAGGTGATCAGGCGAAGAGCATCTTTGAGAAGTCCGGCCTACCCAACGAAGTCTTAGGACGCATCTGGCAGCTTGCCGATACAGAGCAAAGGGGAGCACTTGTAATGACGGAATTTGTAATTGCAATGCACCTTCTCACTTCTATGAAGTCTGGTACTTTGAGAGGCCTCCCCAATATTCTACCTGCCGCGCTCTACGAAGCTGCTACAAGGCGCGGTTCGGTGTCGGGACGGAGCCCTACGACTATAGTCCCGCCCGTACCCGCTATACCACGACAACTGAGCGGACAGGCGCAACTACGAACGACGAGTCCGCTGGGAAGACCACCGTTTAGTCCTCAGCCTACCGGTGTAGCAGGTGTAGCCCCTCAAACGACTGGAAGTGACTGGATAATCACGCCTGCAGACAAGGCAAGATTCGATCAATTTTACGCCGACTTAGATAAGACGAACAAGGGATTTATCACTGGAGAGGAAGCCGTTCCGTTCCTAAGTCAATCTAGCTTGCCTGAGGATGCGTTAGCCCAGATTTGGGATCTTGCAGACATCAATTCAGAAGGCCGACTGACGAGAGATACGTTTGCGGTTGCCATGCACCTTATTCGCCAACAGCGCAGCAGGCGAGATATGCCACTGCCTACGACCCTTCCTCCAAACCTCATCCCTCCGTCTCTACGAACTCAGCAGCCTCGTCCCCCGGTCGGTCCATCTCCGTTCGATGTCCCAGCTTCCCCGACGCAGCTACCACCTCAACCCCAGCCGATACCTCAACCGATACCTCAGCCGAAATCCGCCATTGAAGATCTATTTGGTCTTGACGCTTCCCCTAGCCCTGCTCCTCCCCAAATTCCAGTATCAACGGGAGGTTCAGCAGCCAGAGATCCATTCGCCAGTGGACCGCCAGCCTCCCCGCTTCGGGCTTCCCCTACCGCTAATACATTCAAGCCCTTCGTTCCCTCTTCTTCCTTTGGTAGAACTTTGACATCTCATGATACCGGGGGATCGAGCGGTTCCGCTCAGCTTCCAAGGGGACCTGTTCCTCCTGTTATCGCTACGGATGATCTTCTTGGTGACAATGATCCTGAAATTAGCAAAAAGCTCACAAATGAGACAACTGAGCTAGCGAACCTATCTAACCAGATTGGTTCGTTGTCGAAGCAGATGCAACAGGTTCAAGGACAACGTGGCTCAACACAGAATGAGATTAACCAGGCGAGCGAGCAGAAGAAGAACTTTGAACAGCGCCTATCTCAACTTCGCGCATTGTACGAGAAGGAAGCGCAAGATGTCCGGGCTCTAGAAGAACAACTTAGAAACGTGCGCGAAGAGACCAAAAAACTTACCAACGAGTTGATCATAATCGATGGCACCTATAAGGACTTACAGAACCAGCATCAGCAAATCGCTCAGGCTCTCCAGGCCGATCAACAAGAAAGCGCAGCTCTCAAGCAACGGATCAGCTCTGTTAATACTGAGATTGCGCAGTTGAAACCGCAGGTGGAAAAATTAAGGTCGGAAGCTCGGCAGCAAAAAGGAATGGTTGCCATTGGCAAGAAGCAGCTTTCTACGGTTGAGGGTGATCGAGACAAGCTAAAGAGCGAAGTAGAGGATCTTACAAAGAGTAACGAGGAGCTTTCCCGTCAGATTAATAGCAACTCCCCAGTAGCAACCTCTGCTCAGCTAGCCAGTCCAGCACCGTCAACTGCCAGCGCAAATAATCCGTTCTTCAGGCGGACCGGAAGTACAGACATAATGGGCGCATTCCCATCGCCTCCCGTTAAGCCGTATGGCGAAAAGTCTTTCAACGATATCTTTGGTGACTTCGGGGCCGAGAGTACTTCAACTCCTCCGGTAACTTCATTTAAACACCAAGACACTGGTGGCTCAACAGCTAGCATTGGATCTTTTGCTACACCGACAAGTTCTACGCCTACTGTGAGTCTCCATTCCACTCCTGCACCCGAGCCCCCCGTCTCAACTGAGTTATAGCAGCCTAACCCGAGTTTCGCACCCTTTGGTGAGGCGTCCGAGACCCTATCGCCTTCACGTCAAGTTTCTCCCCCCGTTAGTAGGTCTGGTGAAAGCGCCGCAACTCCCTCTGCTTCAATTTCCACTCCTGCCCCGTTGGAGTCCGCATCTACTGGTCAAAGTTTGCACTCGGCGTCGGATACCAACCAAAGATGGTCTCCTACTCAAAGCGAAGAGAAATCAAAGGCCCCTGGTGATGGATCTATCCCTGGCGCATTCCCTGATGAGACCCCCACGGCCCCTGCTCCTACCACACCTTACGCTAGCAAAAGGGACAGCGACCTATTTGCGAGCATGAGAGATTCTGGCAATGCGAAGGTAGATTTTGATTCTGCCTTTGCAAGCATGGACAGTACTTCGGGTAAGCCTCAGGAGAAGTCGACTCAGGACAACTCCAAGGTATTCTCAACCTTCAACTCAGAGTTTCCTCCTATTTCCGAGCTTGAGAGAGATGATGAGTCGGACTCCGCCAGCGAGGGAAATCGGTTTGACGATGATTTCGCACCCGCATCCCCCGCCGACAAAAAGACCGAGGCCAAGGAGCTTCAAGCTCCGGCTTCTCCGGCAGCCTCAAAGTCTAGCGCTGCCGTAACTGATGGCCAAGCCGCAGAGAGTGTAGCTTCTGCGTCTCATACTTCCCACGTGTCCAAGTATGACTTTCAATTTCCAATGCATTGACCATTAAAAGCTCATAATGACGCTAATATCGGATCAAGTGACTTACCAAATTTCCCTGAACCGCCGAGAGCCTCTTCATCTTTCTCCTCTCCATCGGGAACTGGGGAATCATTTACCCCTACTCCAACTACAGTAACAAATACAACCACTACTGCACATAAGAATGCATTCGACGACCCCGACGACGATTTCGCCGACCTCGAAGATGCTAAAGAGGGTTCAGCAGACGATGAGTTTGCTAACCTATCTAGATCAAATCTTGATGATTTCAACCCTGTGTTTGATAGCAGCCCGCCTCCGAGTCAGCCCAAGAGCGAATCGACTAATGCTTCAAATGCATTCGGTATTGACAGCAGCTATGATTTCGGCACAGTCTCATCTGCATCGGGTACTACTGCTGGTGGTGCTCCACTTAATAATACAAATACCCCCTTCCCCGGCCAAGCTCCCGCAGCACCAAACAACCAAGACTGGGAAGCCCTTTTCTCTAATTTCGACTCGCCGAGCGACCTGCCCGCAAAGAACAATGAAGATACCAAGAGTCCCGTTCAAAGTCCAAGCTCAGGTAGACCGAGTACTGCAGGAAGGGCACTAAGTGACGAAGGAAAGCATGACGACCCCATTGTTAAGAACCTTACTGGTATGGGCTACTCAAGGACGGACGCGGTGAATGCCTTAGAGAAGTACGATTATAACCTCGAGCGGGTAAGCTGATATTTCAACTCTGTCTTGCGTGGAACTGGGGGGCACTAATTCACTACCTAGGCTGCAAACCATCTCGCTAACCAGTCCTAAACCTAGGTCTAACATGATAGAACCCAATTTTAAGGCAAAAGATGGATGATTCTTTGTTTTAATTCGCGAGATACCTCATTTGTATAGGCGCCGAGCGTGTGGGACCTTTGGAAGTTTGTCAAACCGAACTTAAGCTAAGATGTGAGGCTCAATATGAAGGAGCCAACAAGGCCTGGCAAGTTTGACAAAAGGGCCGATGACTAATGTATAGTTCTGTATGTAATTCTTTGTCGTGAATAGCTATATGCTGCCTTTACAGGTCAGATACAGTTTCTTATTAACGATCTATTTTAACCCTCATATTACACTTAATAGCATGTCGAATAGCATATATCAGGTAGCCCCGTGATTATTAGCTATACAGGTACCTGATTCATTAGGTTAGTCCATCTAACGTTCCCTTTCAGCGAATAGCAGTGTTAGAATAAGCCGGGGGAGGCGCAGGTTCATGACGCAGTTGAGCCGGCGGCATCGCTGACTGTTCGTTTCCGCTTTTCATCCCCCTTTCTTCTTCATCGATTTTCCTATAGAAGCTGTCGCCCACCTTCTTTGTATCGCGGTCCGTCTTACTTCGTATCTTCCGGAAAACCCATACAAATATCTGAATTCCGGTCGCATACCTGAACGCCTTCCACGCCAAGCGGCCGAATAGACGTAGGCCAAAGCGCGGGCGTTCGCTTGAATTTGCGCGTATGTAATCTTTCGTTCGAAGTTAGGTACATTCAAGATAGAGTAAGTGATAGAGTAAGTGGGATCAGTACCTGTCCGAAAGAAATGCACAAACAGTGTGATGTAGGCAAACAACCACACGACGCTGCAGATGATGATGAGCCAAACCCACCACGCAAGAGAACCCCCGCCTCCGCCTCCGCCTCCGCCGCTGCTACCACCACCACCCTTGTACTTGAATCCGCTGCCACCCTTTGGGACACGAGTATCGAGGATACTATCCATATGCTTTTTTATATATGCTTTTGGTTGCGACTAGGTACGTGTGCCGATCAGGTATAGTATAGAGTAGCAAGTATAGGTTGTTTCAATAGATAGGTTGTGTTTGCTGTAGGGTTGAAACGAGATAGCAGATGAGGCTTACAATATAGTCATGGCAAAAGAGGGGGTGGGCGGCCGGTTGGTTACCTGCGAATTATATCGATCCCATCGTGGCGGGAGTGAGCCTTGCAGTTCACCCAACCAGAAATCATAACGAGCAACCAACAGATCCAAGACTGGAGGTTTCATTTAGCCCTTGCTTTGCTGCATAGCCGATCCAGGTGAAATCATGATGAGCTGCTGCGCCCATTGGTGTAAGCACGCCCGCCATCTCTTGGCGGTGGATTCAGCCACTGCCTACAGGAATCTATGTGGTACTCCTGTCGAATTGGAAAATCCTAACCTAGCCCCCTGGGCCGTGGCGTACCCAAGAGTTTTAGACCTTGTAACGATAGGCCATAGGCCAACAAGTCGGGAGCAGTAAAAAAGCTCGCCCAGACCCAAACGTCTTAGGGCTATTGCGAGATCAACAGAAAAGGAGTCAGATCGTCATGAGGTCATTGAGTAATATTTAGATAACAAGATAATAGACAGGCTACCTGTTATAAGATGCGGTTATACGTCGAAGAGGCAATGTCAAGTCATGTATTGCTGATCTTCTTTATTCATTTATTGCCAAGCCGATTTAGCATCTACTAAGCTCACTTCCCTTGACACATGCTAGGGAATGATCAACACAGCTGAAGAATAGTTTAATACTAGCTAGGTAGCTAACTTTTATAACAGAAGATAAGCCTTTAGCATTGTAACCATCTCATTATTACTGTCCTCCTCATCGTCAGTGCTGCTGCCCCTTGCTGCCTGCATCACCTCTTCCGTAATCTCAACATCATACTGTCCGTTTAAAATCAGCGCCATTTTAGAAGTCGCATCCCGTCCCTTGCGGCTCGCCGCCGTTTTCAGCACCGCTTCGGTGATAGGGACGTGTCGTCCACACTCGAGAAGAGCCCTCATGCTCCCCCCTGAAGATCGAGCAGCAGCGATAACAACGTCTTCCGTGATTTGGCAGTCCTCGTCCCACTCGAGCAAGAACTCGAACATCTCCTGCGTATACGAATCGTTCCGGGCTGCGATTTTGAGAACGTCCCCGATGTCGAGGTCGTCTTGATACTCTAGTAGGATTTTGGTGATGTGCCTACGTCGCCAGTCGGTTTTCGCTGCTAGCTTTAACATGTCCGCTGTGATGCTAATGCGAGCTCTATCTAGCAGTTTGTTAAACTTGGAAGCAAAAGCGCTTGGGCCTATATGCCGGCCGAACAGATTCGGGTTACCAATTGCGGCCACGAGGACAGCTTCTGTGACCGGACATCTTTTGTCGTAATCTAGCAACATTGGGAATATCTCCGTAACATGGAGATTCATGGCTACTAGCTTGAGGACTTCTGGGGTGATAGTGACCTTTCTTCTTGACCCTAATAAGACTAATAATGTCGAGAAGTCGTGGATAGCTTCTTTCACCACTGCTTCCGAGATCTTCGAGTTGACGTCGCTGCGGTCTAGCCATACTTTCAAGAGTTTTGAATTGCCATTAGCAATGGCTGCTTTAAGCATAGACTCGGATATTTTGATGCTCGGATCGTGTTCCAAAAGTAGTGCGAAAACTCTTACGCCCTTTTTCTTATTCCTAGCCACAGCTTCCATGACATGATCTCCGACTGGTATTATATCGCCACCGTGGTATAGCAATGTTTCGATGAGTTCATCTCCAAACTCCGAGTTTCCAGCTGCTGCTTCCAGAACTGTGTCATCAATATGTAAATCGGGAATCCCGGCTAAAAGTAGTGGTATAAGTTCATTTCCGAGAGATTTATTAGCTGCTGCTGCCGCCACAACTCGCGGTGTGATTCGAATCCGGTCTATATGCTGTATGAGAAAGTTGAGTATCTTGGTTCCGCGGCCATTGTTTTGTGCTGCAGCTACCAGATTGTCTTCACTTACGACAATGCTGGGGTCGTGATTGAACAGTGCCTCGATAAGTCTGTCGCCGTGAAACTCGTCGCTGACGGCACCCGAAATGATAGCTTCAGGGATGGTGATACCGGGTCGGTGCTTGAGAATGCTAATGAGGTCTTCTAATAGCCAACCGCTTTTTGCTGCGCTGACCAGTACCGCCTCTGTAATGTTCACGCTGTCCCCTAAAGCCCGAAAGAGGTACTCAAAAATCATCGGACCCTTGTCCTTGTTTGACGCAACAGCACAGAGGATCTCTTCAGAGAGAACAATGTTCGCTTTAGTGTGTTCCACCAAAGTCTTCATTATTTGGTGTCCATCGACCGAGTTCCGAGCTGCGCCAAGCAGTACATTCTGAGTTATGGGAATATCCTCTTTGTAGTGTAAGATTGTTGACATAGACTCTTCACGGCCGCTTGAAGCGAGGGTGACGATGTCCTCAATCCCGGGTGGGTGGTCTACTCTGGCAAGTAAATACTTTAACATCTCGCTGGAACATCCCATCGCTGACCTATACGTCTCTAGATCTGCTGGGAGTCTACCGTAGTGATTATTCAAGGCTTTGAGGACTTCAACTCCGAACCGCTTGTTTTTCGTGGCGCACGTCGTCATGTCCGGCGTAATGTCCGCATTATTGTAATTTCGTAGGATGAGTGTTATAACCCGTCCACTACTATAAGTGATGGCCGCTCTAACCAGCCTGGCAGTTACTTCAACTGGTTCCCTCCCGTTGAGCAGCTCCATTACCACTTCGTAGGAGTCGTATATACATGCAGCATTAAGACCCTTTCGTCTCAGGGCTTGTCGTGCGGTAAAGTCAGTAGCCTCTCGCGTCAAGGCAAGCTCGAGAATATCGTCAAGGTTGAAAACGCAGGCAGCAATAAAAGCATGAGCTGAATGCTTAGAAGAAGTAGCAAGCCTATCCTGCGCTTCGTATAGGGAAAGATAGTACTTCCCTATATTCCTCCTGTCAAGAGCCTTCAAAGGCTGTTCGCAAAAGCAGAAAAGTAAGTCACGAAGTGCTTGGCGTTTACGGTTGTCGGACCCGGCACGAGAGCTATGGGAGAGGGCGGCTATATGAATGTAGGGCCCTATCAACTCAGAAAGTACTCCTCGGCGATATATATACCATAGGCAAATCTCTGCGATGAAACCATGACATGTTTGGTAACCAAATTCGTCATTGCAGTACTCGGAATTCATAAGATACTCTTTGACGGAGTTATGAGAAAACCTTACAAATCCACTATAGTCTGCAAATAATACCAGGTTACTGCATAGTTGGGTGATCTTGTTTGAGTCGATAGTTTCGTGCCGTTCGTAGGATCCTCTCGACGGCATGCGCTCGTGGGAAAGTATTATCGCCTCGACCAGTTCTTTTGATGTTAAAGGTAGTAGAGAACATAAAACCCATTTGAGAGCATATGTTATAATGTTGCGGGCATTTTGACGGCGCTTTTTTAATATGCGATCGTATGCTTCATTTAATTTTGACATTTGGTCTTTGGAATGCCCGGTTATGGACTGCCCCTTTTCTAGATTTCGTAGCTCGCTCTCTACGTCTTCTTCTAATTCAAATGGAAAACTTTCGTCGAAGAATATCTCAACTTGTAATTCGACCCAACGGAACCTAGTCAGAACATTAGAAGAATATCTTAGTAGATACCACTTACATATTGAAAACGAGTACTAACACTCCCTGTGCGTACCGAGTTAATGCGCGTTTGAACCTATCCTTGAAACCCATACGAATCCAGCCAGGAGGAGTATTATGCCGTGAGTCAATTTCTTTATTGATATAATGTTCCAAGTCCATGCGAGTTGTATTTTTCTCGATTGTCATACGTTGAAGATTCGTAAACATGTCGTCGAGTTCCATATGAAGACGGCTCGACAGGAAAAGCTTTATCTTATTCGAGGAACCTTCCTGTACATTTCTCAAGGTATCAAGTACACGACGAGACGCAGGACACTCGTCTAGCGCATCAATAACAATGACAATTTCCAAATGAGCGCGACAAAGTTCCAATATTAACTCGGAATCGTCCTTGTCAAGAATTAGTTGCTGGGCTCGGCCTCTAGAGTTATATCTTTCTGTTATCAATCGCTGAACTGAGACGCCATTTGCCGAAAATGCAAGCTGAAGAATAAGTGAGCGAATCATAAAGTTGAAGTCATGGTCTACAGAACAATAGACATAAACAACCTTTCGTGGTTTTTGTATGCGACGATTATCTTTGTAGAACCACTCGATAACCTCGGAGCTGTACCAAAGTCCATTAGCACCAAGTCGTTTCGATAACAGGCGAGGAGGTTCAAAATAAAGGAGCGTCCAACCTCACTGATGTTTTGCCTGTGCCCACTACATGTCGGATGTTAGCATATAGGTAGGTATACTAAATATCTGACCATCTAGTAACTCACCTCCACCACGCAGCCAGAATGTTGACCGAGTACATTCTTGGATATCGCTCCAGGCCGTAAACTCGGGCGATTCAATGAGCCACTTTCCTATATTATCATAGGCGCGGAGTTTATCTCTCGCTCGCTCGTGATCTACTCGGTGTTTGAAAATATGCGTAGGGTCATCAGATCCCATTATCCATTTAGCAATTGGCTCTATAAGGGATAACCCGTTTAACCCATGATCTCATATACAGGTAGAGGATCTAATTCTGCTTACCGGACTGTTTCTGTAGGATCAATTGAACATTTTGTATAGCCGAACATATCTTTACGTAAAGATCGTCCTTTCTCGTCTTGCATTTATTCAGGCCGGAGTGGTCTGTATTTACTGGTATGTGCTTCCCAATATCGAGAGTAGCTGATTGAGGCCCTACAATCTAAAGATAAAGTTAGCCTTGATGAGTTGAAGAACACTGTAAATACATACTACACCAAGTGATACGCCGCAGCGAAATGTGGGCAGCGTTTCATAGAACGAATACACCAGCAGTGGTTTCTGGTTAAGGATGGATGTTACAGCAGCGGAAAAATCCCTCTTTAAGTCCAGGAGTGCTGGGCTGCCATGGCTCAAGAGCTTTAGCAATGTAACATCGGACCCAGAGAGAATGGTTAGTCGAGCAAGAATTTCACCAATCCAAGAAACGGTAGAGCCCTGATGAGGTGTTCCTAAGAAGATGATCCCTGCAGTATCGCGACTAATATCTCTGAAGCGCGAGTCCGAATGTGAGGAGTGGATAGCCTTTGGAAATGTGAGTAGAATTCATACAGGCCAGAGTACTTAGACTTAGACACATACGTATTTGACCAGGATCCCGCCAAAGCTGTGGCCGATGAAGAGAATAGGGGGCGTTTTCTGTGAGGAATTGGTTAGATATTCTTCATTCTGGGAAAGGCGTGCGTAGGTTCGGACCTTCGTCTTCTCCCTGAACTCTGAGAGTGTCTCTAGAAATGTAAGAGCCTTCTGCGACGCTGTTGACAGCGAGGCGTCCACGAACCAATCGGCATTGTAGCTATAGGAGAGGATCCTGACGTTCTTGAAATCTTTCTTCAGGAAGTCATCGTGCTCAAGCCAATTAATGTGCGCTTCATCTCCTTCTGGCGTACCAGCAGAGTCAGACGGGGGGCCATTGGCCTTCCAGCTATAATAGGGATGTGCGCCCAGGCCATGTACAGCTACTACGCTTGACCCTACCATTAGATATATATACTCGATAACCGGTTGGTAGCTCTACTTGGACACTTACTCCAGATGTACTTCTTCGTAATCGGCAAAGACGGTGATCCTGTCAAGACTTTCTCGCGGCTCACGGCGTGACGTCACGTATCGCAAGAGATATCTATGCGCTCCTACGACGCACAAGATTGTGGAAATAATGAAGAGAATTGACCGCAAGACAAAAGAATGTTGAAGGTTAAAAAGCTCCGGCGATATCATATCGATGGGACTGGAGGGGATATCGACATGGAGTTAGTTTCGTGGTATTTATGAAAGTATACGAAGTCTGACATGGGCGAGGGAATTGGGCGCATATTAGAGGTTCTAGTTAGCGACTTCGTGCATATTACTGAAGATCCCGTCGTTTTGCGGCCCCCAAATAAATCATGGATGCTTCATCATCTAGAAGAAGCCAGGATAAACCAATCACCAAAAAAAGAATGTTATAACGTACGAATCCAGTAAAAGAGATAGTTATCGCATATTCATAATTCTTGTATTATTTCAATTTAAGCCTGCCTAGCCAAGTTAGACTATTGGTTCCCCTGGTACAAGTGGAAGTGGTATTGTTTTAGGAACTACTATAGGATCCCAACCCTCTTCGTCTACTAATATGCTATCATTTTTCTCTTTTGCATAACGGTGATATGTTGCGACACCAGCTTCATTCCCCGTGGCGCTGATGTGAGAAAGCCATACCTCTCCATTCATAGTATCTAAACCTTTAGTACCCTCCACAATTGTGCGGTTCCAATGGTAACTCGAGGTAACGTTTTGCCTTGTTTCCAGACTCTCAGAACCAACGGACGTTCCCGTTAAGAAAGACAGTATAGAAATACCATCTAGTAGTTTACTTCGGTCGGCCATGCAAAATACAGACCCGGGATTCGAAGTCGCTCCGGAAGAGGCCACGTCGTATGCGCTGAAAAGATTAAAGGGGTACGTGTAGTGCGAGATAATATTAGAAGTCGAGTCCGAAAAACTCCCTGATGCAACCATGGCAAGCGACTGGTTGAACGCCAAGTCCGTCATGTTCTGGATATTGGAAAACGAAAGGCTCTGTGTCCAGGCTACCTCACGGGTGATGTTCCCCTTTTCGATGATTGAAGACACCGTTATATTCCGACTTGCTATTAAGGAGAAGTAAAGTGAGGTATTGGTCACGGTACCGTTATCGGAAATAGCAGTGCCAACAACGGGGTGGAATTCAAAGGATGGCGTTGTTATGTTGCTCTCGAAGTTCTGCATGACTGTCTGCTCTACCGTATCGTCGAGCCAGGTGAATACAGATCCCGAAACCCACCAGTTCTCGCCTACGGGCCCAATGCCGTCTTCTGCGGAAGTATCGAAACCCACAACGCGTACTTGGAAGGCATGCGGTTGGCCGTCGGTTATCAGCCCTAGCCAAGGGGAGATATCAATCTCGAATGACGGTAGCTCGAAGGCGTCGATGCCAACGATAGGCCTCCACGCCCCCGGGTCTACCCCGCCGGTGAAAAGGATCGGGAACGGCCAGGACACACCCGCAAGTTGACCGTCTATAAGTACCTGGACTTCGCGGAACGGACTATAGCCATATAACCACCCCTCGTTACCCGGGAACGTATTCACGTACTCTGACGGTACATTGGTGAACCAGAATTCCTCTGCGCCATTCCCGGAAGCCGTAACCGAAACGATGGCATTCTTGGCGTTTCTTGGAATAGTCAAGTCAACCGAGCCACTGTCGCTTGGGAGTGAAAAGAGCGAAGTAGTGTTGTTCGACGAGGACCGAGTCGAAATGGGGTAGACGTGCTGTGCTGGGTGGAACCCTGCTGCGTACTTATCGTCGTAGTATAGCGCTTCTAAAGTGACGTTGAAAAAGCCCGTGTACCTGTCTCCGTCGATTAGGTTGCCAAGATCGAGGATTATCTTCTGACTCTGGGTGAGGAGCGGATGCCATATGGTCATATCCTTTTGGAACGACCAATGGATGCCTGACTGGGTCGGCATGGCAGTCGAAGTCCTCCAGATTTCGATATCGCCTAGCCATAGCGTGGCAAGCCTATCATATTGGCGTCCGCTCGAAACAACACTCATATTGAAAATGGCGGTTGTGAAGTTGCAGCCGCCAGGCGGTAAGTAAGCCCCTACATAAGGGGCTTCGTAACTGTTACCGAAATCATGTTCAAATAAGAATTGGCGACATGCTGGTTTATCGAAAGTTGATCTGGGAGGCGGTGCGGCCTGGAAAACTTCAAGCACACTTTGGCAGAAGCCACCCCATGCGAACAAGACGGCGATGCAGGCGAATCTCATATCTGTCGGTACCTATTCAATCTGTCTTATATGCTAAACCCAGAGGTGCAAAACAAGATTTAAACCGAGCCGCGAACATCTTGCTGATATAGAGAGACTGAGCATGATGATAAGATGCTTAGTGAATAGCTCCAAAGAGGAATGTAGCATTGGGTGCGGAGCAACACCGGGTATCTCGTAAATACATATAAATTATACTGTAGCCGCGTAACGCTGCAGCATACAGTTACATAAGTCTATAGACATAATGATGATAGATGTGAACACCAAGCCTTTGACAAGAGGCCAATATAAAAGCTTGAGTTTCCCTTTTATTTAAATTATTATTAATTTCAAACAGGGAGCTCGCTTTGTGGAATTGAATCGGATTCATACGCTTTGCGCGGAGCTTCGTTGTTCGGAACCTCGCGAGGTGGCATCGGCGTGTCTGGAACTTCATATCTCGGCGGCGCATATGGTCTCGCAAATTCGCTAGGTTGTGCGTAGGTTGATGAGCTTGATATAGCGTGTGGCGGGGGTATCCCGGGAACCGGGTTTCTGTTATGTCCTGACTCTGCGTTGAGCCGGGCCATTCTCTGCTGGCGTCTCTTGCTATTTCGATTGTACATCCAGAGGAGCAGGATTATGCCAACTATAACAGCCAAAGCTATGAAGACGATGCCGACTATCCATCCAGTTGTGATTGCTGTGACTGTTTTGCCAATGGCATTTGAATTACTTTGAAAGCTTTGAACATTTGAGGTGCTTTGTAATGAACTTGAGTCTACTATTAAAGGAGTGCTTGGCGACATGATGTATAAGTCAAGATTTGGCGATGATTTTCCGAATTCTTGGAGAAGGAACGTAAAATCAAAGCCAAGTAAGAGAAAGGCAGATAGAATAGCTCTTAATGATTTTATGTTCTTGCTGTCTTGTTGTGGTTGGATGCTGCGCCTCCTTAGCAGGATATTGGATAGTGATGATCTTATATACAAACAGCTCGCCTGGATGCGCTGTCGCTATGTATTGATAGGAATAGAAAGGGTTTAAACGGATCAAGATCCTTGATAGATCCGGCGCATGAGCCCTGTTTAAAGCTATACACTCTCTCAGCCGCTCGATGAAGAAAATATCATTACCAACAGACGTCGCCAACCAACATCCGTGCCACTTACACGCAGCGAGTTCGATGAGTTGGTTAATAGCTTGACCTGACCTGACCTGGGTAGATAGCTTTTGCGGGATATTTACACAGTTCAAATAAATAAGTCAAGGTTATCCGGATCTACTTTGGGGTTTATTTAAGGAATATCATTGATAAATTAAAGGGAAATTCTTAAGCGATATTTGTTTGTATTCGGAATGGTGTTTTTAAATATTATAATATGCTGTTGGTGTTTTGAATAAAATATTGTGGGGCTGGATGGGTATATACCTAGGTACCTATAGGTATATTTGGTTGCTCCGAATTTGACCAATTGGATCTTAAGGAATTATATTATCTGAAACTCTGCCGCTATCAATAACATGGTTCTTTAGGCCAGTCTTACCATCCGGCCAGGTAAGCCTTAGGTATTCTTTAATATATGTAGTTGACCTAACTTGCATAAGGTCAACTCACACGCAGCTAAAGAGCTTGACAGCCCTAACGACCGCCAAGTCAAGATAAGATCATGCTATGACATACAAAACGCCTTGCTTAGCCGCACCGCAACCGTTTAGTGTACACAGCCTGAGTGTACATACATACAGCAGAGGGAAGCTAGCAAGCTTGGTATAATCTATGACTTCATTCTAGAGTATAGATGCTCATACGCATCGCCTTCCCCTCGTAATTGCAATATATCCCCTCCTTTCAGATTCCACCTCATCCTATTACATAGGTAGGTATGTATCTGTAACCTACGCAATACAATGTTCAAGTGTCGCATAGCAGATATGTATCGAGTATGCATGTTGCCCGACCAAATAGGTATGCAGGCTGCCTGCACCGCCATACACCCCCTCCAAATGTTATGGAATTTATCTGTGCTATATGATATTGAAATCTAGCAGCCGTGTTTCTTAAACACATTAGTTATAAATCTAATGTATGTATAACTATAGTAGGACTAGTACTCCTTAAAGATCCATTACATTATATCCTTATATCCCCTGATTTAGTGTTATCCAACCCGGTTTTTTGCTGCCCATCCCTATAACTATGAGTAGCTATAGCGATGATGCTAGCAGGTCTAGCTCGTCCTCAGATGGCGCATTCCGTGATAGTTTCGGTAACCGAGCCGATCGAATCACTCTACAAGTCGGCGAACGTCGATTCACCACACTTCGCGAAACCCTTATCGAAAGCGAGTATTTTGCAGCGCGCCTCTCTGGGAGGTGGAATGATGCTGATGAAGACGGCTCCTACTTCGTCGATGCTAATCCGGTCCTCTTCGAGCACATCCTTAGTTATCTCCGAAGCGGGAATTTCCCCGTCTTCTTTGATAGCAACACGCTTACCTTCGACCACGCCAAGTACTTATCCCTGCTAGGCGATGCTCGATACTTTGGCATTCGCAAACTAATCGAATGGATCGAAAGGAAGAAATATCTAGGCGTTGTTGAAATCACGAGATCGGTGATCGTTGATGATGATGTTAATAGTGTATCGATGCATTCCCATATGAGCGGGGTGCCGGGGGATAGCAAAGTCGATCTCACAACTTCATGGGGCTTTAATAAGATATATGTTTGTCCAAGAAACCTCCACTTTCACCCTACTTCGTCGACATGTGGGTGCGACTTGGCTAAAAGACGAGAAGAAGGCGATAAATTTAGAGATGAATTAGTCTTGAGGGCTGTTGTCACTATCACTACTGCAACGTTCAATCCGAACTGTTGCCTTGGTCATGGGGGGATTGATTGATGTCAGATTGGGGCTATTATACATACGGGAATATTGTTAACGCTGTATACAAGGCTGTTATGATCAAACTACCTTATATTCTTCCAAGTCCATTCTCTTTCCCTTATGGCGATGCAAAATATGTACCGTATGACACTCAGGACACTGTACATATAGTTAACGCAAACGCAGCGCGACCGGCTGGCCCGTGCATGGCGCCCTTGTAGGTATTGATCTTATGCTTGATACTTCAGCATCTAGCCTCCCGAAACTTCCACAGCGTCACTCAAGATCTTACCATTCAACCTCTTACTTCTGCTGATTGGAATATTACCAGCACTCGCCTACATTAACTCACCAATTTATGATGGCTAGATCAGAAGAAGCGGAAGCTTTCTTTCACGTCGTGTACACCGCCGTGCAGCAGATTCCCTACGGAAAAGTCACAACTTACGGACACATTGCGAAGCTAATTGGAACTCGTACGATATGCCTAGTAATTTCAAGTATACTGATAGTTTAATAACCGAGTTTATAGCCGAACGACCACGCCAAGTCGGTATCTGCCTCAAGCATCTTCCACAAGATGCAGACTCACGTTTTAACCATGACAACGTCCCATGGCAGAGGGTTATCAATGCCAAGGGCATGATCTCGCCTAGGTGTGCTATCTCATTCTGAAAGACGGCACACATGTTAACAGCCGTACAGGTCACAACCCTCAGGGGCACGAAATCAGGCAGCTGCTCTACGAACCGAGGGCGTTACTGTAACTACTAGCGCGCTGGGCGAACTTATGGTGGACTTCTCCGAATGTGGATGGTTCCCAAACGAATTACCTTCGGAAGCGGACGACGAATGATTTAGCTGTTTGTCTTATTCTTCAATGAAGTTAGGATCACGACAAAATTCGTATCCAAGGTACCAGTAGCCAGTTAGTACTCTATAGTAGTGAGGTGTACTACGGCACTGCTCCCTGATCTTTGAGAAGCGTATCTAGATGAGGTGCTAAATTAGCAGGAATTCCCTGTCCAAATATAAAATGTAGGGGTTAAGTTGACAGATATCAGATAGCGGTTGGACATAAGTGATTCCACATTTAATTCAGAACAGGTCTGTGAATTATGTGCTTTCATCATATAAGGAAAATGTTAAGGGGTTGGATATAAACGTACCATGATCATAGAAACCTAGATGGGTTCTAAAGGAGATTTGTTAAACTAGTAGACTACGAGTCTCCAAGCTTACGCTTTTTTGAGGCAGGGCCGAAGAACGAGTCCATAGTCCTCTGACGTGAGTCAAATCTGGTGCTACCAATGCCACCTCTCGTCTTTTTCAGACCCTCGAGGTGGTCAACATTGTTGATAAATTCAACGGTTAGGCGTATCGTCCGTCCATACAGGTTCGAATCGTCTGCTGGAGCCACTGAGCTGACGGAAGACACGGCATCATTCGGGCAATCCGGGTTCGATACAATATTGGCCATTTCAAGCCTAGCCTGAAGTACACCGGTGTTACTCCATGCCGCAGACTCCGACCGGCTGTCACGGTTTCCGTTGCGCGTTGCAGAATCGTCTGGGTTAGGAAAGCGTTTAAGCAATCCATTCAACAGAACATTGAGGATAATGCCATGTGCTACTATAGCAACTGTGATCTTGTCGGACACATGTGTATCAACGATTGGGGTTAAGTGGGAATCTAGAAATCGATCAATTCTGATTCTCATGGACTCAGGAGTTTCCGAGTCCGCTTGAATCAGACTATTGAGACTTCTATATTTCTTGCCCTCAGATGACCCATAGTCCTTCTCTCGTAACTCGGACAGCTGTGTGACTTCCAGAGGAGCACAAGTGTCTGATGCATTGCCGTTTAAAGGGTCTCGGGCGTCAGCAATAGCTTTGGATATAGCGCCGGCAGTCTCATAGGCTCTTCGAAGATTGGAAGTGAATATGTACTTGATTGGGGCAGTAGTTTCGCAACACTTCGCGAGGCGAGCACCCAATCTCTTTATTTGCAAAACACCATGATTTGTTAAGGGTGAATCACGGGAGCCTGCGCTTCGAAAAGGTCAGCTTTCGACAGCTAGGTGCTAGAGCAGGTGTTGCTTACTAGAGACCAGCTACATTGTCCACAGACTCGCCATGCCTGATTAGCAAGATGCGCATTGCGGCACATCATCTTCTACAGGTTTGCGAGTGAAAAGATTGCTAGATTTGTTGTTAGGAAATAACTTGAAAAAATGTGCGAGCTTGGAGCTTTTTAAACCTTAGGTACCTAGGTACACTAGAGCTAAGGTGGAGCAAAGAATTGTCCCGGGATTACTCCGGGCTGTACATATTTCTTTAGGTACATCATATGCCTGGTACATATGCACTTTCTCACTACCAAATCTTCAATGATGGATACTACATTTATCATGCACTAAACATTTCAAACTTAAGACACCTTAATGAATGTATTCTGCGAGTCATGTATGCCCGTTCTTATCTAGAGAAAGACCTGTACCTCCAGAGCAATAGCCATAATCCATCGGATACGTATGAACCCCCCCGGCGTCTACCGTCTTATTACCGGTAGAGTCTCCGTTTAAAATGCATTCTCCTTCTGGCGCTGCTCAAATACCTTCAAAGCTTCCTCTGCCGCTTTTACGCCAGATAGAGCCATGGCACTTCAACCCAATTAGTTTATGCTCCTTTATTATTTTCAAGGGATGATATATCACTTACCCGAAGGTTGGGCCCATACGGTTGGCTCCGTCAACCTCGCTGAGCTCCATACCGCCTACAATCAAACCGGGCACGATTTCTCGAGTGCCCTTGACGATGGCGTCTTCGGCGGTGTTCATGTCCAACCCGCGCATGCCGCCAAGCTTCTCGATAGCTTGCATGCTAACTAGTCGCTTGACGCTGAAAGCACCGAACGGCCCGTCGTGACCAGTGGTGCTGATAATGACAGGCGCGTTGATGGTGCTAGGGTCCATGCAGGACTGGTCGTCATGGTGCATTGAGACCAGGGTCCAATTAGTGACAACACCAGCAATTCGGATATTACCAGACTTGTCACGACGGGTAATGAGATCCTCGACGGCGGTGGCATTGAAAAGCTTGACGTTAGGGAAAGCCAAAACTTTCGACAACAGGGTTGACGTGAAGAGGGCAGCGTGCTTAACCACGACGTAAGCTCCCTCGTCCTCGAATGGCACACCAATGTCGGTCAAGAACTTATCAGCGGGCTTGCGCATAACCATAGCACTGAAAAGCTGGCCTCCAAGCCATGCACCACCACCTACACTAAGCGTCAGCCTCGTTGGGCGATGAAGTACTACTATATAGAATGAACGTACCAGGAGAGACGCTAGCCTCAATAATCGCAATCTTCAGGTCGGGGCGAGCTTTGGCAAGAGTGTAAGCCGTGCTAAGACCGCATGAGCCGGCGCCGATGATGACAATGTCAGATTCAGCGTAAGTATCGAGGTCCTTGAAGTATCGACGGTACATAGCACGAGCGACCTGTGACTCCCTGATGGGTTCGAAAGAGAATTCCTTCCACTTCCCGTCGAGGGCCTGAACAGCTCCGTTGTTGTGTAGGTTGCTATTGCCAACGGGGATGCCTCCCTTGTGAGGAAGAGTGGTAGGCTCTACGACCTCGACAGCAGATGGTGCCATTTTGATTAATGTTTAGGTAAGTTTTCTAACATGTGTTAGTACTCGCTCACGGGGGTTAAAGGAGGAAACATTGAGAGCATGATCCTTTCGCTGGTATTATCCAGATCAAGTTTTCGGCCGTATAATCTCAGAACGAGCTCCGCGTTTTGCCCCGTCCTCCATGCATCTCCGTACCCTTTACGCGGAAACCATGGTTTCCGGATGGGTATGGTTGGATGCACTTATAGACGGGACGCAGAGGCTTGAACACCGGCTCATGGCTCATCTCAGATTCTTTACCTAATGATGAGGGGTTTTTTGTGATCAAGTGCAGTCATTTTAACTCTTGCTGGATAACCCATCTGAGGTCATGTCCTCTGGCGGGGTCGCCATCTTGACGCGTACCGAGTATCGGTCCTAGTCAAGTTAACAATTAGTACACGCCCTTGTCTAAAGAACAATAGGGATTTGGTTTCTACTACGAGGCGTACGGATGATAGTGCAGATAATATCTGTATGAGTTGACTAGAGTCAGGTGAGTGTAGAAAGAAAAAAAAGAGTTCTTCTACCAGAAGATTCTACTCAACATCTTTATACTCATCGTGAAGCGGGGTAGCTCTCGGGTAGTGTCGTCATACAGGTCACCATGTGCAACCAAGAGTCGGCTTTGGGTCTAGATATCTGCAGAGATATTAGCCTCTCTCCATGCATCCCATCGCCGATTCTTGCCGGTCTACTACTATGAGACATATTAACGATTGCTACTGGAGTGGGTCGCCGGGATTCTATGCCACTTAACGATTGGCACTCATATCTCAATAGGGCTGATCAACCAGCACGCCGGCGTAGCCACTTTTCTAACTGTGATGGAAGGAGTGTAGATCATATAGATGTACAAGGATTTGGATATCAATGCTATCTACCTATAGATGAAGCTACTGCCGAACCCTGCTCTTCTGATTGGGCTGATCCCATATCTATCGAAGAGTAGAATGCGAATTTCTTTCGTAGATCATAAAAGGCTAAGCTGGTAGCAAAATAATTCATGGCCTTCTTAACGAAAACACTATTCCCACAGGCGCCAATGAACCCCCTTCTTTTAGCAAACAACTGTGGACCTCCTCGGTTCCACTCAAGCTTTTCTCTTTTAGGCGGATTTGGTAAAGTTTTGAGCTATATTTCTATTTCCATTAGTAAGAGCCAAGGTTCCCCCCACGAAAGTTTATGTCGGCTCACGAGAACTTAACCTAGTATATTAGAGATGGGACGATGGTTGAATGATACGTGGATAGAACATACGAAAACCGATTAAGGAGTCAATGTACCTACCTGTACCGGAAATATCTACCTTTCCTCTTGAATAGCATTCAGCAAAGGTCCGCGTAAGTTTAGTTTTCGATTTCTTAGAAACATCCACGTTTGCAGGTAATACAAGCAACATATACAAACTCTGCCAAGCAATACGGGCAGTGTCACGGTTGTTACAGGAGCCAGATCCTCTGTGTACCATATAAACATAGCCCTGTAGTGTACTGAAAGGATCTGCAGAAAATCATTATTAATAGACTATACTTTTGGGTTCAGCCTCATGATAGGCATTATAGGCATTATAGGTAAGGATGTAATACAATGCTTTTCCTTTTTGGTTTTGTCTATATGTGAACCTCGGGAGACTAAGTATAAACCTGTAAACGAAGAGGACAATAATCTGTGTATATGATTGTTTAAATATCTACCAGGTACATAACTTATAGATATTATATTTTAAAAAGGCAGTCAGGCTTTATCGTGGGTTTCTTGGTACAATACATATGCTCCTTATGATAGGGGGTTTCGCAATTGCCTTGAGCGCTGAGGTATTTCATCTGACCCAATGACCCAGGGGAAAGGATTACAAGGATAAGTGAGCTCATATGTACATAAGGAGAGCTCGGGCCATATTCAAGTTGCTAGAAGCTACAGGGCTGCAGGGATTAGCAGTTTCCCCCCTCTAGTGGGGGTAGTTTCTTGTTGCCATCACGCCGAAGCTTCCTTACACCCTAATGCCTTTTTTTCTGAGCCTCACCTCAAATCTCCAACTTACAAACAGAACAGCAACAGCAATCGCACTCACGACGGCGCGGCATCCCTCCCTCAGCCCTGTCTGAAATGCAGTAATACTATATTTAGGGCGATAGAAGCTCTAGGAAGTAATATCAAGACTGCCAATTTGCCTTGAACTTTTTACTGTTCTCCTTTACCACTATCGGCGAACCCGACAATTAACAATCTCCCAAGGATTATATCACTTCCACAAATTCCACATGATGCGCGCCAATCTCCTGAGGCTTGCCCAAAGTGGCCGCGGCAACCTTTCCATTGCAGCGCGCCGTGCCTCCGTTCTCAATGTCAATCAACGGCTCACAGCGATGCTCTTGCCTCGTGCCGTGTCCCACCAACCCGTCCTGACGCGCCTCTTCTCTACGTCCTCCCCCGTCGCGAACCAGACAGCACCTAAAGTCGATATTGCACCTATTACTCAGGCCGAGTATCATGATTTGGCTGATCAATACCTCGACGCGGTGCTTACTAAGTATGAGGAGCTCCAGGATGAGTACGGAGAGGTTGACGTTGAGTATAGTGTAAGTTACCGTCTAACTATCTATACCTAACCTATATTAACTTATTATACGACGCTGAGAACAATACTGACTACGTGCATCTAGTCTGGCGTTATGACCGTTAAGATCCCCAATGTCGGTATCTATATAATCAACAAGCAGCCTCCTAATAAGCAAATATGGCTGTCATCACCTGTCTCCGGTCCAAAACGATACGATTACGTGCGATCCAGCGAGGGACAGGGTGAAAACCAAGATACTAGCGAGGGAGAATGGGTTTATGCTCGAGATGGCACGACTCTGAGCGACCTCCTATTAAAAGAGACAGGCATTGTAGTCGAATTGGGATCCGAGTAAATGGTTTAATATATTGACGACTAACTAAGCTCACATCTCTCACTTTTGGGGGGTAATTTGAAGACGATATGGTGTTTATTAGAGGGATGACGGGCAATGATTTGACAGAGGAGTTCGAGCTAGGGTTGTACCATACCACGCTTTTGCATCACGCGGCGGAGTTCAGGCTTCATTGTGCTATACCACTCATCGCATTATAGTTAACGAGAAAGAAAAAATAATTATTGCTATTATACCACACACAATCCACTTCTCATCTCCCTTTTTCGCCATGCGTTACTACCGTCTAACCACCTAGGTAGGTAGGTACCTAGGTTGGTCAAGTAGCTGACTAGTTGCAGCAGAAAAGAGGGCATAGTAACTTCTTAGGGTGCCTATTGGCAACATGGTCCCTTGTGTTAATCGCATATCCCTTGTCCCATTTCTTACTAAAAATCCAACCCGACGAGCCCTCGCCACAGTAAACCCGTAGTCTCTCGTAGAACTCCCACATCTCGGTAGCCGGAGCGCTATCCAAGTACTGGGTTTTGCAGTTGCACAAGTAAGTACCGGCATGCGCTTGCAATTCTATGTGGATGCTTTTGCCCCAGACTCGACCACCTGCTTCGCTCCAGTTGATCATGCGCTGGACTGCTTCCTTCATATCGCTTGCTCTCATCTTCGAGCGTGTGCAACCCCAGTGGGACACGGGTATAATGAAGCCGGGATCTGTCTTGGAGGCGGTAGTAGGATCGAATTCGAACGCCCCTGGATGATAGGTGGAGTTTTCCCCGGTAGATATTGTGGACATGTCCTCCCTAGGTATGCCAAGGGCGCGAGAAGTGCCGAGAATTGTGGTTATATGCAAGAAGATAGTCGAGCCCTTCATGATGACTTATTTGATGTTTAGATGTCGCTCGGGAGGTATATGTGCTATTAAAGCTTGGTTATTGATGTGCTTTCGGTGTTTTGACAAGTAGCGTATATAAAGGGGTAAGAAGGTCGAGACATTTCCAGGGTTATGTGATTATATATATACTCGAGTTCCTACTGAGATAAATGTCAAAGCTATCAAGATGAGACACGCTCGGTCATATAGAACCAAGCTTAAAGGTAACTATGGTATATTAAGAGATGACTTTATATACGCTCGGCCGATTATACAATGTAAAGTCTCTACCTTGAAGAAGACATAACTAGGTTAGTATGTACCTAAGGTATGTTTATTTTGCAACTTTAAAAACATTAGACTCAATGAAGGATAGGTTACCTTAGGCTTCAACCATGATAGTCTAATAGAGAAGTAGCTATGTATTTTACGCCGAATATCGTAACTTCATCCCGCTCTAGTTGTTTGACAATTGCCACAAGCAAGCAAAAACGCCGTCAAGAAGCAGGGTTATAGTTTTATAGGGGATTTGTTCAGGAGTCATCAACTAACCTTTAAGATTCCTCAGTTACACCCGAGACTTGGTCACGTAATCCTAGAGCTCCCATGTATATTCAATATAAACTGTTGATAAGCATTTAACTAGTTAACTGATGTAGTAAAGCTATCGAAGATACCACTATTATTGGTACCAATGATAAGTGTAGGAATATCGAACTTATAGATCACGTAATCATCTTCTACAGGCAACCGTTTAGTACGGCTTACTTACTTGGGCACATATAGACGCGACTATAAGGTCGGGTGGTCGCAAAGGCACGACAGACCGAGACCCAGTGCGACCCGCAGCAAACGGATCGTCCACACGACCCTCGCGTCTTTCTTCGCCTTATCGGTGTTTTATACTACCCAACCTAACCATACATCCTTCCTCGTGTTAAACAGTTTCGGACTAATTCGGTGTACAAGAAATGGCGAGATTGCCTAGCCAATATAAGGAGAAAGATAAAGTCGACTATTTACATGTAGGATCGTCCTTTTCTGTAGAACTATCACAAGGGAACTTTCTGTAACGTCTGGTTTAACAATAGGTGATTTGATAAATCTATAATTAAGCATCTTAGTTCACGCCTTTCACCATGGAACAAAAACATCCGGTCATTTACTTCGGCACGTCGACATTCGGCTCGTCCCATGTACCCGCGCTACAGGACGAGGCACATGTATCCAAGTTCCTCGATGCCTTACAAGATGGTGGCATAACCCAGATTGATACAGCCGCTAGATATCCACCGGATAACCATGGTGCCTCGGAACGAATGCTTGGGCAAGTGGAAGCTTACTCGAAAGGATTTACGATCAACACCAAGGTGCTATTTGCCGGACAGAATAGCGCTGGGAGCCTTAGCAAAGAAGCGGTACGAAAGAGTGTCGAAAACAGCTTAAAGAGCTTAGGCGCTGCGAAGATCAGAATCCTTTACGCTCATACCGCGGACCCGGCCACCCCCCTAGCGGAACAGGCAGCAGCGCTGAATGAGCAATACCAGAAAGGGTTCTGTGAAAAGGTAAATGAGGCACTTAATAATATTTTTTCTGATTTACTGACTGGATCGTCTAGATCGGAATCTCCAACTTCCCACTCGATACGCTGAAATCTTTCGTGGAGATATGCGAGAAGGAGGGCTACGTCAAACCATCGGTGTATCAGGGGCAATACAACCTGATATGCCGCGGGCCTGAGAAGGAGCTGATACCGTTCCTCCGAAAGCATAATATGACCTTCAATGCTTACTCGCCTCTCGGCGGCGGTTTCCTCACCGGAAAGCTAACGTTAGGGACCGCCGAGGGGACGCGTCTTCGAAGCGCTTACGGAGCGCATTTTGCTCGCTGGTACGACAGACCTGAGTTTCACGATGCCGTTAGGAAACTTCTAGAGGCGATCGAACCCCTTGGGATAAAGCCGTCGGAAGCCGCTCTACGGTGGCTGGCTTACCATTCTGTCCTTGGGGAGAAAGATGGGATTATCCTGGGCGCTACTAAGGTGGAGCAGCTAAAGCAGAACATAGAAGACGTCAGTAAAGGTCCTCTACCTCGCGAGATTGTGGAAGTCATCGATGCTATTGGGGAAACTATCGATGCACTAGGCGGGGGCGATTTCGAAGTGAGACCTACAGAACTACCCCCAAGGTAAACTATCTCCCGACAGTTTTATTACTTGAAGTCATCTCATAGTATCTGAGGTAAACGGAAAATATGTATGACAGTTCAGAATATATATTCTACTGAATAAGAGAAATAAAAATAGTCGTACAGCGTTAATTGATTCTTGAACATCCTTCACTCTTCACTAATCGCCGTTGGGTGCGGTGACAGAGCCCTCCTTTGGTAACACTACCCAAACAATACATCGGTACCGACAATCCTCGTAGTCTTTCTGGAGTATATCTTCAGTCTGTCCATTTCTACCATAGACTGTGCTTCGGCAGGCTCCACTGGAAAGTCCCAGGATTCGTAGTCTTGCCACATTTGTTTCGTACGGGGAGATTCTGGATCTCCATACGGCTGGCTAGAAGAGATGTAAGTTAGAGCTAACCGCGTCTTGGCTTAAAGGGGGTTGGGTTCTTAATTACTTCTTGACATTGAAAGTCTTGTCGTCTCCTACAGCAATGATCAAAGTGGGCCGTGCAATATCAGCGATAATCTGCCTGATGGGCGCAGAGGCGAAGGCCGTAAATACTATGGTTTCGTCATCGACTTCTGCGAAGCCTCCGGCGCCGAATTGCCCTACCACTTCGAACCCAAGCTCCCTCAAAGTCTCCTTCGTTTCTTCAGCATAATCAGGGTCTTGGGTCAGTATGCGTACCCCGTCCCCTGTGCTGGAAATGATCTCGGTTGCTATGGTCAAGACAGCCGAATATTGCGCTATTCTGCTTTCCATAACAGTGGCTTCTACCTGCTGCCAGTTTGGACCACGCTGCTCCCTCCACCACTCAGGCGCTCTGAGGCTTATGTCGCCAAGACCAAAGCAGATGATCTTGGTTACTTTGTGCCCATGTAGGAGCTTTCGAATCAACAACTGGAAAGAGTTGTGCGTCGTGCTTATACACCATTCATGCATCTTTTTCACAAGAAAACTTCTCGAGTTCTCCATTAGTCCCCTACTATCTCTCGCTGACCGGTTTTCCCAATCGACAAGATATGAGCAACGGTACGTTTCGGGAGGACCATCGGGTTTGGCATTTACGAGTCTCCAGTACTCCTGGAATTTGACAGTGGGAAGCCTACGAAACCATGGCCACCTGTTAGTTACGTTTTTCTTTTTGAATCCGATGCTCAAGTTCACTGTTGAATGATGCATGGTATCTCACCAAATCGGCCGCTGTACTTTGTACATAGGATTTTTTATGTAGATTATACTGCGGTCAACGCAGCGGATAGTAAACTTCTCGATGGTGCGAAATTGTGATAGTTGTCGCTCGATATCTATAAGGTCGCTTTTCCGCCAGAGCTTAACCCCTAAACAGTATAAGTCTTCCATGTACTGACTACTTGTTTTCCATGCTGAGCAATCGTGCTCGAGCAGGGGAGTTGTTGGTTGCTCCATGTTCTCGTGTATATCTTCCGACATATTGGATTGACTATTGCTTTGGGATATTTCTATGGCTTGAACCTGATAGGTTAGGTACCTAGGTATAAGGTGAATAATTGCAGTTTTGGGCAACACTCTTTGGCTTCATCTCTTGGAGGTTGAACAGCTATACACATATAAGTAGCTCTCTTTGTGTTATTGTCTCATCTTGCTATAGACATGATGCATCACAGATACTCAGGTTATCATATATCTTAAAAGCCACGTCAGCATAGGTGATTGACATATTATAGTGTCTAGCTATTTATTCGCCGGCTCATATCAAAAATTGACTGAAACTAATCAATCCGCATGCGTATCAGGTGTGTTCTATATATTTGATCTAGGATATCGTAGGTGAAAAGAGTTAAGGTATCAGCCGTGTATATCAATACCCCATGTATTGTCTCTCTTTAAAGGATGTAGTGAAATAAAATAACGGCAATGGCATATCACATTGATACAATTAGATGAAGGCTGGTTCAGAAGAAGCTATAATGTTATTTTAAAGCCGATATAAAATATAAGCCCTTTACATAGTCGCTATAAATTCATCTGACTCGAATCCGGCGTTCCTGGGTGTGGATCCCTTATATCTTGTAAGGATGAGGCTTAATTGGTACTATGTAACTGCACAGGTAATACCCGCTCTTACTCGCGCTCTATGCAGTGGCTTTGCAGCATGTGAGGTGTATCATCTTACTGCATGTAATATGTAGGTTCATATTAACGTATGAGGCTCGGAGTCAGGTGTTTCTGGGGCTTTGCCATGTTGGTATGTAACAATGCGAGTTTAGGGAGCAGCAAAGAAGACAATCTTATACGAAGATACACTTTGGGATTCCGCAACCGCTAATCAGGTACACGTATAGACAATTCCTGCACTGCCCACCAGGTATCATACAGGTTGTTTCTGTTCTTATCTTGGTGGGCTCATTGCCGAACACTAGCTTTACTGTCTTCTAGAAGCACTGTTATAATGGGCCTGCCATTCAACAAGCTGACGCTCCATAGACATTTTTGACTTTTTACTTGGTTCCCCAGTAACGAAGAACTTTTCTATTATATCCATCTCCCTAGTAGACGCATTAACTCTATCTTGTCTATCCGAGACTCGATCCGAAGGTGGGCAAGATGAGCTTATAGTGTTAGTGGAAGAATCATTGTTGGAGTTGGCTATGGATGAGGTATCACCTTGACTTATATGAGTAGCTGGAAGTACGACTAGACATGGCGATGGGGGTATGTGACGATGTGCGCGAAGATGGTAGTGGGCCTATCTGTGATGTGTCACAGATGTATATAGGTATAATATATAATATATGGATGGAATGTGTTGTCCACGTATATGCGTACTTAATGTACACGCGTGTGTAGAAGCACAACTGGGAGCTCTTGAAGTACGAATGAGCTGTTCCGAAGTAAGCAGACGTTAGTGCTGATGCTGTCCGAATGAACGTTTAAATCCGTCTTCTACACCGTCGCAAGCGTGAGTTTTGGCCCATCTTATATTCATAAACATAATCACGGTCATGATCGAACGCGCGTTAAGCACGGGAGGATAGGGGAGGATAGGGTGGATGTCGTGTCAATAGGGAGAAGTAGAAAAAGCTTTAAGAGCCAAAAGCTTATATGTTAAAGGATTCTATGATCGTAATACGATAGAGCTCTGATCAAATGAAAATTGGTGAAGCTACGGTCAATCCTAGTATGCGGGTAATCGGATGCGGAGTGGCAATTTTGGATGAGACATGGCGGGAGAGAGGCGCCGGAAGTTGAAAAATTCGTGTTGTAAGTCAACTGTGTCCTATAGCTGTTGACGAATAGAAGCGGCAAGTATAGCCGGGTCGAAATAAGAGATGGTGTTGGTAGTTGCGGTATTGAAAAGCGCCGATACGGAACGTGTTGTTGACAGGTACCTAGGTAACCAAAGGTAACCGGCATAGGACCTTCCACCCTTTAAGGCGAAACAGGTATATGTACCTAACCTAGGTACCTACCTAAGGACCCTTGTCTTCGCCGAACCAAGATGGGCGGGTTGCCAAGCAAGGCTATGGGGAGAAACGGAAGCTTGTTTCTTTCTTTCTTTTTCGACCTCGAGTAGTGCCAGTTGGCATCTATGTATTATGGGCTTGTGGGATTTGACCGTTTCGACCGTTTCGACCATGTATAGCGGAGCGCGAACCTTAACGCCATGGGTTTTTGTCTCGTGTAAGCTCAAGTCGGCCTTGTCAGATTTGCGAACTTTGGGTGTCAATGAATAGGGTGGGCCATGGTCTGTAACGGGTCTGTAATGCACATGGTCTTGAACAACACTCTGCTGTGAAAAAAAGTGATCAGTCAAGAATGAGAGAAAGTTGCATTTTTTTTACTACCATGCTGCTTGACCCTGGTACTAGGAGCGCGGCCCATGTAATTCATATAACAGCGGATTACATGTGATGGAGGGAGAAAATCTGGAGGAAAGAAGTTTGGCTTTATTGCTCTTTCTACACTTCCAGGTACAATACCTTAGGTAACCGCAACCCCCTCACCAGCGCTAAGCACCGTTGCGAAGCACAGCCCCCAATGGTCGGATAGCAGCGGGTGTTAGTAACGGGTGTTCCCTTGATTCTTCAGTAACAGCCACAATTCACAGGTACCCAGTAATCATAGCCACAAGCTGCGACCGTTCGGCGGCCCGCTGCGGTGAGTTCGTTTGCTCTCTCCCCTCTTACACCTGGACTTTTGGGGGTTTGAGTAAGAAGACACTTACAAGCGACATCACAAGATATCGTAACAGGGTACCAATTAAACAATTCTTTACCTACCTAGGTAGGTAAATAATACTAGCAGTTATTATTTTTCATGTCTTATATCACTCTTATTATTATGATAAATATTAGCTCTTTCCAAATAGAGTCTTTTTTTAAAACTAATATCTTCTTCATACTGGATGTAGGTAAACCAAGCCTTACTCTCTGTCACGATAGGTTAAGGTGGTAGAACACAAGAACATACAGGGGTACTTCCAGTGCTAACAGACCTTTTCGACCTTTTCGATTCGGGAATCGCCCAGCCTACCTCATAAACCCTTGCCCCCCTGCCCCTCTCCCTCCCGCCTGAGGGACAGCCTAACTAACTGCCTTGTAGGCCATCACGAAAGAAGCTCGCCAATTGGTTTAGCAGCCGGCATCCCCATAGTGTTATCACCAACGGGATCGTACAGGCATGTAGCAGCCGCTACAGGTACTAAATATGCACTTCCGATCTAACCTCATCCTCATCCACCAACTCATGCACCAAGTTGACAGTCCCTATAAAAGGCTCCACTAGTCCCCTTGAGCCGCGAGCCTCGTTCGCGATGGATTGGATCTCTCTTATTAACACTCTTCTCCTTTTCGAGAAGTGTTTCTTTTTTAAATATTTCTTAGTTTGACTTCTCAGAGGGTCTTTACCCTTAATTATTCCTAAAAGTTCTTAACAAATAGATGTTGTGTTGTCTTAGTCGCTACAATGAATTCAGCTTCCCCTACTACTAGCACATCTACAAATAGAGGTGGTCGTCCTAAGGATTGGACCGAACCCCGAGCCCGAAGACTCGTGCGACTATATATCTATACGAGATTACCATTTGAGCATATATTAAAACTTCTAGAAGATGGCGTTTGGAAACCTGGGTATGTTTTCCTTGTCCGCCATTCTACACTAGATCACATTGCTTACTTTACTATATTATAGCAAGGTATGTAAGAAGAACACCCTACCTCGGATGCGATGTCTCTTTCGCAGCGGTCACTTAATGTACCACTCTACCATCTTCCTTTCCTTCCAAGACACCTTAGTTCACGAGTTACTAGACAACACTGAAATTAACTAAGCCTCGACTATTCGTCCACGATGCTAACAAGCCCATCCAGGATGCTGCCAATAAAGTCAAGAACTCACTCCTCGGAAATGACCCTCGGTGGATAAGACCTAAGGATGAGGATGACGAGAGAAGACGTATCACAGGTCTCAAGAACAGCCGACGCGGGGCGAAGTTCTGCCAGAGGGTATCATCATCGCATCTTACCAATGAACACCTAAACATATATGGCTCTGGTTGGCATGACGATGACAGCTTAACTCTTGCTCAGTCGAAACAGCCCTCCTTTGAGAATATTAAACAAGAGCCAAGTCACTACGGCTCCGAAGTTGGAGTTGATCATTTCTCTTGGACTCCTAGTGGCCTAAACATATCTCGCCGGAATACCAGTCTAACTAATTCTACCGAAACTAGTATAAGCAGTAGCTTTCGGGAGAAGCTTCCTAATGTGTCTCCAGACCAAGCGAAGGGTGCTTGGCGTGTCTTAAAACGGTTTACCTTCCCCAAGGATCTTGATATTCACCGAGGAACTTCTTCTTCCCCCGTGTTCCCTCATGGGCCGCCGATTTTCTCTCCCCATGATGAACAAGCTACCCGTGGTTCGTCTAGCGCGAAATACGCCCTTCCTGGTGACTTCCTAAATGCAGATTTATTTAATAGAGAAAGCATATGCGGTGTTGGATCTCCATCTCACGAGACCGAGACCTGCTGGTGCCGGATCATCAACGAGTTGGGATCGCCATATGAGATATGGCCAATCACTAATGGCAATCATACTATCCAAGATGTCTCTTCTAATCAAATTAGAGATGCCTTTGGCAATACAATATTCCATTGGCTGGCTAGTGCAACCGAAGACCGAAATTCTTTCCTCAATATCGTCACTCAAGCGCTACGTCACAACCCACTGATTAATGCCACAAACACAGCTGAGCAGACATTTCTTCATCTTCTACATCCCTCTTGGTTCGAAGATGAAGTACTATTGGAGCAGCTTCTCAGCATGCTTAAAGACGCCAATTTTAACATTTTGGCAACTGATGTTTACGGTCGCAGCTTTTTCCACTTGCTGCAAAATAGGAGGGGGGGTCTGATTCGTGTACCGTCTCACTTATTCGATTGGGAACTACTTAGGCGACGGGATGCATTTGGAGTTAGGCCAATGGAATCCCAGGCAAGACAATCAGAGCCTCCTATTGTACAAAACATGACCCGCGCCAATCCCTTGAACGCCAGAAGTTCAAGCAACATGGACTCTCTACCAACATTTCTCGAAATACCTTCTGAACATGGAGTTGATGCTCGAATTCGATCTCAAGCTGAGCTTCTACGAATAGTCGTAGATGCTATTAAGGTCGATGTTGTTAACTCAACCAGCCAGAACTCCTTGACAGAAGATCTGCACGGACGTAATGCGCTCCATGCTCTTGCAGAAGTCGAGCTTGACATTGAGCGGGTCCAACATCCCACCGATGATCACCAACGACATAAGAAAAGAAAATACAAGGAGGAGGAGGGCGAGCCAAGGCCAGAAAGTAACCACAATAGCAAGCGATTGGAGTATCTCGAAGGGATTCTTTCTACTAGTGTTGATGTCAACCATTACGACAATCGGGGACAAACGCCATTGATGGCATTTATCGCGCTGAGGCCGGAAGACTCCAGATCGGATAAAGAAGATATGGAGAGATCAATCCAGAAACTTGTTGAAGCGGGTGCAAATCTTGAGAAGCGCAATCGCGAGGGTAAGACTGCCCTTCACGTCGCTGCCTGCTCCGGGAAAAAGGTTGCCTTAAAGGAGCTTCTTCAACTGGGAGCCAATCCTTATGTTCGTGACGCATGTGGTTTAAGTGTTCTCGCCGCGATCGACGAACTATGGGTCCATACCGAAAGAGACGGCATTCTTACAGCACGACTAGAAGCATGCCGAGGTGTTTTTACGAGCATTGTTCAGCCGGATGCCCAGGAGCCCAGTGTTGTGCAGGAATGGGGGGTTAGAAGACCAGTAGCTAAACCGTGTCAGTAACCAGCTGGCGATTGCTAGCCTTAGCAATGAGATGTTACTGAGAAAGTGCGAGAGACGATGTATGATCAGTTACAGCACCGCGTCGATTCTATTTCTGCAAAGGAGTTTTTCAGGTCTCGATACCCTTGTATATGTTAACGGAGTTTGGTGGCCGGAGGTACAGTTTGCCTTTGATAGGCTGAAATAGAACGGGGAATCGGATTAGGTACATAACATAGAATAAAGGAAAAAAATTGCTCTGCTGTGTACCCCAGGGGGGGGAGGGGAAACTTTGATCATGTCATGTCTGCGCCGCTGGGCTGTGGCTACTCCCGTCTAAATTCATGTAAGATGAATATTTTATGCGCTCGTCACTCTTACATGGTATCTGCAGGTAGGCTTAAAATTGTGTACGTAAGACCATAGGTTATTCTCTTGCCGTAGAGAAAAAGCACGCATATGTAGTGCGACGATAGTCTCATGTAGAGCCACATAACTTAGTAGGTACCTAAGGTAAAAGTAGATCCATGTAGCCAGATGACGAGACTTGATGTAAAATACTCCGATCTGCTAGATGATAGGTACCCGCGTACTTGGGCTCCCTCCTAATTTCCATTTTAGGCATGTGGGACACCCAAGGCGGCGTCAGCTATTGGCCTCTCTTTACCTAGCCCGAGGTTTAAGTTCCTATCCACCATGCATTCTAAACCCAACGGGGCACTGTACGTGATAAATACACCGCGAGTTACATCCAGGATGAAATTAGTTAAATGTTGGGCTAGCTGATGCTATGTCCAAATCCGGATTTGATGAAGGAGTACACATTTTAGAATAGAATCTGGCCTTGTTCGACACAAAGCCGCTAGGTAAGTGCGCGAGTTTTTATCTCCCCGATGGTTTGTTTACCCAATGTGGGTAATCCGCCATCCTATCGTGAGATTTGCCTAGCATTGCCGCTTGCTTGTCATCACTGGGGGAATAATATTTAGCATCACACAGCAGCGATATACAATCTTATTGGTAACAAGGGATACGATGCAGCTCTAGCAGGTAGGTATCTAGTGACTCTCTGTATCATTCCAAAAGCAGGTAGCAGTAAGTAACACAGGTGAACACAATTAATACCTAATATACCTAAGATAAGAGACATAATTAATTCTACGCTAAACCACCCCGACGCCAGACATCATATAACAGACAGCCCCTGGTAGAACCGCCAATGAGTCATGACGAGCATGTATATAATCTTGTCGTAAACAGTATCCTTAGGTATCTCCTCGAACTTGGGTGGACCCCCCTGAGAGGGGAAGCTGATGGCCAGTTTGGCACTGAGCTCATCTTCTAGACGATACTGCTCTTCGTTGCTGTAGTACTGCCCTGGCTCGGGAGGTCCGATAAGTCTCTCCTTCGCGCTCGCTCTTGCGCGGTCTTCACGCCGCTGCTCGGCTCTCTCGTCGAAGAAAACTGTCCTGCCCGGTTTCCGGGGCTCGACCCAGTAAACCGGAGTACGTTTAGTGGTAGTTTTCTTGGCCTCTGGCGCTTGTTTGGCCGCTTCGGAGGCATCTGGCTCTTCCTGTGCTTCGCCCTTGTCGCCCTCGGCGTCGCGTCTGGCCTTGCTCTTGATTTGCCCGTCCAGCTGGTCTCGGAGAACCCACCACTTGTCGATGTTCTCGTTTCTGGCGTCGACGAACCTCATCAGCCAGCTTCTCCTGCTGTTCGCCGTGCGAGGGTTCTTGATGGCCCGTTCGTCGGCCGCGTTCCAGGACTGCTCGTATAATATCCAGTCGTCAAGACGATCCCTTAGTGCCTGGTTCATCACATCAGACGACGGTTCTGGTGTTGCTAATAGTACTAATTTCATGTAAAGCGCCCGGACGAATTTGAGGGTATAAGCAGCTACCCTTGCTTCCTTTAGCTTTGCAGGGCTAGTGATGATTTCGCTCTTCTCGTGTATTTCAGCTCGAAGTCGGGGTATGTCGTTCTCCATTTGCCGGAGAATTTGCTCTCGTCGCTCTTGCGTGTTCGGGGGAGCCTCCGGTCTGTAATAGTTTCTCCGGCATAACCTCAATCTCTTGGAAAACTCGGGTGCGTAACTGTTTAAAGTGTCCTCCCGGTTCTCGACAGTGGGGTTGAGAAGTCTCTGGTACTCAGGTCTATCAAATATATCCATAAAAGCCGCGTCGCTATAGACGTCTTCAATATCTGCGTCGACATTATCCATAGTTATAGTGTAGTTCTCAAGGAGACGTGACTTTTTTGGACCTGGCTGGCTTGATTCAGACGGCGACAGTGATCTTTTTTTGGGCTCCTGTTCGGCTTGCTTCTTTTTCTCTGCTTCCTCGGGGGCAAGCTTGCCGCCAAGCTTCAGCTTTAGATCCAGTACTCCTGGCCGTTTCCCTAACCCGTACAGCCATTCGTCCGTGTCGCTTGGGAAATCAATATACGTGGGGCGCCCGCCCTCGCGAAACAATTCTCGGTGTATCTCTATAGCAACTAAAGGCATTCGAAGGCCGAGCAGTGCCTGATCAAGGATTTCCTGGGAAAAGAAAATAAGTTCACGACGATCTGCATCATCCCGAAGGTGCCTTTGTTCAAGACCGATGAATTCGTTATATGCCCTCATAAATCTTTTATGCTCGGGTAGAGTGTCACCGACCCACGATTGCGATGCTGGGGGTGCGATATCACGAGCCAAGTATGTCATTTTCGTGATATGACTCGCAATATTCCGCTTGTAAGAGGTGAAAGGCTGTGAAGAGAAGTTTTCGAGGCGAGTCCATAGCTTATAGTGGAAATTCTTAAACTTGCCCAGATCTTCGGCACCGTCTCGTACGAAGTCGTAACAAACGTCAAGAAGTTGAACTGCTCTATCGAAAAGCTCACGCTCAGCATCAGCACCATCCTTAAACATTTGTCTGGAAATTTCGCCGAGTAATTCTATAAGATTCGTATAAAGAGATATGAAATACGGCGCAGTTTCGTGAAAGCCGGCAGTAGTGAAGTCGGTAAACCCATACAGTCCCGCAGCTTCGATCCGCTCGAGCCGAGTGGTAAATGACTCTGCGGTAGGTGCTGCCGGAGGCTCTGCCGCAGGTTCTGGACTGGGATTGGAAGACATGGCTGGTCTAGATTTGGCGTAGGTATTACTCAACTTCTTTGAGTAGCAATGCTAATTTTTATAGAATCAGTGTCATCCGTACCCAATCTTAGCAGTTGTTAAATACTGAGTTTCATTAGCAGTAGGGTATGATTATATGGAAAGGAATCTGAGTTGTTGGATAAGTCGAGCTCATAAATGAAAGAAGTTAGGGAGCCCGCAATTTCGAGGTAAGCAAACACAACAAACCCGCAAACATGTTTTTAACAAAGACCAACAATCGTGAATCAGGCAAGAAATACATATTTGGATTGTTTGGAGGGGTGGGGTTGGTATTTGACGCCGAATCCGTCTGCCTTTGTCTTTCAACGCTCTGCACAACAGCAATGGCATCACATACTGCCATAAGCGGGTTTTCCTATCCCGGTGAGGTATTCTGCTTGCAGCGCGTCACCCAAATTAAGTCGCTATCTATTTTCCTTTTTCTAGTTTCTAACTTGAAATGATCTTTTTTTTTACTCGATTTTCCCTTCTCTTTTAAAACGCTGTAGTATTCTATAATAAGCTTTGGCTTCATATATCTTAACGCCTACTAATTATCTAAGAAATCAAATCTTATATTTCAACTCGTACGGGAACAATGGCTGATAATATACAAGTAGGTGGCTATGAAGACCCTTTCGTTGTAAAAGACGCGGGGGGGAAGGGGATGGGCTGTTACGCAACGAGAGATATCAAGGCCGGCGAACGTGTGCTTGTGGAAAGGTGCCTCCTCTGGCAAGTAAATCATACGGATATTTATGAAAGAACCAACAGTCTACTCCGGTCTTATTTAGCACTGAGTGAAGCAGATAGGGCAAAAATTCTGGAATTACACTCGGACAGAAATCCCAACACTAGATTTCGAAACGAAGCAGCATTTGAGAATAGCGGCGAGTTAATAACAGCTGATCAGCTTGATGAATGCGTCACCGTCAGGCTTGTTCATGCTGCCAACAACTTCGAGATAGAGAATTCTAAGAAAGCCCCGGACGGGACACAAATTCCCCCTCGATCTGGCGTCTTTATTAAGGCAAGCAGATTTAATCACTCCTGTGATCCTAATTGCTGGTACACTGCAACTGCATGGACGGGTCATTTTATCTGTACACCAATGCGGCCCATCAAAAAAGGCGAGGAAATCACAATCAGCTATATACCTAACCAAGCGCCCAGGGAAAAACGGCAGGCTGCATTGCGGAAGTTCTGGAAATTCGGATGTCTATGTAATAGATGCGAAGGATGGGATCTTGATTACGATGTTCAACTCGAGGAAGCATACAGGCTCCAGTATCCCAATGCCGACGAAGACACATTATTACCAGGCTTTATACAAGGGGGGAGAGAGGCGGAGGAGCGCCGTATACTCCGGCGTGCTGAGCTTCTGGAAGCACTGCGCTGGCCTCCAGAGCTATATTTCGGGTAAGTTGTAATCATATCGGCAACTATATTTACCAAGACTTACAATTTGAAAAGGTACCTAGATGCGGCGGAGTATTTCGTCCAGCTCAACAAAGAACTCCGGGGGGCAGATTTGAAGCAGAGCCTAGTCTACAATCAACGAGCTGAACGTTACCTGGACAATGCAGTGGCAGTAGGAGAAGAAGTTTGGGCGCCTGGTGAGATAATATGGCAAGACACTATAGACTATGCGCAGAAGATCAAGTTAAGAATTGCTGAAATAAAGAAAGCTTTAGAGGAGCCTAGTGGAAGCTAGTTTTTGAATAGTTGATGTATATAGTATAGGGATGTATTGTTAATTACTGGGGGATGTTCCAAGGCCATTATAAATCGAATTAATAGATCTCTACTAGAGGTAACATATCACGAAGGACTTGAACCACAAAACTGTTTTAACAACTTGGGCTGTACAAGACTTGTTGAGGTAGTCTCCGTATTAGGCTGCTGAGCCCAAGGGTGCTAAAATCATCGCCATGTATGGTGGCTCTAACCGCTATAGTGCTGACTAGGAGCCATGTTGGCGACGATGGTATAAGTCAAACCACCCTTACTGGGGCCACCCTAGTGGGGGCCACCCATTTCCCATACAAAATCAACAACTTCGCATGTCTATAATTAATTCAAAACAATAGATAAAAATATACAATCTCTTATGTTTTACTTTGCGATCATTATAATAGCTTATGTATATTTTATAATATTTAAAATCTAATGTTTTAATAGTAAAATAATAAAGTGTATTTTTAATGTTATTTTAAAAAATTTTAAAATTTTAATTTTATATGGGAATTTTATCAAATTACCATAAAACTTTATAAACGCTTATAACTTCTCAGATAAATAAGTTATATAATTGGCCCTAGATTTAAAAGTTGTATTAAACCGTCCCTTATTTAACGATATAGATTCTACATTTATACCATATTAATTGGTAAAGTTATAAGCAATAATATCCCTTAACAGCTTTGCATATAAATTTGTATGTGTAATTGTTAGTGTATACTCTTGTATTCATTTCACCACAGATATTAGCCCTGCCATTTTTTCAAAATTTTATACCTGGTGAAAATCCAACACCGTACTCAAAGTCAAAGACTGTATAATTTTATCTATTTTCTTGAATTAAATATAGATATGCGAAATCGTTGATTTTGTATGGGAAATGGGTGGCCCCCACTAGGGTGGCCCCAGTAAGGGTGGCCCCAGTAAGGGTGGTTTGACTTAATAGGTTTATCACATAGGACGTAATTGCTAACGAGCAATTACGGCGTCGTTTTTGTGACAAAGTTGTGTTTGGTTATTTATTTTCTTGATAGTCCAATATGATCCCTTGGACCCCTGCGAGCTTTGGGCGTCAATCATATGCGTGCCCATTTGGTGACTTGTTGTTGTCTGTTAGAGAGCGTCTTGATTCGGTGACTTTATATCAGGATTCCTCCAAAAATGTAAGCGCCAAGTGTTATAATAATATTGGTACCTAATATGAATTTAAGACGTTAATTTTTTTCCAATCCCTTACAAAGCTTTCTATCGTATAATAAAAAACGATTCAACTCAAGCATTAAGTCTAAAGGTTGTTAATTCCGCAAAACAACGTCATCACTCTTATAACGACATAACTAGGTAAGTAACCTAGAACTATGTAATAAAGCAAGCTCGTCGGAAATGGATTATGTCTAAACCCGATCTATCGGCAAGGCAAAATTTAATGGAATTCAAATTCAACATGGCCGGGGAAATAAATGGGTCGAAGTCCGATATTCTCTCGGTTGTCTGCATGTTGCCGCAATCCGGTGCGGGACGAAAATAGTCGCTAAAGCAGGGATCATTGTGGTGACGGTGAATAAACACGTCCCCCCCAGCAAGTCTCATTTTCGTCACTAATCAAACATTATATCGGGTGGTTTCACGGCTACCCGGAAGCAATAATAAATATTTTGGAATTCTCAAGATGCATGTGCCGGGACTGTAGTTCTACCCATCGGATCCGATAGGCTTGATCTTCGTTGTACAAAACTAGAGATCATAACGAGATTATGTAAGATGGTTCAACAAGACCCCGAGAAGGGATAGCGTAAGATATCAAAGGGTGGTAGGGTTTGTGTTGACTTGCATGAAAAGGTGACACTATTATATACGTTGTACATGTACGTAGATAGATTAGAAGCCGCTCTTCCTCGATGAACTGCTTTTCTTCGCCTTTTCTTCTTTCCTTCCTTCCTTCCCTCTCTCCTCTCTACGTTGTCCTTCACGTCGTCCAAATTTTGTTAGTCAAAACCTAAAAACCATTCTGTACTTAAATGCCACGCTAAGCGGTCCCCGAATGGTACTTGTGTCGTTTCTCCGCCTTACCTTCCATGTGATGGGTGACAGCCCTGCGAGGCTTTCTATCTTAGATCCCTGAAGTCTCTCGCTTGTCCCGCTAAATAGGTTTGGACGTACCCATAAAAAAAAGAGATCCACCAAGGTACATATGTAACCAAACCTTACCTACATAAGATACTTGGATGAACATGTGTTTCTACATCTTCTTGATAGAACTATTTTTATATATTCCTAGGTTAGGTAGAGATACGATAATATATCATCACCTTTTTTCACTGTTATTTAAATTGTTGTTATGAAGACTATAAAACCTTGCTAATCTCATCTCATTTTATTTTTTGGTCCTACTCATCTTGCGGACATCCCCCTTTCCATTAAGTAACCTACCACAGTACCGTCAAAACAGTGCGTGATTGGTAGCCATACTGTCGATTTGCACGGATCAGTGCACGGTCTCGGCCTGTGCCGGACAGCCGGGTTAGCGCGTTGCCTTGTGCCGGAAAACCGATCAAACCAGTCCAGGGAATTTCTTCAAACCGTCATACTTGGCATTGAACAATCCCGACCTGTCGCATTGAAGGCTATCAACCCTTTTTACAATCCTATCTTTCAAAGGAGAGTCCATTCGGCGGAAGATGACGAGCCATTCATTCATTCCATGATTGAACACACTCTTTACTCTCCTTCCAGCTACGCTGTCTAATCTGTCCAACTTCGCATGATGAGCACGTCTCCAAGTATCGAACTCACCACCATCAGCAGCAGCAGCACAAGCTCGAGGCGCGGCCAGAGCCAAGCCGAGAACAGTCGCCGCTATGCGCCGCAGCGGACAGGAAGCGCAGGAAACGCAGAAGATTCCGGGCTAGAGTCCCTACCGCTTGAGCTGCAATACCTTATCATCTCTCACCTGGACTTGACGAGCTTGATCACCCTGCGAGAGACATGTCCGTTGTACCGCCAGGTCATCACGGTTGACGTCGTCGGCAAGCAGTTCGCTACCCCGGACGGTGGACACGATCCCGTCCTGCAGAGCTGCTGCACTGAATGTCTGTGTATGCCGGGGCTTGATCGCCTGATCATAGATACGACGCGTCCAAGCCACACGTGGCGGTCTATCTGTTTCCGGTGCTGGCGTTATCGGATGAGCCGTGAGAACCAGCGCAAGCACTGGCCGCTGGTACAAATGGTCAACGGCGACTGTGGCTACATATGCCACTTCTGCACCTGGCCGGTGCACAGCGGCGCCTCTAACAGCCGGATCAGAAACATGCATGCCCCTTGCCGGGTGAGGCGACTCGTCGTAGTTATATCATGGCTAATCATGGCCATCATACAATTCGGCCTCGGCATGCTGGCTGCCGTGCTAGCATGGACCATGTTCCGGAATACGTCAGCAGTTTTAATACCTGCTACCGTATGTTTATCCTCACTTTCTGTTCGGCATTCCAGTATTCTAACGCGACTCTTAGATCGATTTCGGTCTAGCGGTGATAGCAGTAATGATATTCGTGGTCCGCGTAGGCACCACGAACGAAGTCACGTACACGCGTGCGTTGGCCGTAGAACTAGTAATCACATTCATCCGCATCCCTCCCGTTACCTACACCGCACGCGAAACCGTTATTTCCGAGACGACCCAGGGAGGCCCACTCCCTAAATTCGGGTTTGGCGTCTTTTTAATTAACCTGTGAGTCCCCTTACTCGTCTGACAAGGGTTATGATGCTAAATGTTCTTCACTAGAATATTCCGGTTTTTAGACACGGTTGGCTACACATTGCTGAACTGCGGTTATGACCCGCGAAATATCTTCCTAGGGCCAATGCCCTTGAGAAAGAAACTACTCTATGGGTTTTGTACTTTCATGGTATGGTTTGCGTTTATACCATTTTGAAGACTAAGTAGTTATAATAGGTGGCGAAGGCCTCAGGCTTGCCACATGATCGATAATAGCAGCACTAGATGCTGCAATGCTAACGATTTTGCTATCATTTTGAGCGTATGCCATTTTACATCTTCCTCATTTCCCTATGATGGGCATCATGACCCTAAGGGGTAGTTAGATTAGCAAATAGGGAATCGAAACATCTTGAGCCATACGACCTGGCAGCTTTGATGAATGTGCTCGTATCATGTCGTTACTTGATGCTATCATGGTGCCTTACATAGGATATGCCATCAATGTTCAGACTTATTATATTACATTAGCAATCGCTCAGTGAACATTGAGTGCGATAACCCCACGTAGACAGGAAGTCATCTACCAGGCATATACGAATACATGCCTCGAATCGATATCGGCCACGACACGCGCACCAGAGACAGAAATCACGTTTATTTTCAACTAGAATGGACATGGATTTTAGACCATTAAACAAGATGCTATCCGATGTAATGGGCTTATTTGGTGTCCCGGGAAGTAGGAAACAGCCGTTAATGCTGCCCTCGGAGACTTTAGCCGGAAATAAGGAACTCTTCATGACTAATGATTAACTTTTCTTGCTACAGGTAATAGGGCTTTATATTAGGTAGTTGATCTAAATAATTTATTCATTTGCAAGGTTCATAGTTATTCGTGCTCGCTTCTATTAGGTGAAACCAATAACCACGGATGGTATTTCGCATAACAATATTATCTACAACCCCTAGCAGCTGCTGGAGACTTCCTCACTACTCTTTTGCCAAATAAACCTTAGACCCCTTAGGTACGACGATGCTCTCTCGCCTAGTCGGAACATCCGAATGTATGGCTATTAGGTTGGATAGGCTCTACAGGACAGGACGATACATCGTTACATGAATTGCATTCGAATGTCTATAGGTAGACGAATTCACCATCATCATCTAGGCTAAATGTTTGGCTCCTCACTGCTGTCTGCCCTATTGGGGTTTCAGCCTTGTCTCGCTCCAAACCTCCATCAACCGAGCAGCTCGTAGAGCAATGTCCCTCGCTTCGTCAGTATTTGTTTTCTCCGCCTCCTCCTTAAATCTCCTAGTCCAGAACGACCAGCGGTCCGGTCGTAATCCGGGTTCCCCGTGGAAAAGCGATCCGCCCTTAAGCATTCGGCGGTCCTCGTTGGAAAGCTCCGGGTCCGGATCCGCGGCCAGCCTTTCGACTAGGACTGGGCCAAAGAACTCGATATACGTCGCCGCGGTTATCAAGTCTCTGTCTAGTGCACTGCTCTTTGGAGGGTTCTTCTCCTCTTCAAGCGCATCGCGCAGCATCCATATGGGCTGGTTCGCGAAATGGATGACTCCAGCGCCCATGAGCCTGGCGGAGAAAGCGTGGAACCGTACCCAAGCTTGATCAATACGCAACTGTTCCTCTTTGACCTTTGATTGAGCAGGTCCATTAAGATATTCCCTAAAGGCAGCTGCGAGAACTGGAAGATCGGTCCACAGCCGAGACTAATCCGGTTATCAGCTTTATAACTTAGGTGAAGTTAGTAGGAAGGAGACCCGGTTAACCTACTTGCCACACAGTGATTCCAGTATCGGACAGTAGGGTCAACTCCCTTATAAGCTTGACTAGTTTATCCTGGGCGGCATGTTCATACGGGATCTGTTCTGCGATAGAAATGATACCTCCCCATAAATCAAAAAAGAAACCATCATCCAAAGTTTTGCTACCGCTCTTTGGCTCAGGGGGAAGCTTTGATATGGCGGCGGCTACTTGCGCAGTAGAGACAGAGCTGTCCAGTTGGAGATAATCATTGAGAATGTTGAAGACGGCTTCCTCAACGAGTACATCCCCCTTGATATCTTTCCGCTGTAGTTCGACCTTATTTGCCATTCTGTAATGGTAAAGTACCTGGATGTGTTGGTATTAAGAAACTTTGCAAATCCAATACGGTTGGGTTGTGGTTATAGCTGCTGTTTGTAATTGAGACCGAAAACGTGCATCAACTGCGACGAATGAATGAGATACCTACCTCTCAGAACCAGCACGTGTCTGCATCTTAGATTTCTTAGCGGACAACTATTTTACATCATAGGTAATGTTTAAAACAGCTCGGCTTAGCCTAAAGAGGAAGGTGATGAATGATACCTATCTATTATGCGTGGTACTGATCGAATACATACATAGGTCAACTTGTGATATACTTGATGAGCTAAATACCAGAAATATGTTACAGAATCCACCAATATTTATTGGCAAGATTGGAAATGCCAAAATGCTAGAAACGCTAAAAGATTCCTCCGTCCGATGCAGTTCCGTCTGTCTGGGCCTATGTATGAATGAATTGCGGATTCCCCCATCAGCGCCACCAGCTATGCAGTAAATAAAAACAAAAACCAACTCGCAATCATAAATGATAACAATACGATAGGAAAGAAAACAAAAACATAATGCATAATATAAGTCATAATTCCGACCATTCCCATTCTCATTCTTCATCACTTCTGTTTCGGCAGCATGTCTAGCCCTATGGAGCTCAAGATTGACGTCATGCGCATGCGAGACTCATTTTCGGAGAGTGGAGTTGGATATTGCGGTGACCTTAGGTGTTGGTCTTCAGCGTGGAGGTGCGGGTTCAGGAATCGCTGTAAGTTGTAATTCACGTCGAGGGGGACATTAATATTGGGTCTCTGGGCTATTTCGGGAGCAGCGTCTTGACTAAGTAAATGATGGATATGAGCAAAGCCTCAACTCATTGGCTTGAAATAGCTTAAATTGAGGCACTTGGAGAAGAATACCTTAGGTACCTAAGGTATGTACATAAATTATTAGGTAATTAGGTAGATACTCACTTTAAATACTGGACAGCACGTGCGGAGCCATCGACTTGGCCGTTATTTGCCATGATGCAATTTCCAATTAGAAACTAATTGAGATTTCCAGTATTATGGTTTAGGCCTCGTTTAGCGTTCGGCTGCAGCCGCTGGCAGGTGGGAAAGTTGGACCCTGCGCGAAACACAAATTGAAGTGTATGGGGTAGATTAGGTAAGATCGGTAAGATAGGGCGATAAACTTTGTCGTATTTCGTGCAACTCTTTCCACTGCTGAACAAAACACAGCATCAACAACAACAGGGAATAAGACGAAGAAACAGCAATTGCCACGTAGCGAATCGAGAATATATCACATAACAGGTTATTGATCGACACATGAGTAACTGAGCCTGTCGATCGAGGGCAGCTTGGAGGGCCAAACCTGAGATTTATGTAGAATCCAAGGACACAATCTTAGGATCAACCCTCCTCTTCCCAACTCCCCAGACTACCGACGCGATGCACCGCGCGGTGCTTCCACGGTCCAACCATCGACAAGGTATTCCAACCTTAACCCCCCACGAGGTAAGGCCAGGCGTGACAGGGGAAGCTGATACAGGTCTCTGGGATGATAATTAGTAGCGCGGCGCTAAGTGGAGAGGTTTAACCAAGTATAGCTAGCAGGTAGCTTCACATATAAATTTATATGTAAGGTACAAAATATCAGTGGATAGATCAACTATTCATAGCAGTATTTTATCCAAACCTACACATGAATATTCGGAAACAATCTTTCGGTTTTAAAAAACATTAACGTTTTGTACTATCATATACAAATCTATATGCGAAGCTACCTGCTAGCTATACTTGGTTAAACCTCTCCACTTAGCGCCGCGCTACTAATTACATATCATCCCATCAGTCCACCAATGCTGATCCCCTAAGTTACCTAGGTAGGTAGGTTACTTGTTTGGAGACGCAAGCCGACAACCCGATCCAGTAAACTAAACAATTATGGGCTGATCTCCTTCTTTTCTTTTCGTTTCCTCAGATAAAATCTGGCGGGAGCTGATTGCTACGTATGAGAAAAAGCCGATCGGGCAAACATGGAACCCAACTATCATGAACAACATCCCAACCCGTGTCGCTCCGTCCCTAGTGACCTAGCATTTTAGCCCTCGTGATCACAACTTCAAGACGATCATGGCCTATTTTCACTAGAATATTGATTTAATAAGACCATTATACTGCTATCAAATATGAGTATCTTGTTAAAAGGCGATGGTGGCAACATTCTACCATGGTGATCGCTTGGCCGCCTTTTCCAGAAGACCCCCACGAAATAGCGAGCCTCCTTGGAACAATCGAAGCTCACCGAACGGCAATGACGTTAAACTCTTAGAAAGGTCACGACGCAGAAATCCCCTATTGTAAAGCAATGACGTACGTTTGGGCATGGAGCTAATTGTTGAGCTAGGATGTGAAGGTAACGGCATTGATTGGCATTGGATCGCACTCTACGGCAGTACTCTCTAATTCCGAAGTCTAGAACACCAAGATTACGTGCGAATGGTCCGCGGGCAAGTAATTAATTAGGGCAATGTAGAGTCTAGAATCTAGACTCTTCGAGTTGTATAGAAATTTGACAAGAAGGGGAAAGTAAAATAGAAATTTTTTTTTCTTGGCCAAGCTACGTCATCCCAGCTGAGAGGGCGAAGAGCTGGGTGAGAGCGCTTACCCCCTTTACCCCTGGACCCTGAATGACTGGCGTATGAGGTATGCAAGGCAACGGACCCTTAAATTTAGGTACCTATGTAGTCTACTACATATGTACCTATGTAAGATAATGGGGAAATGGACCCAGGAAACATGGAATTTTGGGAAATCTCGATGCTCCGCAATCGCAAAGACATGCATACTAGGTACCTACCTAGGTACAGATAATCGACTATAGCGGTATTAGGCTAGTATTCCCTTCGGTAGGTACATACATATACCCCTCCGATTATGAACCAATCAACTACAAATAGACATTTTGCTGATCCTTTAGCAAATCAGGCCATTTTACCATTGCTGCCTGCGAATCAATAGTAGGCGAATAACAAAGTCCAATTCAGGCGGACCGTAAGGCGGACGATAAGGTTCTAGGTTAGCTACGTACGGTATGGTACGGTACGATATTAGATGATTGAGATTCAAATTCGCCTTCGCCTACGGAAATAAAGAATAAAGCCAAAAACAACACCGGCTGCTAATACATTAATAGATTGCCGGATTACTTCCCATGTCTCCGAGACAAGGCATGGTACAATACGTACCTACTAGTACAACATGTCTACAAGGAAGGACGCCTTACCACAGATCTATCAGGTCTAGACTGTTCGCAGTTGCTGGGATGCGAAGCCACAAGCATCCATCAAACAGCTGTCGTGACCCTCCCACTGGCTCCCAGATCAGAAGAAAGCTTTGACCCTCAAAAAGAATGATTCCCATGGTGGTCTTATTCTGATGTCAACATGCATTTCGAATTGAATATTGACTTTTAAGGATTCCGACCTGCAAATCATGCGCGACTCATCGCAATCTATCGCCAAAGTAGTGAACGAGCTGGGACGACACGACAAGGCGTCCAAGGCTAGCATTTCTTGAAACCCTCGTTACTATGTACAATTCAGGGCCCGTATAGTTTCTTCATGACGGGCACTACCGACGAGACGTATGTACGAATGAATTCCCCCACTTACATCCTCCCTCGAGGTTGGATGTTAGGAGTTCTGCCACCCCTTGCCGAATCTCATTCAAAGGGTTCCAAACGTCCATGAACTCTCCCATGAGTATTTCTGGCCTGGTCCGGTAATCTGCTTTTCGGCTCGTCCCCATTCAGGGCTTTATGCATGTCATATTAGCTCACATCATACACAACAACCGACGTTTGTAAATTTCGCCTTTAGGCGCGGGGAAGACTTGGAGTGCATCGGATGACGGAAGAGAGGGGGCAATCTTACTGATTAATGCCATCCACATAATCTTGAGCCTCGATGGCGACACAAGAACTCCTTCCCACCTTCTTGACGGTCTCGGTACCTTGCGTACTCTTTAAGTCGGCAGTCCCATCCATCCAATTGCATGAATAAAGCACGATTCCAGGCTGGTCGGTGCGTAGATCGGCAGTGATGCCAGAAAAGGCGCTGGCCAAACTGACGACAACAGCATCTTTGGGCGCACCGTCGATCAGAAAGTAGCCGTTATAGCCCTCACAAGCGCCGCCGCCGCCGCAGTTCCCAGCAAACTTAGGGTCGCCTCGCGCATGGCCCAGGAATAGGCCGGGATGGCTGGAGAAATCGTTGATGCTGTTAGGCTCCGCAGTTCCAATCTTACCCGTAGGCAAGGCGCCGTCGTCCGCGACCAAGTACCGTTTCGAGTACGGTAAGTACAGAGTGTGGTTCCAAATCTGGTCCGTGTCTGGATTCTTGAAGGCGTCCAAGTTGAAGTAGGTGTGATGGGTCAGCATGAGCGCTTTGCAGGCCAAGTTAGCAATGTAAGCACACCAAGGGCTACGTCATAAAGGAAAGAAACGTACGAGTCCTAGCCTCGGGCGACGTTGCCTCCATCTTGATCTTCCATGTGCCCCCTCTGACGCTGTACGTCACTTGGCCGTGGACAAGACCCAGCATTCCTTGGGACGAGTTCGACGCATCCTTGACGGTGAAGGTGATGGAGTCCTCGGTGGCATCGGTTACGTTCCACACGCGGTACGACCAGTTGTTCGTGCCGCTATGTAACGTGTTGGTCCCGTCGTTTATCTGAGTGGTGTATGTTGTGTTGTCGATCGTGTACTTGCCCTTCCCAATGCGATTGACATAACGGCCAGGGATACTGTTATACACTGGATGTCCTGGGTCCTTGGCTGAAATCAAAGGTTAGTTTTCTTTCTTTCTCTCTCTCTCTCTTCTCTAAGGACGATGTATTCTGGGGAGCTCAATTACGATAATATTCTATGTCCTCGTATCCGAGCACCACGTCGACATCTTCTCCATTCTTATCTTTGACGAAGAGGTTGGTGAGCGTAGCTCCATACGGAATGAACTGGAGTGTGTATAAGCGTCAGTCTATCTGCCAACTTCATTAGGACACTATCGCCGAACCTGCGCTTTTATTCCCGACGATGATATCGTGTACTTCCCATCCTTCCCAGGGTTCGGAGCTTGAGCAACTGCAGATGTCGCTACCGCCAAGACTGGCAGGGCTAGTATAGAGCACCGCATCTTTTCAATTGGTTCCCGTCGAACGAGTTTGGAAAGTATGTATCACAAGCTCAGTTTCGAAGTAGGAGAAACGGAGTGGACAATAAGCACAGGCACAGACACAGACACAGACACACAAGACAAGCCTCGAGGAACACTTGGCTTATTACTACCACAACCTAGTATTCCGATATAGCCCCTCCCTCCCAACATTCCCTTAAATAGTTATCCGCGGGGGCAGAGCAGCATACTGACTAACGCCATTAGCAAGAGCGCGCGAGTAAGCACAACACTTTTGGGATCATATCATACCGAGAGAGGCGATTCGGGATTAGTGTGGGGTACATAGTGGAAGGATGGGGGTTAAATAGCCTGATATAGCAGTAACCAGTAATCTCACGATGTTTCCGGGTTCCCCTTGGGGAAATAGGTTGGAATAGCAGCCAGCATATTCGGGGTAAATTCAACCTTGGACAAGAATATGTGCGTCTGGCGGCTCAAATGTGCTGGACATTGAGCCATGGGCGCTTATGTCTTAGGCGCCTTGGCATATCTGGCTTAGAAGCAAACATAAATTCATATAAATTCATATACGCCGCGGAGCTCCCAACGGACTTTGCGGTACTCGCTATAGTATCAATAATCCGTAGCGAACTAGACCAGGTTTAAATCTTGAACTATCCCTGGTTGTAGATGAGGATATAGAGATGTTACTGTGTTTAGATTACTTTAAACGACGCTCTTTGTCCGGGGACTTTGAATACAACCACGAGATTTATTTGGTAAACTAATTAATTGTAACCGCATAGAGATATCGGGATGAAGACGTGATTTCCTCTTAGTGCCTATTTATGTATCTATGTGTTAGTAATTTTTATCATAAGAAGTCCTTAAGCAGCTCTTTGCGACTAGATCTACAATTGAAAATATATGAAGCTTCTTGAAAGTTGCCGCCAAATTTTTACAATAGATTCTACAGATCGCTGATAATCACTGTGTTTGTTTATGAAGCTCTGAGCTGAGTAGAGTTATTTTACTCTTCGTGACTTAGAGCGTCATTAATACACATGAACAAAGGAGAGATATCCCCCTGGCTGACAATCGATTATCGCAAACAGACAGCTTTGTTAATGGAAGCTTCTTTACACCGAGAATTAAATGGAATGCTACGGGTTCGCTTCAAATAAAGCTACTCGATGTTTCCGGTTATATCTGTATTTCATGGCCAATTGCGCATGGCAGGTCCGAATAAAAGCAATACATCTGTTCTAATAAGTGCCAGACATACACTAAACACCGTAGACCCCTAGGTTCATAGTAATCTTCATAGTAATCACGCAAATATTCGTCTATACGTATTATCCTAAAGAAAATACGAAAATACGAATTATCAATATGACGGAGGAAAGAAACGGGACGGGGGTTGTGAAGCCAACTCTGAATTTACACCACCCCGTCATCCAAAGTGTAACCCGAGAACGGCATAGACATAATGCGGAAATGCGCCGTGTCAGACAAGAGCTTACCAGGTTAGAAACAGAGCAGGATCGCTTATGGGTAGAAAACGAGCAGCTCAAAACTCTGCTGAATCACTTACCCGACGATAATTCTTTAGATCAGTTCGTTGCACGCATCGGCGAATTAGAAAAACAGAACGATGCCCTCGAAGACGAAGTCCACAAATTACAAGGCCTGTCCCCTGACGACGCGAGAGAGTTACGGGCTGATCATTTTCCTACGCACGCCCGTAATAGTATAACACGGGATGACCTTGCCCTTGTAAGTACAGTTTCTTATATCTCTACGATAATAAAGCCTACTGACGGGATATTTATAGGAATACAGAAACTTCGTAGACGAAATTATAAATCTCATATATCAGTGGGTGTCACCCCTATTAAACGACGAGAAGCACGCTGCCGAGGTTATCCAAACCGCCGTAAGAGACGGGACCGCCAAGGAATTCATCGGTTGGATGGAAGCGTACCCGGACATTGCCCGGCTCTCGTCTTTTAACATGTCAACCGAATATGTAATCTTAGCCATCGTCATGCGATGGATAGACAACGAGATCTTCGAGGCGGAGGTGTGCGGCATCGCCCCCGAGATTCTCACCGCGCTGGAGAACATCGAAGACTCCCTTTACCACAACGTCAAACCGCAACCGCGCCCCGTCGAAATCAGGAGATGGCGCCAAAATACAAACTACGCGCTACTACAGCATCCCGAATATAAAAACACGCGCGACGCCCACGAGAAGAAACTGGCGGGTGACCTGCAGCACATACTGCGCTTCCTCCCCGGCGCCGGCGCCGCGGGCGCGATAGACAACATCCGCAACACGATGGTGTTCCGCGCGCTGGAGATCAACGAGCTGTTCGCCACCTCGGTGGACCACTTCCAGCTCCAAGCGTGGGAGTTCCTCGCGGGACCCAACACAGTCGAGACCACATCGGCCGCCGAGCTGTACGAGTACCGGGAATGGTTCGAGCTCGAGGACCCGCTCGACAACGCCAACAAGGTCGACATCGAGGACAAGAGCCTCGAGGAGGCCACGCGCAGGCTCGATCCCGTCTGCGCGGTCATCCCCGCCGTCGTGCTGAGACACGCCGAGAACCCCGACGACGTCACGCTGTGCTGCAAGTCGTACATCGTCGCCTCGTGGGGACTGCCCAAGACTAGGGAACGCAAGTGGAACGAGCAGACGGCGAGCTTTTTGAACGAATTGCTGTCGGGCTAGCGGGATAGCTAGCTAGCTTCGAGATGTTTTAATATTTAATAGGGAGGGGAGGGGAGAGGATGGGATGGGATGTGATGCCGTTCGTCGACCGGAGGAACCATGTCGGGTAGGACTGATACCTACATAGGGTTGGCTATAGGTTAAGAGTGTCTGTAAGGGTATTGGGAGCTGCTACCTACCTACCTAGGAGGCTTTGAGGTAGCGCTTTCTATTCTCCCTGGAATCGGGTTTCCACGTATTAGTCTGCATCGCGAGTATAAGACAAGGTAGTTTAGCGAATTTAAACGAATTGTATAATGGTTTATACATACCTGTTAGTTATTAAGATAAGAAACTTAAGAGAGGTCACCGTCGGCCACACGTTTTTTAGTCCAGGCGTTGTAGTTAAGGCCATATATATACTCTGACCTCACTGTCCTTCTGATCTAAGGGATAGCTGCTGTCTAGTGTATATTGCATATCAGTATATTGTTTCGTAAATGAACCCTTTGACCTCTCTTTTAGCAAAGTATATTATGTACTAAAGAGCTATAAAAAATACCTGCAACTACCACCGCTGGAGAATTCCATTTTGAAAATCAAGATAGGGGTTAGCCCTGCGATAAGTGAGAGATGGCTAGGTCTTTCGAATCTGGATCTGCGATGATCTTGGTATCTGAAGATGAATTATCTTTGAGGAAATGCCATCATCTTCAATTAGATATACATTTGCTCTTTTAGAACAGAATAAGACCACAAGTCCTGTGTAGCAAGGTAGACGAATCCTAAAGCTATGAAAAGCGAAGATAAAATCTCCCCAACTTAGCTAGACTCTCAATGATTTCTTATTCATTAGTAATTTTCAAAACTCTAGGCATCGATTTTAACTGTCAAGCTGATGCGAATTAACTCTCTGATCTCACCTCAGGCTGTAAAATCCTCAACGCAACGACTAATCGGATAACGCCGCTAGTATAGAACAGAACGCGCCAACTTCGTACATAAAACGAAAATAGTATTTAATTGCTCTCCTACCTGTCTACCATAATAGATAACTTGTCCCACTCTTACGGAAGTCATTCATTGTGTAAACTTGCGTACCAGACTAATAAGTTCTGGAAGCATTCCAAATGTTGTGGGATTTCTAAATATAGCTTCCTAACCTACATCATATCCCACCAGAACGTTACGGTCCAATCAAGCGCTCCTGTCCGAGGACTAGATAGGATTATGCAAGTCGATATTGCAAACTGTAGAAGTGTAAGAACAGTATTTAAGCCATTAGTGATGAGCAGGAATACAGTTAAACTAACTAATTGACTTAATGCTACTTTTCATTGGCAATTTACTTTATAGAAAAGTCCATCATGCATTAAACAAGGCAAAATCGCGGTACTTGAACCACAAAGGTGCGAGGCGGTATTGTTTTAAAGTAACTCGTATTTGTCCAATGCTAAACACAAGACGTGAGCTTCAGAATAATTAAGGTCAAACATCTACTGGTCTTTGGTGACAGACAGCTAACGTTAACCAATATACAAAGGAGACAGAATGGCTATTCCATCACATCTTTTTTTTCTCCTTCACTGACAACGTAACATAGCAGGAGATTGAGTAAATGCCTGGCCAACAGAGTCTCATCTCCAGTTGTCTTAATACCAGAAGGAAAATTAAGAGTGGGTCAGAGGGCCAAGAGAGAATATAGGAAAAGCAAAGAGCGAAAATCCGAGACACTTCATAGAGTAGAACGCCATACAGGTCCATAAACAGATAGGCCAAGGTATAAGCAAAGTCCATATACACAGGTAGAGGCAAATGATACAAAGACAACTCGCCCTTCCTTGGTAAAGCCTTCAACAGGCAGAAAATTCTTGGTACATGTCGCTACCGACTCCATACATGCAACAAGTTAGGAACACACAAAAATTTAGCGGGTACCGCCGAGAGCACTAATTCTAGCACCGGACGGGCGGTGGATGAGGCTTGAAGCGTGTTTACCAACCAGGCCGGGCTCCTGTGATAACGTCTCGCTCTCGCTTCGCTCAGCCAAGTCATCTTCGTCATCCTCGACAATCTTAGTAGGAATGTCGTTGTGGATGCTGTACTGCTGGCTCGCTCGCTCGGGAGTCGTCATAGTCGATGCCATAGACATGGCTGTGCTGCTTCGGTTGGGAATCAAGTCTGGGGTCGGAGGAATACTAGACGCGCGTCCAGAGGGGTGTAAGTGGCTGTCATCGCCAACTTCAGAAGTAGCAGCCGAGTGACCATCGTCACTATGGACCGATGATAGGTTGCTTGCCCGTCGTGGCGACCTAGATGACTCGATTTCGGCATCTTGAGCCAGCTGGAGACCCTCAACAGCGGCCTGACACTGCTCTGCAATATTCCTAATAATGTGAGAGATAGCATCGGTCTTGTCTTTGAGATGTCGGTCAGCTACGTCGGTAAAGCTGGCGGTAGAAAGGCGATTGCTTCCTCGGCTAGGGTTCTTCAACATGTGGCCTTTTAACCCAGACTCATTAGCAAGGGAACCCAACGCCAAGTTAAAAAGTTCCCGTGACTTACTATCTTGCTGCTCATCTCCATCTTCCTCGAAACCCTCTTCAATCTCACCAGCTAAGTCGTCGCGTGTAGTCAGCGACTGAACTAAGTGCTCCATGTGGTGAGACTGTCCACCAATCAAGCTGCGCAGGTGCAAGACAACACGGCGTGCTTCGTCACGTTGTCGCACAATAGTGACGTTGGTGTGCTGAAGGGAGGCCAATTCCTTCTTGTTCCGCTTGCGCTCCCTCTCAAGCTCTTCAGCGATCTCCTGTTGAAGAACAAGTGCTTCGAGGGCATCGTCGCGCTGCTTCTCAGTGCCAGTAAGGCGAACTGAAAGACGGGCGTTGTCGTCCTTCTGTTGGTCGATGAGGCCACCAAGTCTCCTGTTCTCCCTCTTATGAGTCTCAATCTTGGTCTTCAAGTCTTGAGTCTCTTTAGTAAGCGTTTCAGCAAATGCCTGGAATTTAAGGAACTGTATTGTGTTAGTATCGTTTTTTCTTCACCTAATAGGAGAGAGCCTTACCTGCTGCTTCCAGCTCTCCAACTCTTCCACAAGGTAGTTATTCCGCTTCGTAACTTTGCTGAGCTCTGTGTCCATACGACCTTTAAGGTTGATGAAATCTTGCCATGCTTCTAGAGCGTCACGGGAGTATTGATTGCGTTCTCGAACAATCTCGTTCAGATGCCGCATCGAAACCTTCGTCATTAAGGGCTTCTTGACGGAGCCACCGAATACAGCCTTCAAACCTGTGTTACGGCCCTGAAGAAATAGTTAGTATTGCAGCGAATAAAGTTTGGCACAGAAGTCAAAGCACATACCATCTTCTCACAGACGTGGTCCATTACGGCCATTACAGCATCCTGGTTCCACCACTCGGGATCTTGAATAGACTCGACTTCACCGCGCATGACGATGATTTGACCAGCGGGTACCAACTTTCCACCACCATAAGCAGAACGCAAATGCTGAGGAACACCGGAAGGCGTGACATCACCGTTTAAAGCTTGTGTCAGTCTTGTCACAAACTTGTTGCGCTGGTTTGCGTTCAGGGCAGTCGGAGGGCTGGATGTCAGTACAAAGTTGCGATCTAAATCAACAACAAGGGCATCATTCGGAGCAGTGAAAAGAGACCTGCATTCTGCGGTAACACCCAAGATGTATGGGCCCGGCTCCTCGACCAACTCCTTAGCGTGGCGAGCATGAACAACCGGTACGTAAAGGCCACTCCATTCATAAACTCGAACGCAGAAGCGAATAGCTTCAGCAGCCATTGTCAACATCGCGGGATAATGGCTAACAAAGATAATGCGTCTAGTAGGGGATATGGCCGCTTCGATGACACCAACGATGTTTGGGACCGAAAGACAAGTCCACAAAGGCCACATAGCGAAGTTTTGGAAACCCGTAGGGGACGAAGGGAACTGGTAGCAGAGGGCGTAATCCTTCATATCTATACGGACCAAGTCATTCAATCTCGGCGCGGGAAAACTGAGAATTCGCGATACCTCTTCGGCGTGGAAGAGATTGGTAGCCTTATTCCAGTGAATCCACATCCCTCGCAAGTAGTCGCCAAGAAGGTTGTACAAGGGGTATCGAGAAAGGAACGACAAACAGTAGGGAATCCAGTAAGTCTCATCTGCATTGTCGTAATAATCCGTCTCGGTTCGTTTCCTTAGATCCCTAATAGTCTCTGCTCGCTTCTCGTCCGCCCTTGACCATACACGCAGGCAGATGCCATAGAGAGTGTGAGATGAATCCTGCTGGAGAACAAACGCATGGTGAACACAGTGGGGTTGACTGCGGCCGGTACAGATTTCGACATCGTGCGGGAAACAAGCCTAATCCAATTAGAATTTAACAAATCTATCTTTTAATAGGAAAACATACCCTCATAGCAGCGTGCAAGGCTCGAGCAATATCGTTGTCCTGTTCAAGACGAGGACTACTACCGAGAATCTCCGGGAGCCAGAATTGTCCAACTGCGCCCTTCATGTGGCCAATCTTTCCTTGACTCGGGGCGGGAGCCTTAACCCATTGAGAAGGCTCTCGGCCGACACCACAGACCATGTAGGCATGGGTTAGAGTCTTCGGTGTTCGCTGTTGGGGCTTTGAATTGAGAGTAGAAGGAATTGGCTGTGTGATACGAGAGTGAAGAGATGAAGTCCTGCTCGGAATGATCAAGTTGGTGTCGCCCTGGTCGCGCGTACTCGGTCGAGCGTCACGGTCGCTGGTACGCGGGCGCGTAAAAGATGAGTGCGTATTAAGTGAAGGCGCCATGATGGATAATTAGGTACGTTTCCTCGTTTGATTCGTTTGTCGCTATCCTGTGGAAAGATCAAATTAAGAATAACAGCAGCAACTAGATGGACCAAGTTACTGTTCAACCAAATCTAGGCAATCATGAAGGGATTAATGGCATGAAACTGCTCCCGTCAGAGACCCTCCCTTGAGATTTGTTTCCGATCTGGTAGACCAGAAACAAAACCACCAATCTGCTCGGCGACGGTAACGACAACGGCGATGAGCTGTGCAGCTTTGCTGTCAGAATGGGAGACAGAATACAGTCTTGCTGCAACTGCTTAAGTGGGGGAGGGGAAAGCAGAAGAGAGGATTTGAAAGGACGACGCTCTCTAGAAGAGAGAAAAAGGAGAGACGTGAGGCAAGAGGGCCTTCGGTGGTAGAAAAGGGTTTGATCGGAGACAGAGTACGAGAAAGGGATATTTGCCCCGAATGAAGCAGCCAAAAAGTCAGTGCGCACGCTCGAATTGTTTATTTTCTAATAACCCCTGGTATACATAGGTAGTTAGTAGAGAATAAGTATGTAATGAACGACCGCCTAGGATTGCACCGGGATGAATTGGGACAGTGACGAAGTGTGACAGGGCCGACAAGGACCAAACGAAGCCAGCTTCAAGAACAGCCGGGTTACAATTTGCTAGGGACGGGGAAATAAGAAGTGGGCATCTGCTGCAATCTACTGCAAAAGCTGTGCAAGGTACAAGATGACTGGCGTACCTAGGGGATCGACACTCAAAGAGGGAAAGAAGGGTACTATGTAACGGATACTCTATTATAGGTGGGGGGGACGCTAATGCAATTAGTGCCTGAGTCCGTTTTTGCCCTAAAACTGCTGGAAGTCGCACCTTTGGAGATATCATGCAGGCCGCGAATGCAACGATAGCCTCGTACTCAGTACATTTGACACCTAATTGAGCAGGGGGGTTGGAGCTATCCCCAGACTAGCTCTACCGTTAGCGCGACACTATGCTAGGGGTCCCTGGCAGCTTCAAAATTTCGACGGCTCCACTTAATTTTACATGCTAACGAATAACAAGTCTATTTGTATAAAAGGAGTGGGGCAGCGTGGGAGAACTAGAGCTGGTTAGCCTTGAAAAGGGGGCCGTTATTGTAAAAAGCCACACCGAAAACCATCGTCAGACGGTTCGCCGTGCGCCAAAAGCAACATGACAATCGAATTAAGCTCATACGCATCGACGCATCGACTCATCGACGCATCGAGATAACCGCCAGATTTTAGGTTTGTCTACCTGGTAGGTATGCAACGAATACCTAGCAAAAGGTTTAAGAGGATAATTGGAACTTTGAATTGGTAAAACAAGAAGAAACTATGATTCGAAATAGTTGCTGGGATTTGTCCTTATCGGTAGTCCGCAATATGGCTCAACACAGTGTGAACGAAGTTATAAAAATCCCTCGTAAAGATTAAAGAGAAAAAAAAACCAGCTGGTGGCGGTGGTTTTCGGCGATTCATTCTAACAATACCATTATGAGGACTTACATACCTACCTAACCTATATCCAAATGTAATGGGGGGGTATGCTTGTTAGCATCATACTCTTGTTTCTTGTGAGATGATACCCAGGGTTATATTGCATTTGATAGCCTGCCTTATTATTACTTGAGTAACGTTTCAAATTGAAAGAAATTCTGCGAGACGGCGTAGAAGGTATTATTGTTCTACAGCGGTAGCACATGCATAGCACATATGATTTTCTTGTTTCTTGATTCACTTGCTGCATGGTGGCTGGCACCATTGACTCGGTTATCTCAACTTGTCCTTGTCACCGACATGAGGCTTCATGCCGTCAGCTCGATCTCTAAATTAATGATAATGCGTTTAGCCTATCTAGCATACGTGTAGATATATAAAACAGCCCATAAGAAAATGTCATGATTAAAGAGCGCACAGTACGAGGTAATAATTCATAAGACATAGATTATGGCATACCTAATACCTCATACTCGGATTCACCATCATAGAAACCTCTATTCGATTATTTTCCTCGCCAACTGCGTAGTTTACTATTAGATACTAGACGATTTAGTCAATTGACCCTCATGAAAACTTCCAAACTAGGTAATTCTTCATTTCCCATCTCCTATGTTATACATTTGAACTTATGCACGCTATGACCCACCGCAATGGTTCATCCCTTCAAGCCTCAAGCCCCTCCATCTGGCGCTGACCATTCTAACCTCATAATCCTTTCAAGCTTTAAAGCTTTATATCAATTCTTCACCTGTCTGCTCGATTACCCACAAGACACGTTTCTCGTCACTTTCTATAAATCAAGATAGACCCGGGGCAATGGATTTACTCCTCTCTTTAAAACCCCCGAGGCAGTCCTGGATCTTTTCGTGATTCGGAGAAGGGTAGCCCTTGAAACGTGCCGGCTATTGCATAATACTGGTTCCAATGATGTCCCATGTGAACTCGACTCGCGGGGTGAACGTCTTCCCGCATTGAGATAGCTGCAGATGCAGAGCGGGAAGCAACACCACTTCTATCCACAAGCCGAACAATCAAACAACTACACACATAGAAGGATTCAAACCCATAATGAAATAGATATTGGTATCATGTTTAACATACGTGCTTCAATCCCGTTCATCAATGGACGGCTCTAGGCGCAATGTTTCGGTTCCATTAGGCCTCGATTGGGCCAAGACACATCATGCTGTAAAGCATTGTGATAGTTATCAAAGCTGTTCCACCAATCGGTTCAGTTGCAACTTGCAGAGGCCATTAGTTGCTATTGGTAAGTTGGTCGACTACTGCACAGAATGCTGCCAGGGGATCAAAGGGGGTCCTTAACGCGTCTATTATTACAGCGTCCTCCCCAGCTTGCAACTCTACCCTGTCTTTCCGGCGTATGATGATTTGTATCACATAATCATTATGAGAAGAATATCTTACCATTGCCCAGCTCGTCTTTTTCATTTTTCATCATACGCGTCCGCACATATAGGCTATATACAACGACTATATACCAACAAACAAACGGTCTAGTTCCTATAAGCCAATTCTTCAAACGATACCTACATATCTCCAGACAACTCTCTATCAACATAATAGTCTGCAACGATCCACACAATTTCTATGGTAGCGAAAGCTTTCGGCAGACTCACCAGAGATATTCGCCGCATATATAGAACTGAATCGTCGATCCCACGTGTTTCAATCCACATCCACAATGATATGCGGCCCCCAAGCAGTCGGTACTAGGTACACTAGTAAATTGAATTGGGTTATCAATACTAATCGTTGGTATAGCTCTTCTCGATAGCCTTAAAATACTATTTATGTATCATTGTATATCCGGGTGAGTCTAGATGTTGACGAGATGCTTACCAGAACTGTCAGCACGCCCAGCAGTTTTTACATCTACCTTGTAGCTCAGTATTCCGTACCTTTAGCACAATTGACAACCACACTAACCCACTTCAGATCTTGGTTTACCCCTGGCTTCGGTTACATTCGCCTAACGCGAGATACTAGACGGGATTAGTATGCGATCCGAGCTCATGGCTACATACCCCAATACCTCGGGTTCTTCCCTGTTCCACGTGATTCTTCTTTAGATCAAGGCGAGCTCTCAGCTCAGGCGATCCGAACCAAAGCAAACGTCCTCCTCCCGTCCTTTCATCAAGGATATTCCTTAGTGTATTTATCCAGCGCTTAGTCACGACGAACCTATAACAGTGCTTCTATTTGATTACTTACATCTACATTCAAAGCCAACGAGTGCTCCTCTAATTTGCATGGCTTGCCCAGAGCACTCACATTAAGGTGTCAAGATTGCCTCTTCATCAACCCTCCCCCCCGGACTGATAACAACAAATTACGCGTCGGCATCCTCTCCGTTGACTCTGCTAACTTTCCGGTCCTCCCCGTAGGACTCTTAGTCAATCATCCTGGGAACTATAAAATCTTACGCCGTGTATGAAATCCCTTTTCGCTAGTTATATGAATCCTCATAAGCATCCCCGCCCCCTCGAGGCCCGTCCCACGAATACTATATTCAACCCAATATATGGTCAATGTGATAGTATTTCAGCTTTAGTGACAGCCTTTGCCTTCAGTCCTTTCGCTTACGTGTCTGACCCCACGACTCTTGTCCAAATGGCGACAATAGCCGGCAAGCAGGTACATTAAGAGCCAGGACATATCGCGCGACTGCTGGACGTTTTCGTTCAGTCCCATCTATCACTCTTGATTGCTCGCATTCGCTTCTCCTGCCTATTTTTAATCTCGAAAAATACATCTGACCGTTACTACTTATGTGGTATAAACACGACGAGATTATTAAGAACTGGGCCCTAGTAGAACCACGATATGCTAAATTAATTATATTGGCATGAATACAAGGGGTAAGATTTCAGCACATACCCAATGCTTCTGATGTAGAGATGGGGTCTATGGTAAGAGTAGTTGGCGTATCTTGTGCGTTATAAACAGACAAACAGTCATTGCCTTATGAACGTACAGCTTCGCATTTAGTCTATGGAAACATAAGACCGTAAATTCTTAGATAAAAATGACTGCCTAAGATAACCTTTACGCACCATGAAGAACTCATACCTAAGTCAACCTTCTCCCACGCCTTTCTCGATTTCTGAGATAGTATGTATTGATAGGCATATTCAAAAATATACACTGATACATATTTTACTACTCACTAACTTGGAACAAAACACTAGATCTATAAGGAGACTGGTATTGGGATATAGTCGGTATCAACCCTGAAAGAGGAGGTCCGTAATATCTACTTAACACAATACTACCTATTACATAGGTTGAGGCCTCCTATTTAACTCCCGGATCGATTCTGTAGACAATTTTCCTTGCCAGTAGAGTTTCTTAGTAAGTGTCTCTCAATCTAGAGCCTAGAGCTAGAGGGAAACAAATTAACATAGAATTCTACGCAAGTGAAGTATACTAGTCATATAATAAGAAGCAAAAGCAAAAGAATAAC